CGCATTTGTATTGCTAGTTCATGTGTACGTGGTGACAACAGTGCGTGGCCACCGTCTGACTGTCGTCTCATGCATTTTAGCGGTGGGTGGTATTTTCATGGCTGTGTTCTTATTGAGCGATTGCTAGTCTCCTTGCTGATGCCTTGAGGATAAACTACCCGTGAGTATGCTAGGCTACCCGAGGACTGCGATCGACAGGCCCAGCACGAACGCTGCGTTCAGGCAGGCGCAGAGCGCGTCGAAGCCGCTGGCTTTCTTCTCGCGAAGGTTGCTTTTGCCATCGCCCTCCGCAGCCGGTTCAGTCGCGTTGACGGGCGCCTCGAGACCCTCCTTGCTTTTATTGGACGCAGCGGACGCTGAGGGGTTACCTTCTTCCTTGCTGGCAGGAACATCACCACTTGGAGCGGCGGTTACAACACTTGGCGCTGTCGTGACCTTGAGGGCACTGGGCGTTTTGTCCACACTCATTCTACTTCCAGGCTGTTCGGCACTCAGCGCTGCAGCTTTCTCCAAGCCACTTGACGTGGTCGAAGGCATGTCAACAGTTGGCTCCGCGGTCGCCATATTCTCAGTGGCCAGCTTATCGGTAGGATACTGTTCACCGGCTGCCTCACGTACATCCGTGGAAGCATCACCTTCGACGCCTGGTACGGCGGTCTCCGCACTGCTTGCACTAGCATCACCGGCACCCGGCGAAATGGCATCTTCGGCTGACCCCGCTGGTGGCGTGGTAGCTCCACGTGACTCTTCACTACTTCCCGAATCACCGCCGGCGAGGCTAATCAGTCGGTCTGCAACGTGGCTCATCATTTCGCGTCTGTAACCGATGCTTTCGAACGAGGCGCCCAGCAGGATTCCATTATGAATGTCCGCTCTGAGCTCGAAGTACGCGTGCCACAGCTGCTCTCTGTCAGCCCCGGATTCAGACGCTACATTGCCCTTCACAAATCTCAGGAGCCCACGCACTCGCTCCGCATTCGTGATCAAGTCACCGAACTGATTCAAAACCAGGTGCATCTCATCCTTAAGGTCATCGTATTTTGCGCGCATACTTTCGAAGACAGTTGAAGAGGCGGCAGAAGAGGGGATGGAGGCCAAGGCTTCGCCCACTTTGGCCATCTCCATCGCCACCGATCCACGCAATTTCACGTATGGACCCAGGTACCTATCCAGGGCCCGGCACGATTCGGAAACGAGGCGCGCAATTTCATTCAGAAGCTCTGCGGGCGCATGCACCTGGGTCTTGGCATCTTTTGGCACGAACGTGCGGTGCAGGTCCGCGTAGAAGTCAAGCATGAGTCCGCGCACGGCCGACGTGTTGGCAAAGACACGGTGCGCCCTTTTCGAAATACAAGAGCCTACGTATTCGGATATGTACTCATTTGCAGACGACGTAAGGTGCCTTTTGCTGTAGGCGTCAATTTCATCAATCTTTGACTTCGACCTGTCAATCACACCACTGATCACGTCAGTGGTGACCTGCAGTTTAGCCAACCCGCTTCGCCAATCCCCGCTACTCGAGTCACGCGGAATGAGTTCCCCAGAGGATACAACCGTTAAGTTAGCTCGCACATATTTGGTATCCTTCACCGCATCCCTCAACAGGCTTTTGGTGTAGACAACGAGCAGCGTCAGCTCCGCGTGGCTGGCGTTGTGCGGCAGTGTCGGATCGAAGTGGTCCAATACGGCTTCGTCAGTGACCTCGGGTGCTGCCGCATCGGAATTGGCCACCGCGGCTTTCGCCATGGACTCGCGCAGGAGGTTTACCTTCGCCTCGAACTCATTGCGTTCTTCCTCAGTCATGACCCGGTGTGGGAGCACATCCGTCAGGATGCTGGCAATCTTGTTGAGGTTGTGGTAGCCATAACCCGTCTTCCCACGCCTCGCAAACGTCAGACGAATTGCCGCTTTGAGGTCGGCAACGGAACGCATCAGCACGGTCTGCTCATCCATCGCCGAGTAGAGCTCGTACCACAGCGCCACGTTGGCACTGTCGGTGTAGCCCAAGCACTGCGGGGAGGAACACGTCTCGTCGGTCTTTTCCACATCGTATTTCGTGAGCAGGACCGCAAGCTGCTGCAAATGAGCCCTCTGGCGGTTGATCCAGGTCTGGTAATCCTTGGTCTCCGGGGATTCCGGGTCAGCCACACCCTTCAGCGCCTCACTAATCGGGCCGGTAAAATTGTAGTGCCCTCTGGCGCCATAAGCCGCGCTCAGCTTCCTAATGAGCATCACCGCTTTGACGTCGTTCAACCAATACGGGGGCAGCGCTTTGAGCATCTTCAGTTGCATGTAGAGCTCTGAACTCTTCATCAAGTCGTCGAGGTAACGGCGCAAGTCAACAATGTTGATCTGCGACACCCTCTTCTCGTAGCCGTCGAAATCTTGCAGCACAGTGGCGTATTGAAGAACGCCAGTCTTCACACTTTCGACCGGTGCAGGCTCGTAAGCCGCCGCATTAATCTTACGATTGCCTTCGGTGATGGTATTAACCTTCGCGCTGATGCCTTCCCAGAGCTCTGTATTGACGGCGTCGTTGGCGTATTTTGCGTCGAACAGCAGTTTGATGACGTGGAAGTTGTTCTTGCTCGACTGCGGAAAGATCACCCTCAGTGCGTCCTCTGCAATGACGCTGTACCTCTTCGCATCGTCGGCAATGGCGTACGCTCTCCGCATTTCGTCCTGTTGCTGCATCGTACGGGGAATGAGAGGCGGGCGTATATGCGACGAATCGAACCTCCACGACACCGGCTTGTCAGTATTGTCGTTCGGCCCCGAACCCGCGCTCGCCGTTTGACAACAGACGAGAAGACCTGACAGCAGGGTCCACCAGAATGCGAACCTCCGATACGTGGACGCCATGGTCACAACGTGGTTTCCAGAAGCGCAACTCAACTTTGCGCAGCAGCGGCCAAGTGGTGCTGCCACCGTTTGAGGCGGAATGGCGTATGCGACGATTGCTGAAAGCGGCTTTGTTGGCCGCAGTGGTGAGCGGGTTTTATATTTTTGAACCCTGTTTACCAGGGAACAGAATTTTATGACTCTATCCACAACAGTTTAACAGTGGTGTCTAAGGCCAATACGTTTAAGTGATGAAAGTTGTGCGATCTTATTGTGAAACCGACACCATTGTTTTCGCCAGATACTACAGCGGCATTTCCCTTCTCGTTGCACCACAGCTAGCAGGCGGATGGTAAAAGCGAGCATAAATGGCGATCTACCGCCCTCTGGAAGATGCCAAAAAATTCGATAAGGACGGGCTAAACATTACAAATGCCTGGGCATTTGAACCGCCAATGGACGATATGATAAGAATTTTGCGTGGTATATTTTTTCCACGTTGGCTACCCTGCTGTGGTGCCAGCCGGCATTTCCACGTATTACAGCGCCGTGTTCCATGGCCCAGTATTTTTTAATGACGCTTCACAGCACCTGCGTTGGCATGGCCAGTCACGAGCATTTCGCTCGCAGCGATCACCTTCTCATGGTACAGTCTCCCAGCGCCTACAGTCGGCTGCCGTGACGCAGTGATGTACACGTGCGTCATCACGCTCCATCAGCTGACCCACATTTGGGCGCCACCAGCGGGCGCATTGAATTGCTACCACCCACTGATAACTGTGCAACACGAATAATACCGATGCTCTTATAGCTTGTAATGTAATCAGGAAGCTGCACTGATAATGTACTTGTAGAAGTTTTCAGTCATGCATTGCAACTGATTACTCTAACAGGGATCCGAAAAATACAAAAACATCGTGTCTGCAGGTTTGCAAAGTGCTGGTAACTGGCACTTGTTGTATAACGAGTATTTGGCTTCTGTATCTGGCAACGTGATACCATGTGACTTTAATAGCATTTCTCTGGCCGCCGCCGAACGCAGAGATTTTCCGGGTGTCGAACAATGAGGAATCTTGGTTATATTATTAAGGACGAATGGTCGGTATATGTCTGGTTATACCTTCGTCGGTGAGAATAGAGAATGTGTGTCGACACTGTAAAGCAGCGGCGCTGTGCATCTACCTTCGTATATAGCCGCCTTAAGCGCACATATATACATGAAGTTGAGGATTCCTTGTGTTAAACAATACCAATTATGTGAAACACACTGGAAGTGTGTTTATTTTGCTGTTCGATCCGTGGCGTTGACCGCCGTGGTGTCTACAAGCTGGGAGGGACGGTCATTGGATATGTACCACATTTTAAGCCTAATTTCATTATCCTTTAACTTAATTTGGTATTCGATATGGTATTCAAACTCGTTTTCACTTTCTAATGCTCGTTTTTTCCGGGCGGTTTCTTTCCTGGAATGTGCGCCAACGATGGAGACCGATGTACGACTCATGAAACGTCGTCGCCAAGAATTAAGTTCGTCAGCTCCAAATACGTCGGAATGCAGGCGTATAGAATCGGTAGAAGATCTGGAAAGGTTAGTGATGCGTTGTCCATGCAGATATTCTGCAATTGTACATTGAGATTGACGGTCACTGTTCTGTAGTTACGTGAAGGAGGAAGATTGCGTTTTTGTCGCGATAAAAACCGAACACCATACGAAGTTCGCCGAGAAAGGTTTCTTCAGGTATTGTTTTCGCGATGCGAGCATATATGCCATTGCAGGGCGCTAGCAAAGAATCACAAAAAGATACTCGCAACGACTCGTTGGGGAGATTACGAAATTCCCGATGACGCTCGTCGCTACGTGCTGCGCGGTATTTCAGTTGCTTTCGTGTGCATAACGTTCAGGTTGGGACAGCCTGGATTCTGATCTGCAAGACCTGATAAAAGCGGAGGCAGTTGCTTACCATAATTTCACGTCCTTGAGGAAATATGATGACATGTCTATTGGTAAGTCATTATTTCTGATATTCGTTGATTGCGTATACTAACTAAATGAAAGTGCTTTCCGCATCGCTTCTTTAATGTCCTTCAGACGAGTGTTTGAGATTATTAGGTGACTCTCACGGTGTAATGGTGAGCTTCGAGACGGTGGGTCACATAGCTCACTTGAATCTGCCCGTCGAGCGCCTATGGGCCAAGAAGATTATTGCCAAGATTTTGTTAGACAAGCACAAGCACATTAAGACCGTAGTGAATAAAGTGAGGGAGGTGGACAACGAGTTTCGTACTATGGAGCTTGAGCTCTTAGGTGGTGTGGATGACCTGGTGGCGGTGCAGCATGAAAACTCGTATACATTCAAGATCGACTTCCGAAATGTGTACTGGAACTCCCGTTTGATACAAGAGCGGGAGCGCATCAGCGACACTTTTCATATGGGCGACGTGCTGGTGGACATGTTTGCAGGTGTAGGTCCATTTGCCATGTACGCGGCTGGTAAAGGGTGCTTGGTGTTCGCAAACGACCTTAACCCTGTTGGAGCTCAATTCATTGGTATAAATGCAGGTTTGAACAACGTCACCCACTTAGTGCATCCATATAATCTGGACGCGCGTGAATTTGCGAAAACGGTTGTTGAATACGGCATTCTGGACAGGGACGTATCCTCAGTCAAGGATCACAAGCTGCGTCCGGAATCGAAAATTCACTTTGTCATGAATTTACCAAAGGACGCAATTGAGTTTATGGGTACGCCGTACAGCTGTGGTGACAATAGTTTGCAGATGTTTTTAGAGGTATAGTGCGACTCATCCCAGCGGAGCGTGTGCGCACATGCGTAGTTCACTGTTATTGCTTCAGCGACTCCGAAGATGTGGAGTCTGATATAGACCAACGAATGGAAAAAGTTCTTCGTTACAACGTGCAGCAAAAGAAGATCACTAGGGTCAGAGATGTGTCGCCGAAAAAACATATGTATTGCATCGAGTTCAACGCACCTAACGAACTGCTGTGTTCGGATGAGTGACTATCTTTCGAGAGCCAACAAACGCAGCAGTCCCTGTAGACATCGAATCTAGATATACAAACTTAAGTTCACGTGGCAGCCAGTAAAGTGAAGTGACTTTTTGCACGCTCCTACCGGCAGCGCCAATTCCCTGCGGCTTCGAATGGAATACGGAGTGAGACGACGCTTATACGCACCACCAACGCCTCAGTCTGCCAGGCCATCACGTACACATAGCGGAATATGGATGCGGGGGTCACGAGTCATCTGGTAACTCCTCCAGGGGACCGGCACACTACGGCCGCTCGTCACCAATCACCCGCTACCCGCGCTAGGCATCAAATCCTTACAGAACACAATAGTATTACTTGAATTGGACGAGTTAATGTGTGTTCAGAAGCCTTAGACTACCAGAGTCCCCGATGGACGCCGCGTCCCCACAGGTCGTTTGACGCGGTTGCTTCCCCGGGTAGCGGGCTGCGACGGCTGTTCGGCGGCTGCACAATTTATTTTTGTACCTTGCGGCATCGAGAGGCGTGCTTGTGTCGCAGATTCGAAGACGATATCGCGGCGACAGGAAGTACTAGTGCCGTAGTCTGTACTATCGTATAAAGGTCAAAATGGTGGGTGGCTATCACGTGTTGCGTGGGTCCTGTGCGCGGTTGTTTCCCGTGAGGGTCTGTGTCGTCGGCTGGCATTGTTGTATCCGAGGGTGTGGGTGGTTTCCAGCCGCCTGAGCTGCCGGGTATCCCAGTAACGGCGAGTGTATATTGAGTTTGTGTCGTGAACAGCACTGATTGTTTGTTCAGGGTCGCGTGCGTACGAAGACCGTGAAGCGCGCTGCGCGTCAGATCGTGGAGAAGTACTACGCGAAGCTTGGTCTGGACTTCCACTTCAACAAGAAGGTTGCGGAGGAGGTGGCGCAGATCCCGTCGAAGCGTATGCGCAACAAGGTTGCCGGTTTCATCACGCACCTGATGCGCCGCATCCAGAAGGGTCCCGTGCGCGGCATTTCGCTGAAGCTGCAGGAGGAGGAGCGCGAGCGCCGCATGGACTACGTGCCGGAGCACTCTGAGGTGGACGTGCCGCTGATCCAGATCGACCAGGACACGGCTGACATGCTCAACTTCCTCAAAATCAACATTCCGAACGTGAAGGTCATCACCGCGAATGTGCACGGCGAGGGTGCCCACCAGCGCTACTGAGCGGCGCTGCGCTGGCCACCGCCAACTAACAGCGACATAATCGGCATACCACAACTAGTTCGCATTGCGTGTTTATGTCCCGGTGGTTTCCAACTGTCGTCCATTTACAGGGTGCTTGAGGAGCCGTTCATGTTTATTTTTTTGATGTATCGTGTCGTTATGTCATGTGCTGCATACTGTTGTTGAGTGGTTCATTTTGTCGACTTTGGTGCGATATAACAAAGATTATACAGCTGATCGATAGTTTTACGTGCTCAATGCCCCTATTTTGGTTACATTAAGCGACGGGCGTGCGAATAAATCTGCAGCTTAATCAGGTAGCAGATGCACAAATTATATCTTCCTTCCCGCCCATACCACGATTTATCTCGAAGGCCAACTATGTTGCGATATACCTTTGTTGTCTGGCCATAAAACCTTTTGGTCTGGATGCACAGTGAAGTGTTTGCGATACTTTTGTATTGTTTCGCTGATGGGCTTTTTCCTCATCAGCTTAGCGAGGTAATAGGCGCGTCTCCTGAGATACAACGCATCTACGAAACGGTTGCGAACTGCCCAGATATTGGTGACGCTGCCGTCCGCAGCAAGCATTTGACGAAGCTTCGTGTTATATTTTTTTGGGGTCGAGGCCTGCATATGCTTGGCGGTACCACTTAATGGCATTAGGGCGTATTGAACGAATGGTTTAAACCGATCAGGATCGATGACTTCATTTGTTGTAGGCTGTAATTGGCCTTTTCCACCCGATTTCCCCCCTATCATCATCAACATCGATCGAGCATCGTGTAGCGTAGCAGACTTAGTAAAAGTTTCATGATCCACTGTGTCCATAAAATTTTCTATATGCGCCTTATTGGCCTCAAAGACCCTTACGGTATCCCAAAGCTTTTTTATGGATGGGTGGTCCTTCCTTGTCTCCATACGTTTGAGTTGCATGGCAAGATAATGCTGCAGGGTAAAATCCATGTGCAGGTACTTGCTGGGCCAATACCAGCGCGTCCTGCTTCTACCTCTTAGCGGTTTTAACCATTCATTTTCTCCAGGCATGCCTAAACACGAATGTGTATATTTGAAAGCACGAAGATAAGTGGCATAGGTTCGCTAAACACACATATAGACGGACTGGGCTGTAAAAGCTGGTCACCTAGCACTTATCAACCAATACACATCTAGCATGACATAATACTTTGCTATAGGCCTTTTTACCCTTTATTCTGCCGAAGATGTCTTGCCTCGCCCTGCGTATGGATTCGCTCCACACCTCCTGCGCTCGGCCGGCGAGGATCGTCGACAGCGAGTGTTTTTTCATTAGATTGGCAAAAAACTTGCAGAATCCATTTTTAGGTTGACTATAGTTGTACAACGCTCCCCACCAAGCGGCACGTTTCGGCAACGCGTTTATCAACAATTACTTAGTTTAATAATTGAAAATGCGTATATCAGGCAAGTCTTATACTCGAGTTAACGTATACGGGTAATACTTGTCATGTGTAGCTGTCAAAGTGGATTATTCGCGACAGTTCATGCCTCTGCACCAGGTGAATTGTTGTCTAATGCATCTTACCAGTTGTATTCTGCAATTGTCCATGTGCTCTTCGGAACCTGCATGATACTTCATCTTTTCCTGCAGGTTTTTAATTTTGAGATCAATAATCCTGGCGAGGATGGCATCTATCTTTTCCTGCTCCATTGCAGCCAAGCGCGTGCAGGTGTCCGTGGATACTTGCAGCGCTCGTTCGAACGCTCTGAATAGCGTCGCATCCGCAACTGTTGGGTTCTGCAGCACAGTGTGTTCTGCATCCTTGCCTTGTGCGATAACAGTCCCGCTTGCTTCGGCCTCTTTCCCTTTCACTTCACGCTCATTGTACGTAAATGCGTGTAGCCTATCTGGGTTTGCAGCATCGGCATCCTTCTTGTCACTGCGTACTGGCGTTACAGTTGTGTGGCATACAGTTTCTGTTTTTGACCCCGTTTTCGTGTGTTTTCCATGAATAATGTTTCCTTCCGCTTCACTTGTAGCAAATCCGGGTGGCCATGCCTCCGGCTTCAGGACATCGTCTAAGATGGCCTTTGCTGCTTGCGATGCGACGATGGGGCTGATAGTGGATGCACAGAATGCGAGAAAGGCCGTGACAGTGTTTGGGCTGGTGAAGAACGGGAGATCTGTTTCCGCATCCACAACGTCCTTAAAACAGACCGGAACTCGCATTACTCCTCGTGTTTCACGTTCCAGAGGCGCAGTTACGAAATGGTAAATGCACTCCCTGACAGTTACCTCGTCACCCACTTCCTCCTGGACCAGGCGCCAGTCCAGACCGAACTTGTCAATGGCACTGTACAACTTCTCCCGTCTGGAGCGGTTCCACTTGCTTGGCACGAATGGATGCTTCGACCACTTGGCCCCGACTGGCACAATAACATTTACAAGGGATTTCCTGGGCACTTGTAGTGGGTACCTCGAGTTGGCGTAGCACGTAGAACACCAGACATCGTCCTTGTACTTTTCCAGGCTGTCTGCATAGTGGGTTATAGAGTTGGCCTAATTTGTGAACTATACTAAAAATGGAAACATGCAACATTGTAATTTCATGCGCTTATCGCAAACAACGTTGCGTCTTTCTTGTCCACGTTACGAAATACAACACCCTTAGAAGCAGGGTTGTGCAGAATCCGTATCGCTTTCCTTTGAACACACATTTACGACACAGCTCCACGGCGCTAGTTTACCCTTCTAAACATACCATCTACAGGCGTTTCAACCATGTAATACATGTATTTACATGGAAGACGGCAGCTTTGACATGTGCGCTGTGGCCATTGTTCCTTTGCGATTTCTCGATCCATTAGGCTTTTCTCCAACGTGAAAGGCGCATTAATGGCATCAACGCAATCCGATTTATTCTCCGATGGCGTTGCATCGCCGGCTCCATCAACGTCCTTACAAGGAACGCTGACGTCTGCGTCGCTAGCTGCATGCGATTTGATGGTATCAATTTCCCTCTGCACTGCTTGTGAAACACACACATAGTACTAACGTTGAATTGGTATAAGTATTCATCCGATGTAGTGAGGTGTCTCCATGCTCCGTGGTTGATTAACCCCCAATAGTTAAGAATACAATACACTTTTGCGATGGCGGATGGATCGGCATCTAAAAAAATCTGTATGGCCGTTTATTACAAAATACCTATTGATCTTGTACATTCGGTTGATGTTAGATGCCTCGCCGGGTTCCGATTATAAAGTTGTATGATTTTTGAGCGTATGTCTATATAGTAGCTATTGGCGTCGTCCGTATTGGCGCAATAATCTGAAAGTTCCTTATTATTCGTTCGACTTTGCACATACCGTGGAAGATGCTGGCGACATATTCCCTTTCTATGCAGTTAAGCTCCTTTTCATCATACCAGTGTTGAACGGGAGTTGAGATTCGGCATTTAACGTCTTCCCTTTCATCCGGCTTTGGTTCGAGTCCCATAAACTCTACGAAGCAGTTCCGCCTTAGTGGCATATTGTCGGCTGTGTGCTGCTATACGCTGATTGGCAATAGCACAGCTACGAGCGAGCGCACACAGCTCCTTCTTCAGCGCCAGTTCTAATGTAAAAACTAACATTGTTAAGTTTCCATATTCGCTTATTAAAATTATATTTTATCGGTCTCCAGTATGTTTGCAACGTCGGGAGCTACCACTACGGCTCGCGAAACCACGCTCCCGTCAGTGACGGTCGTTGGCTCAATTGTCGTCGCGGTCCACTACGGACAGATCAAGCTCTTTGCCTGTGATAGCTCGGTACCTGTGTCTACATGTAATTTACGGGCGGACAACTCACATTCTCAACACATCGTTCGACGCAGACTCAAAGTGCGAGGTAGCATCGTATGATTCCGAGACGAATATGTTATCCTTGGTACCATCATCTGTGGGCACGTATATGTCTGAGACCTGTACGAATTTCTCTTCGATGTGCCCGATGATTTTTAGCGCGGGTTCTATTTCTCTTTCGGGGTAGTTCGTCTCCACCGTTGTCGAGATGAGAGATATGAACTTCCCCTTCGTGGCGACACCGTGCGAATGTGAGACAAGCGTGATGTATATGTCGTGCTTCCTGTCGAGTTGCTTTTGCGGAATGATGACCTGGCACGATGTTGCGTCGTTAGTATCTGGAATGGGCTGGCCGAGGATGCAGATGCATCTGCGCAATATGAGTGGCTTGCATAGAAAACGGAGCGACAAGTAATAAAAGCTTATTCTGCATTAAATGCAAGCACGAATGCAAATCGCTACTCTGGCTTGTGTTATCTTAACACATGCAGCAGAGTGGGGCGCCTCGTAAGAGGCCATAATCAATTATTCATGTGCAGCAGCTCACCTAATAACTTTTCCGACGCTCTTGACCTTGTGCGGCAGCGTATGAACCACGTAAGTGGGATCGCAGACCACCATGGAGCACTTGGCACTCTCTCCTTCTGCGGTCTTAACTGCGCACACCTTTCCTTCGCTGTCGAATTCGAAGCCGTTTATGGGCTTGTTGAGCATGTACGTGCCATTGTAAATGGCGCATCTCCTGGAGAACGCTTCTGGTATACCTCCGAGACCATATACGGGGTATATGAAGGGCGAAGATCCGAACCTCATCAGGGAGTCCATGTACAGCTTCATTTTGAGAATGGTCATGAATGCGGGTTCGTTCATGTAGTCGTCGCACGTGTGTAGTGCCACAGCATGTCCCAGGAAATCGACCGTGTTTTCTTCGAGTCCGTAATGGTCGTAGTAGGCTTTGATTGTGTCCTTGAAAGGGTTGAGACCCTTCCACGTTTCTGGTTCCGTCTGGTCGAACTGGGCTACAAAACGGTAGAAGTTGTGGCACCTTGTTTTCTCAAAGAATCCCATGAGTGGCGACTGGAGCGCCTCCTTATCCGTGGCCGGCACCTTGTGAATAAACTTTTCGTCGTAGAATAGCGTTGCCTTTTGGTGCTGGTACACATAGCTGCCGTCGAGCACCTGCCACTCCAGGTAGTGCGAAGTTTCCGTTGCGCGCAGTATTTTGACGAGGGTTCCTTCTGCAAGGACGAACTTCGGTATGAGATCCACATTCCAGTCGCGATTTGGTCCATAGCTTTTTGGCGGCTCGGCACCTGCTCGTGGTTACACAGCGCATCACAGCAATTCGCACCTAGTCTAAAGCGCTTGTATAGGTTCGTAAGGTTGAGTGACGCGGCTTCCCCTCCGTAGTAGGAGTTTCTGTCCATAACGAGGACCTTTTTCCCTGCAAGGTGTGTATGCAGTTGCGAGTCTCAGTACCGCTCTGGGAGAGAAGCCCGCTCAGTATGCTTTCTTTGAGTCCTGTGCCACAGACACACACCTGCAGCCGCTGTTATTTTCGCGATCGGCGACCTACATCGTAAGCTGCGTCCATCTTGGATGTGTTGAGTTAACCCAAATCGCCGTTATTTCCGAAAATAAATTGGCGGTACACGTCGGCGCCGCGTTTTTGATTTATTTAGCTGATGGGTCACCAAATTATTACAAGGTGTGTTGTGCTCTCACTGCATTGCCCCGGGTACGAGTGTCCATGTCGACGTAGGAGGCAGTTGCTATCGGTCGCGTGGACCCACCACCCACACAGCTACATGGTATTTAGTGTTTTATGCGCACCGCATTGTTATATGTGTTGGCATTTTTAGGTGATATAATGAGATATGGCAGTTGAGCCAATCTCTCTCGGACGCAAACAACTGCAACTGAGGAGAATGGCCATTGTAATAGTGATTCGATAACGTCTATGTATCCTACATTGCAGCGCCACCACCGTTTTACATAGGTGAGAACGGTTGGTACACCTCGCACGTCAAGTTGATAGACACCGAACATCACTGTGGCTTTACCGATACAGATATATCAGTATCATAGTTATACTCCTTACCCCGCTCACAATACGAATTTTCGTATACAGTTAAAGCCACAGTGGAAGAAAGGCTTGTGGGCCACTGCCGGGGTCGGCCTGCCGGCCGTATATATTCACACCTTCGTTTGATGACAACATTGACTAAAAACCGTCATACACAGAAATTTGATGTCTGATTTTAGCACTGTGTCGGTACATTTGCTTCTAGCTGCTAGGATTCCCCACGGCGCCACGTTGGCCGTTCCCCACGAGCCGTCGCGGCCTTCAATCTCGCCGTTCACTAGGAGTTCGTGGCATCCTCTCTTTCATTTGGCAATCGGAGCAATTTATCAAGGTGAGTGACGCTGAATTTGGGTGAAATGTGTTTCGTCCTGCCTTGTGTTGGGTTCAGGGCTGCTTCGGCAATGCTTTGTTCGTGAAAGCCGGGCCTTGTATCGGCCTAATCACGACACTTTTTCACCGTGATTTTGCGTATAAACGTGCTCGACTGCCTTCGTGCGGCGGTGAATTCTGCCCTCTCCTCGGTACATGGTTATTGTCCTCATAAAGCCAGTTTGTTGGACGGCTATGCATCGTGCGGTTAATTATTTCAGTTTTATGTGCGCTAGATTCTTTGCAGATGGAACTCTCATTGGATAAGGAGATGCTCAGGATGGGCCGCTTGGACGCTGATGTGCCCTACCGTCGCTTCAACACGTCGTTGAAGGACTGCAACGCGGACGTGTTCATCGCCGCGTTCGCTCAGCAGATGGAGCTGAAGAACTACGTTGACCCCCCGAAGTGGACCGACTACGCTAAGACCAGCGTGGCGAAGGAGCTCGCTCCCCAGAACCCAAAGTGGTTCTACATTCGCAGCGCTGCTATTTTGCGTCACCTCTACTTCCACCCCGACGAGGGTATCGGTAGGCTGAGGCACGTGTACGCCTCCCGCAAGAGGCGCGGCTGCGCTCCCAACCACACCTGCCCCGCTTCCGGCAAGATCATCAGGACGATCGTGCAGCAGCTGGAGGCTAACGGCTTCCTGGAGAAGAGCAAGGACAACAAGGGACGCCGCCTGTCTCGCCGCGGCTGCAACATCGTAAACGAGTTTGCGCGCCACTTGACCCGCAGCCTCATGGAGCAGAGCTCGTCGTAATTTGAACCATACTTAATGCTCTACCATTGCTACTTGTTGCATAGTGTGCGCACGATCCAATACATATTTGTACGAAACAAGCTTGCAAAGCACACTTGTAGGTGCAAGATGCTCCGGCGGCGGTGTTTGCTTGTGCAAGGTGCGTTACGCATCCTCCCCTGGTATTCATACGCTTATTGGCGCGTAACTTGCTAGGTATCTCACTAAGCTGGATGGCATCACGAGACCCAGTGCGTTGTACCGTGGGTGATTATTTCAAGAAATTTGTGATATACCGCAAATTTGATACTAGGGTTGATCCGCATTTCCCCTTTGTGTATCAACAGGACGTCGGCCCGACAACGCACCCGACACAAGACAGCTTTCTGCTGGTGTACGGTCGGAGTAATGGATCATATATTGCATCTTAACAGATAGAAAACCCGCCACCAACGACAAACAATTCAAGCAGCGTGAATCCACAAAGCACCAATACAGGCGTAACCACAACGGACACCTGCCCCCACAATATGATAAATAATACCTATTCGTGCCAAAAATGCATACTCTTCCACCAGCTACAACATTAAAGTGTCATTCAGGTATCATACAAGACTTTATTTGGTCTTTTAGGCCAATGACGCGATAAGTTTCAGCATTTCCTCGGAGGTTTCCGACGATTCGTCAAAGTGGGTGATTGCGACACTGGTAGTGCCCACAATGTTGCGGGCGACACCTTCAATGTCGTATTTGCACAACCCAGCCCACATTCCGACAGTCTTGCAGTCGGCATCCGTCTCAATGCAGGGCACTCCGTGTTCCTTGCACAGCGCCAGGATAAGCTTGAGGTAACCCTCCTCACTGGTTTGGTTGGAGACCACGCATGCCTTTACCTTCTTGGCATCCAGTGCCTTGGTGACCTGGTGGAGACCCCTTACGAGGCATCCCTTGGACATGGCCAAGTGGAGCAACCTCTGGAGTGGCTCTTCCGGGGTGTTAACGGGCGCAACGGCCTCAGGAGCAGCTTCGTCGGACATTTTGTCTGCAGTGTTATGAGCGGATCGTTGCAAATGCAAAATCATGACGACGCACAGACAGAGGTACAACTACACAACCGACACTGTTGGTTGAAACATTAACAATTAACACAGGCAGTACCACGCAACACAGTCTGTTGAGCAAATATAAACCCAAAGGAGCCACATTAAGGATTAGGTTGTACCTGGAGGCCAACACGTATGCAGAGCAAATTCACGTCGCTTGTAGGTACTTACAACGAAATTAAACCACAACACTCACAAAATTATATTTGTGGCAACGAAATATAACACACAGATGCCGCGGAGTAGTCCGGGTGATAGCTACGTAACTCCAAATGGCAAGGCGCAACCCAGTGAAGGCCGAAGCTCGCAGTAACTACCCATATATGTCACTCCCGCGGCTAATAAAAACACACCACATCAGAAAATGAAAAACAAAAGCGAACGAATACTATTTTCACAACGATCAACCGCTCCAGCGATATTTGCGATGGAATCCGCCGCGGGCCAGGCCACACGCCCGCGGGTTCACCGGCCACCGCCGCTGTAGCGGCGCTTAACACCGTTCTGATCCACACCCACCTTTATCAAGCGCTAGTCTTTAAAGTAGTGGCTGCCCGTTTTGCTTGGACAATGTTGTGAGCTGTGTTGCAGGGCCGCGGCGCACAGTGGGGGAACCGGTAGCATCCAGACAGGCGGCGCGAGCGGACCGCTCCGAGAGGGCGTTCGCAACAGCAGCTGAAGCGACATTCTATTTTAATACGTGATAACAATTTAGAGTGTGTTTGAGGTGCATATACCACAGCGTCCACGGCACTCGAGGCGAAGGGTGAGCGCCGCTGGAGAAGCAAAAACTTTAATGCACTTTTCGTCTCTACATGGAAAGCATCATAGCCACATTCAGTGAAGCTACGTCTATCGTGACTCAATCGTCAGATTCGCTGTCTTCGTCCTCATCTTCCTGTAGCCATGTCACAAAGGGTTCCGCCTTTTCCTTGGTCCGCAGGTATGCCTCTGCCAGGAAGCCTTCAAACCTTGTGCCTTTGCTGTAGAAGCGGCAGAAGTCGCGTCCTTCCGCTAGATCGCCGGCGTAGAGGGCACGACAAATGTAAGGGTATTCCTGCAGTTGTTGGGGGTACATTTTGACTACAAAGGCTGCCATGGCGGTGAGTATATCCTTCGGCTGAACTGCGTATTTGAGCAGCGATTTGAGCATAACCATTTTTTGTTCCAAAGCGGCGACATCAAACTTGTCCCTGAACAGCGCGCAAAACGCGACGTAAAATCTGCATACGTTATCGAAATCCTGTGAGAGTTGCAACATGTGGACTTCTTCAACGAAATCTGCGGGGTCCGCGAACTTTCCAGCTGTAAGAGAGGAGTATAGTCGGTCGACAATATCACTAATTTCCGCACTTTCAACGGTGAGCTTTTCCATTTCTTCACCCTGTATCCCTCCGTCGACTCCATTGACATCCTCCTGTCCGTCCTCTGATGAGCGTTTCTTCTTCTCCTTCTCCTTCTTTTCCTTTTTCTTCTTTTCCTTTTCCTTGTCTTTATCCGTCGACCCTTCCTTGGGCGAGTCCTTTTTAGTTCTATTTGAGTGCTTGGACATTTCAGTGAGGCAGGCGGGGTTCTTCAGCATGTACGTTGCGGCCTTGTGCGTGTTGTCCAGACTTCCCTTGTGTCCACACGCGTTGCATCTTGAGCAGAGTATCCCCTTTTTGACCAGCACCTCGATTTCCGGCAGGTGGCACTCGGCGCAGAGTACGTACATTTCGATGAACTTGTCCAGTATCTGCGTCAGCGCACGCTCCGTGTGTGCTCCGTTGATAAGGGCTTTCTCCTCTGACTCCTCGAACTTGGACATTGCGCCTAGTTCGCAACCGAAGAACTTCGTAGCGTACGTGGGCGGGCGCTTGAGGGCACGGGCGATATCACCCATGTTCGAAATGTTTGTCTTGATTCCGTTTCCCCTGCCCTCAATGCGCGATTGTAGTCTCGGCATTTTGTACCTGTAGTTGGGGTCCTCGCAGTAGCGAGGTATGTTAACCAACGACATTTTGCCCCCGGTTTAATTTCAACAATCGTGCTGTTAGATTTCTCGATGCTCTGCGTCGATACAATTCGGACTTTTATAAAGCCAGTGATATCTCGATCTTGTTACAGGTCGTACTTGTGTTTGCTATTCATATACACTTCTTAGAGGCTGATGCTCTTTCCAGGAAGCGGTTCAGAGTTTAGAAAAGCTTGCGTCACCACTAAGTTTGTCAAGTGTTCCGCGACGGCTTCCATCAGCCGCTGACCTAGATTTTTCGGTTCAAGTTAGGGCAGACGCCAGGTATATGCTTGTATGTGACATCCAACATTCCCACAAGTTGGCCTGTCTAGTATAATTGCAAGGTAGCTTCTAGGGTGTCTGTGATTACAGAAGCTGCCCTGTCTTCCGCGGATGTATCCTCGCTTGCCTGCAGATATTCAAACCTGTCACGGCACGTTCGCCTTGGGAGTACCTTATGCGAGAATTGAACATTCCACTAAGGCACCTTTATCACTGCAAGCGCATTGATTTAACTGTTTGCCCGGTGTAAGCGCGCGTGTTCCGACGGCTTATTCGCAACAAGCGCAAGATTCCGTCAGTGAAGCATATGAGAAATACCTCACCGATCCTCGCAGTAAATCGGTATGTTTCGTATTGCTTTTGCCCTTGGCCGCTTCGAAGGTTGTATAATGCCTTCTCGTACTCTTCCCAAAGTCCGGATGCTTTCCACCATTGGCTGTGGCAGTTGCCTGTTTTGATTATTCAGGGTAGCTTAACAAAACGACAGCCGCATAAAAGCTTTTGTCTGTGTATAGCTCAATAGGATTGCTCGCAGTGCCGCGGACACGCGAGTACCACACAAGCCCACCACAGACGAGAGGTTGAAGCGCGAGTCGGGAGTTGGTCAGGCGGCTATTTTCGTAGCTTTCTGGGTTTGTGTGCAGCGTTTTTACTAGGTGAAGTTATATTTCCGTTTATAGTATGTGGTAGTGATTCTGCGGCCGGCGGATAGTACGACGCTAGATCTGCCTTCCACTAAAGGCACATTTGACGATATTTCCGGAACCGCGGAATTTGATATTTATAATCACACGTAGTGTATACAGCGGTCATTGTGGTTGAGATTCCGCTGTAATTCTACTCATTTTGGATGAAATATACGGCGGTGATCTGCGATCTCTCCGTGTGAGACACTCCGCATGAATGCCATTTTCACCTCAGGGTGCTAACGTGGTGAGCAGATTCTGCAATACGGGGAGTATCTTACCACTTACAAAGCCTTCTACGAATTTCGCGTAGAGATAACGTTGCAACGTGTGCGTAGCTTGCGTAAGGCTACGCCCCGCAACCTTCGTTGCCATTGGATCCGGTTGTGCCACATTTATTCGACTCCTTATGAAACTGTTTATGCCGTGTACGTATTTTTGGTTGCCATACCTCGTTACTTTTCGTCCTTTTATAGCATTTAAGTGAGTCCATTTTCAGGGGACAAGTATTTTTGCATGGTACGCGGTTGCTGGTACGTCGTTTTCATAGCTGAATAGGTAGCTGTATGCCCATGTAACTGCATAATGGCCGCATCGCGACGGGAATCCGCAGTGCTGCTGATCCCGTGAGCGCACGGCCGATTCCTGTCTTTTTGAATCGTAGTTATGCAACCGTTATGTGCCACATTCGCACTTACTGTGAACTATGAGTCGCAAATAGAGACAATTCAACAGCGAACTTGGGTGCTGTTGTTACTCTTGCCTAGCTCCGCGCCTGTTCCCTTGACCCGTATCTCGCCCATTGATGGGGAATCCGGGAGTCTCCTATCGGCTTCTATTCACCATTGTTAACCCGGTATCAGCCACTTTGATAGGTGTCCGATAATAGTTTGTGATTTCGTTATGCCAGTTGACGATATCGCGGAGTCGCTTTCGAGCCTTAGCCTACAGGGAAACGCGACCGTCCGTTCCGCCCGTGGCGAAATTTACACTGTAGATACTGCAACTGGCGACACTTTCATCAAGGGAACGCAACGCAAAGATGGCAGTTATCGTTGCGACATAAAGGTTCGTCCTGGGTACGTCCCTCAGGTGTGTGGTCTGGTTATCTGTTACATGGGCTTTAGGACGAGCAAGGCACATATGTGCCGCGATTCCGCCGGTCTCCACAGACAGCTACAGCTGCCTGTATCGAAGCAGACAAAGAGAACAAGCCTGCCGACTCGCAAGCGGCAGAAGCCAAGAGCGCTTCTTGGCGCCCGGTGTCTAAGGGCACCGATGGTAAGGAGAAAAATGATATCGCAACGGCCCGCCCGGGTTCCCTTCCCAAAACAAACGAAGCTGTGACTCAGCGTCGCACCAGCAATGCTGCTTCGCAATCGTGGCGGGTGGAGGATTCTATGCCTTCCAGGTCGGCAAATGCCTCCGGCGCGGTAGCTGCCGATGAGACTGCCATAAGCAAGTAAGTCAATTGACAGTGTCTTTTACAATTCGACAGTGTACAATACAGCAAAAACCGTTTGCGTAGACACCGCAAAAAACACGAGGTCGCCGAGGCTGGTAGCGAGCAAGCTGGACAACCAGTGAAGGTACTTCTGCTCCAAGCGATCCGTTTAACCTTTTCACAGGCTGGAAACGAACGACAAACAACATCTAATAGTAAACAATAAGATACGCTCCCTCGATACGAGGTGTTAAAACACTGCCATTCCCTTTGATAGCCATAGCCCCGGCCTGTAAGGTGTGTGATCGGGCTGACTTTGTCAATCCGACATTGTTGGCGCATAAGCATCCATGATTGATGCGGCGGCCACCTGTACGATTGTGACGTAATATGTAATAGTTTGGCCGAACGATGACGGCTCCGAGTAAGAGCTTCCGCGACGTGAAAAGCGTTATAAAGCTGAACGCCTACCTGAACAAGAAGGTGTACGTAAAATTCAGTGGCGGGCGCGAAGGTTAGTTTTGTACAATGGTATTTCAATGCGTTCGTAGTTCAAGGGGTATTGAAGGGTCATGACGCGATGTCGAATCTCGTTCTGGACGATACCGAAGAGTTTTTGCGCGGTAATTTGTACAGTCGACCTCTTATACCTGCGTAGATCCCGAGGATCCTGACAGAGTGACCGAGAAAACCCGTCAGTTGGGTCTTTTGGTTGCCCGCGGCACATCGGTAAGTCTGCGTTTCGGCCCCTCAATATGTGTTCTACATTATGCTGTAAGGTTCCAGCAGAGATCGCACATTGTGTGCAACTCGTGGCTAATATTGCTCAGGTAACGGTTATTCATCCTGTGGAAGGAGCGGAGAAGATTGCGAATCCGTTTGCTGGTCGCATGTCTTAGTGGCGGCGCACTTGTGCTTGAGGAGCGAGCTCTTAAACTTGTATTCCGACTTACACGCGTCACACTTGTAACGCTTTGCATCGCCGTGCGCAATTTTGGCGTGCACATATAGGTTGCTTCGCTGCGATGGTATGACAAATGTTTTATTTGGGTGCCCGCATACGGACAGCCGCATGAAAACCGAATAACGTTTGTATAAATTGTACTCACACCCAAATGCAAAATGGTAGATCTCAATATGGGATTGAAGCCGTTTCAATCACTATCGTCGGTGACTTCGGAATGAAGGACTCAGCAACGGTGGCAGTTTTTTGGCTGCCACGTTGGCATTAGTCAGCGCTCTGGCGCTGTCCAACGAAACAGATCCATTGGAAGAACACAAACATTTGAGCACGTTCAATGATGAAATACAAGATTGGGGCACGCATGAAACCACTGTGTTGCCAGATGCATCTGCTCACCTTTGTAAAGATTCGCCCACAACCCTCGTGGGGACATAGGAACGCTGGAGGCTCCTTTTCTATGCTTTCTTTTGTACTACTTTGGGAAATATGCCTCGAGATGTGCTTCGTCATTCCGGATGTAGAATGGCAAGATGTGGAGCATGCCTCGAATGGGCAGATTAGAATAGTACCGTCCTCGTTCTCGCTCTTCTTCACCGCATACCCCTTTATGTAGCATATTTCTGGATCAGATTTTTTCTTGTGTCCATCTTGGTGTTTCTCTAACAGCTCCTTGTTTTCGAACGAACGCTTGCAGCCGTCAATGCCACATTCGAACGCAGGGGATCCCGAGTGATTGCGCGCGATATGTCTCGACATCCCTCCATACGATTGATACGACTTGCCACAACCTTCCACTGGGCAGACGAACCACGTTACATCGTCTTCGATACGCTTCTCCACCAGGAGTCCCTTAACGTATAGATGCCCATCCTCTAGTTTCTTTATATGCATAGCTCTGTGTTCCAAACAGGCTTCATTGTTGAGATATGTTCTTTGGCACCCGTTTACACCACACGTAAACCGTGTCTTACTGCGTTCGTGGCTCCTCCAGATGTGTCTTTTGAGGTGGTCGGAACGTGAATAGCTTTTACCGCAGCTATCGCATTTGAAGGATTTCTGCAACAATTAATTTCTCTTCACTTTACCCTACCTCGGTGTTGTGTACCGATTGCATGTGCCTTCTGAGGTTTCGTCTACCTATAAAGGTAGACGAGCAGAGAGCACAATGGAAGTTGGCATCTGGCGTAGGTGAGCTTGCACTATCCATATTCCAGCCTTCCACTTCATATTCAGCACCGAAATCACAGACTAACGAGCTGGCAGTTCTTCGCTGATTGCCCTAACAGAATCAGCAGCAGTTATCTGTGTATGTTGCTGTGACGTGACACAGATTCCACATCATGCGCTTTCCATGCTAAGCTGCAACCAACCTGCATTTGTTTATTTACGCATATGATTGCCTGCCGTAGGTCACAGCATTGGAATCTGGGCTGATTCATCGTAACGTCGCCTAGTGTGTGGCGTGATGAACTTCCGGGCTCCCTATGGCCACGTCTGAGTGATTTGTGGCGACGCGTTGCCGCAAATTTATGCACCTTGTTGTACCGATGGAGGTACAGCATTTAGGTTGTGTAAAGGGGCACAGTGAGTGTATCTGGTCAGTCGCCTGGAGCCCTGTCGAGTCTATCTTTGCGACGTGTAGCTCGGATAAAAGCGTGCGTATATGGCGCCTTAAGGAGCTCAAGGATGGCGCATCGTCCAAGGCTCATCTCTGCGCCTCCTATGATGCCGGATGTGGCATGGAATATGACATCGTTTTGGAGGTAATGTGTACCACCGATGCCTAAGCAAATGTAACAAAATATGCAACGCTTCACTGTTAGACATGACTTTAGGCGTTATTGGGTTCATGCGCGTCGACTTTAAGTTGGAAGCATCATATTGGCGCAGGCTGTGATCGACAAGCATTTCAAGAAGACTGTTCGGAGCGTGAGGTTCAGCGCTGATGGAAGATATCTGATCTGCGCCTCCTTCGACGGCACAGCAACGATCTGGAGTCCAGAAAACGATGACACAAGAGGCTGTAGTAATGCAGACGCAGAAACTATAGATGATTCGTCGTCTACCAATGACTCTTCGGGTCTGCAGACGTGGTCATGCCTCTGTGTGCTTGAGGGCCACGAAAACGAGGTGAAGTGCGCAGCGTTCGACTGCACTTCTACATATATCGCAACATGCGGACGTGATAAAACTGTCTGGATCCACCAACGTTCGTATTCCAGCGCAGACAACGATGCATATGATATCGCTCGCCTGCCACACGGCCCCATGGATGGATCGCTGGAATTCTATTGCACAGCCATATTGACGGGTCATACGCAAGGTATACGTACTTTTAGGCTCATATAGACGGTGTTCAGATGTTAAATGCGTTTGTTGGAGTACCAATGCCCTGCTGTTGGCTAGTTCGTCATACGACGAGACGGTCCGGCTCTGGGGCCTGATCCGTCAGGACTGGTAAGTCGATTAAGCGCTTTTAGCATTTTTTGTAGGGTATGCATCCAGACGCTAAGCATGTTTACGTCAACGGTGTGGTCGGTGTCTTTTGACGTAGATGGTAGCCGTCTCGCGGCGGGTGCCGCTGACGGCACGGTGGTCGTCTTCCAAAGTAAGTGATAGTAATATCCATGAGTAAAGCTATAAGTCGTTGTTATCGGATACCATATGCGATATTGGTTTCCAAATTAAAACCTTGCTCTTGTGTGTCTTAACGGCTTTTCTTAGGTGCAAAGGCACGTGATTATGTGGAACAGCTGACAGAGCTGCAACGTCAGGTTGCCTTCACGGGTACAATTTTGAAGCTGGGCCCGATAGACGTGGCGTTTTCGCACGAAATGGCTAGGAAGACTAGCAAGGTCCGTGATCACCAGCTAAAGAACCCGCTTATTGCAGGTACGTAATGTGCTTCACCTGAATCACGGATGTGGCAGACGACTGGCAGCCTTGCCACTGCATAGAATCCCACCACTCTCGGCCGGTCTACTCCGTTGACTTAAACACATTGCTGTTAACGGTATGTGTCCACGTCACCGAGCATTAAAATTTGCAGGGCGGTGGCGACAATATGGTAAAGATAATGCATCCCGGCGGTGACAATGCCGGTAGACGTATAGAGGTATCACCAATTTTGTTAGATTAATAGGAGTGCAGTTTGTGGCGCACAATTCCGACGTGAACGGTGTGTCGTGGAAGCGCCACGACTCACGTCTACTGTTCGCGACTGTGGGCGACGACGAGTATGTCAAGGTGTGGAAGTTGGTGGACACATGAGGCAGTTTGTGCTTTCGCCGCTATCAGCCCAATTCAGGCTAAAATATTGTTTATAATGTGCTAAATGTTGTCCGTGTAATTTTGTCGTAATGTTCGGCCTTCTGCAGAAGGTCTTCTACCCGGGGGTGGTTCCTGTATTGCAGGCGAAGGTATTGGCCCTGCCGCTTCCCGAGAAAGCCAAAGCAATCCTAGGTGAGCCATTTCACTTTACTCTTAGTTTGTGACGCGTCTCACAGCTCATCCCGCCGGCCCTTTCACGATTCACTTCTACGCGCCAACTTTCAAGTGGGGAATTTCTATAGCGAATTTGGCCGATATAAACCGTCCCACGGACAAGCTATCGCTACCGCAGCAGCTGGGTATGTCTGAGGAGCATAGAGTTCACACTTTGCAGCCGTGAGCTGCACCGGTATAATTTGGTCGCGGTACAGTACCGTGATCACTCCCGTTAACTACAACCTTCTTACGGGTGAGTCGAATACGCGTCTTATCAGCATGATTTAGTGAACGCCGCAATGGCCGTCACCGGTATATACCAGATATCACGCATCTGCCGCGATAGGCTGGCATCTGGCCAGCCTTTATTCTAGTATTGTAGTAGCCCATAATGGTAGCATTGTGATACCTTGGCTTCCTAATAACCCACTTGTATTAAAATAAAATCATATATCGGTGTCTAAAGCAATAAAAACTGCATGATGGCCACGTGCACCATGCCCGCTGTGTAACACGGGAAATAGTGTTTAGCTCTACGGGAGCAGCGTAATACACACAGTACAACACTGTACACGGTTGTCGCATAATGGACGTTTCGTCGACATTCAATAATATCAGGGACGACAAGGAGAAGGCTGAGGTGGGTGGCGCGTTGCTAGAGCGTCGGCGTTATTAACTGTTCCGCAGATTTTGATGTCCTTCCAAAAGGCCGTCCAATCGCAAAAGCTGACTCTGAAGCTCCTTGGTGTGTGTTTCGATCGCTGTGTCGCTACTCCCGGCGAGGTGCTTACGACGCCGCAGCAGACGTGCCTGTGGAGGTGCGCGCAACGCAACGTCGAAACGCAGTACTTCATTCTGAAGCGTCTGGAGGGCATGGCATCTGCGATGAAATCAGGAACATAGTGCTGTTGCCTTGTTTTTGCGCTTTACCAGGTTGTCTACATCGGCCTTCCACGACCAACCGCCACCCGGCAACTTGCACTTTTAATTTCTGCCGGTTTTCCGGCCGCCATATGATTGCATAAATCATGATGCCTAGGTATCAGCCTCGGTAGTATGGCCCAGCAGTCCGCTACCGGAGCCACCGAGTCTCATCTCGGTTTACCTCCTGAAAGAATGGGCTGATTTACGCGATGCAAGTAACAAACGTGAGGGTCGACAACGTAATGGGGAGCCACTCTATCTCGTTGTTGCATACGATAAGGATCTTGTTAACATCGGCGTTTTTGGCGCACTGCTTGTTGCTTCTGGATCTTCCGGGGGCCTTCTGCGCATCACCTGGGCTGCTACGCAGGTACACTGGCAGCCAGAAGCACTTGGGTTCAGATATCGCATTGAAACGAAGTTATGGAGGAGCTAGGATGTCCGCGTTCGTCGTAAATAAACTGAATACCGATGGTTTGTTTGCCTCGGGTTCACGGCTACTCGCATCCGGCAGGTTTTCGTTCGACCCTGCTCTCGTGAAGAAACGACGCCGCTCTCCGCTGAGCAAACAGTCAGATAAGTCGAAAACCCGTTGGGAATCGCAGCATTCTACGATGCACGAGCTTGCTAACCTCTCTTCCGACCATCCGACAAAAGAGGCGCTGCGGCAAGTGAGCCTTGAGGAGTTCATCAGGCGTATCGAGAAGCGCCCGGAGCGGAAACGCATTCCACGTCCTGCGGAGGCACACGAACCTTCATATGATGCCGTGGTGTACCTGAAGGGGCTGCCATACGAGGCTACTGAGGAGGACATTCGAAGCTGGCTGTCGGATTACGATATTATCTGCGTCGTGCTGATCAAGAACGAGAATGGGTGTTTCACTGGTGATGCGTATGTTCGCTGCACCAACATCGCAGAGAGGGATCGTTTGCAGCGGGACATGTCTGGGAAATCCCTGGGTATGCGGTACGTGCCCATGTACCGTGTGACAGAGTCGGCATATATGGAGTACTACCGGACCGGCTTTCGCCGCGAACCTGCAAAGCGCAATTACATCTCCCCTCAAGTGCTAGTTATGAAGCATGGCGTTGGCATAGAGCCAACAGACGTATGCGGCCTCAAAAGCGGCTCTCGAATTTGCGGCGTCGTAACTAACATATATCGCAACGGCGTTCTTGTGGATTGTAACGTCTACGAGTCGGTGGGAGGCCTACGGGAGCGAGTGTTTTGCGTGTTGATGCGCAACCGTATAGCGCGTAATGTTGGTCTTCTGGGTCAGCAGCGCGAGTGGCTGCGGACGAAGGACTTGGTGCTCTTCCCGGGAATAAAACTGAACCTTTACGTGGAGAAAGTGCGCCAAACCACCGCCCAGTCATCGTTCGATGAAGATTTATGGCGCGAGCATTTCGGGGAGCCCTTTGAGTCCTTGAATGCGTCGTCTTCGCTGCCAAAGCGTTCCATGGTCTACCTCACCATGGACTCCTCTGTGAATGATGACAAGGTGCAGTGGTGGGAGAGACGTCTCGTTGATACGTATGCGAAGTTTACGCTGCACGATAGTGAGCTCCCCGAACGAATCCACGACGAAGAGGTTTTCCAGAGGGTGGCTGTTGGCGATTCGTGGCTGGGTGGCCGTCCGAAAGTGGAACGCAATGAGGTAGCGGCAGGGCACGTATCCATAGGCGGCAATAAAAGGATAGTTGAGAAAACTTCAACGTTTGCTCGCGAGGCTGAGGAACCCGATCCAGCTGACGATGTAGACAGTCCTGCTTACCACGAGCTTGTGCGCGAATTTATGCGTGACTCGGATATAGACAAGTATGGAACGCGGTATCACGGTTTCGAAGATGCAGAAGCAGGCTTAGATTTAACGGAAACACATCGGGAGTCCACTGTGGAACCCATTTTACTGAATGTGGATTCGCCGAACGAACCAGCCGTATTTGAAGATACCGAGATGTCGGAGGCTGGAAGTTCCGCATCAACTGAGATACCGTTTGATACGTCAACAGGTGCGAGCAAAGTGTCATTCCAACGAACCAAAGTTTTGAGTAAGACACCGTCGTTAGGAGTTGGAAGGGCAAAAGGCGAAGGTGAAACCGGCGAGGCTCATTACTTTGCCGATCGCGAAATTGATTCGCCACCAACGTCGCTGATGCCAGCCGATGCATTAGACGGGCTGAATGTGATAGAGGATCTGCGTCGGAAAACTGCTGCAGAAGAACTGAAGGTACTCCCGCGCACAACTCTCTTCGACGAGTGCATTCAGCTTCCGGGTAGCGGCTGGCTACTACGGCGCTCTGACGTTCCCAAATTGGCGGAACCTCAGGTGGTTGCCATATTACGTCAACTGGGCAAGGAGGCAGTTAAGGACGCTGAAAACCCTGACTTTGAAAATCGCATGTTGTTGTTCCAGGTGATAAAGGAGCAAGGCCTCGGCACGGGTTTAGACCCCAAGACGCTGATCGCCAAGGGTCTGTACAAGGTTAAGCAGTCGAAGAAGAAGCTGAAGCGGATCATCGAGCTAACAAAGAATCTAACGGGTCGGCGTTTCACCAGGGAGGACCTAGACGCGGCGTCGAAGTCGGAACTACAGATGTTGGCCGAGGAATCGCTGCGCAAATTCTTACAGTGGAACCCGGCCGCCGATGTAAAGCGTGTGTTTGTCGACATGTATGGCGGTACCCTATCGAATCTGCCCGAGGGTGCCAACTTGGACGAGCGTTGGGACGCGCTCAAATGGCACATAGTGCTTGAGATATACGGCGAACAGAGCGACTTGAAGGAGATACTCCGTGATATTGAGGAGAACGATCGCATGCTGGGCCAGCAGGTCAGATCTCCGTCTGACGTTCTGGGTGACTTGGTGAAAAGCTCCATAGAGGACATGTGCTCTGAGCGGCGTACCGAGCATGAGCCGCCATCCACCTAGTGCTGTGAGTAGAACCTTCGTCTAATTTATAGTTGCGTACCATACAATGGGCGCCAACTGCCCGTCGTTAAGTTATGTTTGGCATGATGCCGGAAAACAACCGACAACATATGCTAATGGTTATCAGTAGTAAATCAGTAGAACAACATAACAGCGACTACGTGTGCCATCGCACCCGCTTCATGGTTGAATATACGCGTAACTAGCATATGCGAAGTTGCTATATCACGCTAAAATATGTTACTTGTCTTATACACGTGCTTCATCCACCGGGCATATATGCCAGTTGTAGGCACCTAATGCTTCACACCTAGACCCAGAATAGCTCATGGAGGCTAGACATATCGATTGCAATGCCTGAAGATTGGCTACTACGAAAACGGATCGCAGCAGCAAAGACAACAGAGTTAAAAGCCAAATCACTGCATCGGTTAATGAGTCGATTACACATTGCATTATTATAGGCTTCTCTACACATAGACACTAATTTATTGCATATGTAGCGGTTCAGCGTACGCGGCTAGAATCACCAGATTCAAGCCGCCATGATGGGGAGCCGCGGCACGCGGTTCGTCAGAATATGAAACGTGCCATTTAAACATGGCTATACGAACTTCTCCGTTGTCGATGGCCCTTAAGGGGGTGGGATACGTGTTCAAGAAATCGTATCGCCCGTGGCCAGCAATTTTTCTGGGAACCGGCGTGTTCGCGCTGAACGTCTCCGGCTACTTCTGGTTCAACTGTGACTACTTCAGCAGCACGCCGAAAAGGAGCGCCTCGCTATAATCGCAATACTAACGAGACTCATTTTCAATATTGTACATTATGTCATACGCTCTGCGAGCATTTGGCGCGCTCGCTTTGCGACCGAGCGTCTGAGCGCTTTACTGCGTGCTTTGCGCTTGTTCATCTGTATATTCTTGAGGTAGTGTGGCCTGACTGCGCTGCGGGACATTTTCCAGCCTGCATCGGGGTCCAGGGTGTACGTTTTACCTGCATGTTATGAACTGTTGGCAGTGCTACATACCTCTGAAATGGAAGACGTCCCTGCGCCGCCCCCATGGCGTGGTCCATGTAATGTTGCTTCTGTTGGCAGGGAGGTCGTCATCGACATCGCGGAAGCCGGTCGTCGTGGTTGGCGGCTGCTGGTGCGGCAGCTGGGTTTGTATCTTGACAAGTTGCGTGCTCATGCGAGACGGCAGCGCAACATCGTCGGCTTTGTCATCCGATTTAATGGGCGCAGACTCCTCCACTAGGTCTTCTAGTGGCAGTCCTAGCGCCTGGGCTTCGAGAACGGTATCATACATGCTTGGCCTGTTGGCGTCAGGCTTCGGGGTATGTTCACTGAAGGAAACGGTGTCGTTGAGCAGCTTCTGAGAATTCAGTATCGTATTAGCCATGCCGGGATCAAGCGTGCCGAAGGCGTGGAAGCGATCAAAGACAGTCTCATTCGGCACGTATCCTCTCGCCAAAAGGTTGTGGTACATGTATGTTTTGGCGGAGGACTTTTTGAGCATCTTTACATACCCGAAAAGTGCCCATGGTCTAGTAAGTATTTGGTTGATTTGCCGTTGTCCTGCCCGGTATCTCAGGAAGTCAAGCGCCTGCGGCTGTGCGTGTCGCTGTATCAGCTTGGCCATGAACCGCCTCGAAAAAGTGCCAAACCGCCGCACGTAGTCCACCATGAAGGGTACACTGACGCTCTGATATCCCCTGGAGAGCAGAGCTACCACCTCCGCGCGGCATATCGGGCTGGCTATTTTACCTATGTCCCTCAGGAAGTTCTGATACGCGACGTGGCTGTTATTGTCCCTGAGCATGGCGATGCGCGATATGACTTGAAGAACAGCTTCTGCCGGCATGTGCTTGACTAGTGAGTAACATAGCATATGATGGAGCAGCGGCAGCGGCAACTGATCCACATCGAGCACTCTGACCAGGTCTCTCCCATCAGTCCAACTCTGCTTGTAATACCCTTTGTCTTCAGGTTGCGCAGCTGCCTTCGATCTCTGCAAATTCCTGTAATATGCACGTTCCCTCCTATCACGCTTCTCATCCAACTGTGGTTTGCCGTGCGCTGGGTTGCGGCCGCTGATCTCTTTTGCGATGGTGAGCAGCTTCATGGTGGATACATCCCTTCCGGGGCTCATTGCGTTGCCTATGCGCAACTTCTGTTGCTTTGAGAGCATCTCTCTAACCCTTTCTCTCTCCTTTCTTTCGTTTTGCATGAGCAACTGCATTTCGCGGATGATGGCGTCCTTCTGTTCATTCATTGCGAAGCCTGCAGTTGCTTCATCGTTTTCTCTGTCACTTTTGACACTGTCCGATCCTCCCAAATTACAGGACACATCGTCTTCGGATGTAAAATAAGGTGTCTCGTTAACATCCTCTGCAGTATTGCGAGCATCGTTACGTCTCCCTTCTGGTCCATTTGCGTTGCTCGTTTCCGGCTCCACCATCTCTGACAGAGCAGCCCTATGCCAACATATCCCAGCAACGGATGACGCCATTCCACTAAACTCCGCAGATACGACGTCGTCTACGTCTTCTGGCAAACTTCTGACACTGTCGAAAAGCTTGGCCATTTTGCGGCGATCATAGCGCCTCGGCTCGGCGTCACCGACGTCTTCATGCTTTGTTGACGTCGGTGTAGTTCGCACATGCCTGACAAACTGTGAACTACGCGGCAGACAGTGCAGGTACGTAAAGGGAAGGCGCCGCTCGAAGTAGCCAACCCAGAAGGTGAAAGTGCTGGCCATATGCCAAAGTGACCGTTAAAATCATTAAAATTGATTAATATCGCATATACCGTGATGTAATAGGTAGAAGACCATATAGGTATTTAGAATTAGGAGAAGATTGAGATATAATGGCAACCTCCTCTCAGCCTTCCACGAGAATAGTAAGCTCGACTTCGACACTAATCGCCAACACAATTTTACACATCGGCTAGAAATAATAAAATAAGAATGACTGTAGTACGTGTAATGAGTTATAATGTTAAAATAATTTATTTCGTGCCGTTTCACGGACGTTCGACGCCTGGAGCGAAGTCCACAATGACATTCACTAGTGCAGCCAACTTGCAGCGTCAATGTATCGATTGTAATGAGATGACTTATAATATAATAATGGCTGGATGATAAAATTGGTCGCGATGCCCCTTTGCAGCCGGCAGGTCGAATGTGTACTGCTGCATCGCTGTGCATCGACGCTCCAATAATTCGCACTGCAACCCTGGACGCTACAAAAAAGACAAAAGTTTCAGATATATACCGAAAATTAGGTGGGCACGATATTTCATTGCGATATAAGCTGCCGAGCGACGTAGTCGTGCCGGCCCGAATGTGCAGAATCGCCTAAGCTGTAAACCGAGAAAAACCCTTGTCTACTAAGCGGGTGTTGCACGAATTCCACTAGCGAATTCTGGTGCAGCAATTGACTGTCTTTCGTCGCCGACTGGACTGCCTTCCCGCGCCAGCTACCATGGATATGTCTTCGCTGGACCTTAGTTGGCTTCCGTCCGATGCCGACGGTTAGTTGACACTCAACATATCATTATATATTTTTGCAGAACAGTTGGCGTTGGGGTTCAGAATCATATCAAATGCGTACAAGACCCGCGTTACATCGCTTGAGGCGGAAATCAGGACAGTACGCGCTGCGGTCGCCGAGAAGTCCGAACACGTGAGTTTTGTGTGTATATGGATGCTCGTTGTGATGCTGTGTTGAATGCAGCCTATAATTGCGCTTATGCGTGAATTGATCAAGCAGCTTCCCCGTTGTCTGCAGACTCCTCTCTCTTATTCTTTCCTTTCGTTCTACATTGGCACTTATATCTGCGCAGCTTGCAGCATTCCAGAAGAAGTACAGCAGCCTTGAGGTGCAATTGATTGAGTGCACTCAGCGTGGCAACCAACTGGCTGAGGAGAACCGCAATCTGGTGTCTCAAATCAAGAAGCTGCAGCGTGACATCAACAGGCTCGAGACCCTGAAGCGCGCCGTGCTTCATTCGATCCAGGAGGATGGACCTGATGTTGAAACTGACCACCGCTACTACAATGCAGATGATTTGCTACACAGTGCTGCGCCCCGTACGATGATAGGTGGGTTTACTTTTACGGCGATTCCAATACGTGCAGAACTCTCTGGCGCTGATACCGTAGAGTCTGCTTTCATCAAGAGGTTCGCCGGCAAGCCTAATTTCAATGGCACCACTAGCACCACCCCAGCAACAAACATGAAGTACGTGCCAGACGTGTCTCCCTCATTGTTCGCAGCTACAACAACGAAAAGGGGACTGTGGACGGAAGGAACTTCCTGAACGTGGCGCGCGCCACTCTCAGCTCAGATGATCTGAACGGCGTCTTGGCGATTATTAAGAAGTTCAATGCGCAGCTGCTATCGAAGGAAAACGCGCTGGCGAGCGCACGCCAGCTCCTGGGGGACAACAACGCCAAGCTGTACGAGGAATTCAAGCAGCTTTTCTGTGTGTGAATAAAATGCGGTAACATATGTGCGCCGGACGTATAGGCGCGGGGGTCGCACGTCAGTGTCGAAATCGCCCTGGGGGTAATTACGTCATTGCGATAACGAAGCGCTACGCATCGCTAAAACCAATCGACATGCCTCTTTGTATAGTCAATTATTTCAATATGTTATGCTTGCTGTTGAAGGTGAACTCGCAGGAGTTCACTTGCCGCTCTTCGGTTTTTAACCATCTCAAAATGTAGGTCGTGGCCGATAACTCTGTTGCCATGGGTGAGTGCCTCGAAACTGGCAATGAATCTTGGCACATGCTGATGATGAGCAATGTATTAATCGTATAGGTTTCGATTAGTTGCCGCCCCGGAGACGGTCTACTGTGGGCTTCAGCCGCATGCATAAATCCTGAGGACCCGATCCTTCGTTGATGACATCGGCCAGCGTCATCTGCTCCTCACTCTCTACAATGAGATATGAACCGAAAGTGCAGAGAGCTGACACAAAGTGCCGAACATTGATCACGCAACATTATCAGTGGCGTACATAATGTCGAACAATGGTGCCACTTCGAGCTGCCCTGTTTCACACTTCTGACACAAAATTTCTATACGACGCAACTTGTTGTAGTAAAAGTCCTTGCTCATCTTGGCCACTTGCTTATCTGCCTGTAGTTGGCCCAGCTGCTTCTTCAGCGAATCCACCTGCTCCTGAAGGGCGGCTACGGTGCGATCGCGTTCATCAAGCGATGACCGTAGGCCCTCCTCTAGCTGTTTTTGACCCTTCAACTGAGACTCCAATTCCTGGTTTCTGTGTCTCTCTGCATCCAGGAGCTCAGTGTAATTTGCGGGTACTGCTGTTTCCACACTGTCGTAACGCGACATGAGAGCACCGCCATCGGATTCCTTCACATGTGTGTCAGCTGTGCTGCTTCTGGAGCACGCATCTGACAGATGGGTCTTACTAGAATTGGAAGATGTGATGCGGTGGATCTTGGCATCCTGTCCAGAGATGGAAGACGCGGCGCTCCTCTTTGCTCGCACAACCTGTTTCGGGTCCATAGGACCCTGGTGATTAGAAACACCATTGTCTCTGCTTTCCGACTGCTTCTCTCCATCCTGAGCCGATGTGGCGGCTGAAGATTTTACATGGGCTAGGCATTCCTTTATCAACGGTACCGTAACACCATCCTGTGCCCAAGTTGGCAAAGCGCTGGTAACGCTACCCAGCGTGAGGTGTGCGTTGCTGTTGTTTGCGATGCAGTTGCGTATCACCGCCATAACTCGGCGGCGCACTCCGTCATACCCTGAGCTCTCAACTGTGCGATGAGATTCTACGTATCCTCGCATCCACTGCAGGAACTCCAGGTTGTCTTGGTAGCGTCCCTTCGTGAGCTTCTGCACATCAACATGCTTCGAGATTCCCAGCCTAGTGAACGCGCTCTGCAGCACCTTGTAATTTGCGAGGTATTCGTATTCCAGCGCAGCGCCGAACTTTACGCGAGCAAGGGCCACACGGCCCGGGTGAACAACGTCTAGCAGCTGGATGTATATGGCTCCATTGCAGCACTGTTCGATACGCTCAATAGAGATGCCGAGGGTATCGTTTACCCAGGCTATGAGTTCGCTGCGGCCGACAAGCGGGTTGACATCCAGGCTCCGGTGAGGGCTCGCCGCGGCACTACCACGAGGACGCTGCATCATTGGCCCCAAAGGCGTCACACAGCGGCTTCCCGCGACAATTTCAGTAAGATTGTGGCCTGATTTGCGTACACATATCGCCGTTCTCCCCCACACATCTACCGCCAATTTTCCACCGCCGGAGCAACGATTCCAACGTTATTTTCGTATTTAGCAAATATTGACCACACCGCACTTATAAAAGCACCTGACAGTGACTAACACAAGGTGTGTGTAGCGGGAAGGTTATCATAAGACACCTCCAATCTTACATATTTCAAGGTCACGGAGGAGGCGTAGAAGACAACCTCCCCAGATACACCTCACTAGTGTTCACAATCGACACATCATCTGTAATTGTACACATCACAACCGTACATATCGATCGCGAACGATAACACCAGGCCACGGCCATTACGCCGCCACGTAGACAGCTCACGAACATAGTTAATAACCCAATATTAACAGGCGTCCGATTAGATCATCCTCTTAAGCAGATCGTTCATGAGGTGCTCACGGTTACCGGCATCACCACCCCTGGCCTCGGTGAATCCGTGCCTCTTGGCGACGAAACCCTTGCGTGGCGAGCTCAACTTGAAGGGCCACAGGAAGTTGGTAACCTCCTTGAATTTAGGGCCGCAAGTGTAGATCTGGTGAACTACGTCCTCCATTCCGTGGATGCCGTACTTGCCGAGGTTCTCTTCGATGATGTCATCGGTGCTGATGCGCACACGGCTCCATGCACCGCGTCTGCCGACCTTGGCGTAACCACGCTTGTAGAGCAGCTTGCGGATGGTCGCCAGGGTGGGGTAACCGTAGGTGACGTAAGGGTTAATGAGCTTGAGCATCTCCATGGTGGCCTTGTTCAACTTGATGAAGACACCGTTGTGCAGCTGGAGCAGCCTGAAGAGCTTGAGGATGAGGCGGGGCTTGGGGGTGATCTTGTTAATACCCTTGATGCGCACAACAAAGACCACCTTGGCGTCAGCTTCCTTGTAGAACGAGCCCTCGGCCTTAGCCTTGCGACGCAACTCTACGAGTTCGCGCTCATGCTTGATGTACTGCTTGGCGTGGTGAAGGGCGCGGTTCCTGAGACCTTCAAGACGCTTGCGCTTGCGTTCGACGTGCTTGGCGATCTTGCGCTGCTGGATCTGACGCAGCTGCTCGTTGCGCTCCACCTTCTTCTGGAGGCCCTCGTTGCACTTCTCCTTGGGTAGCCCCCGGAAGCTTTTAATGAGGAAGCGTTCCTGAATAATCATTATAAAATGTTGACATCAGCAACCACAACATACAAGTGCAACAGCACTGCGTGTATGCACAACTGAACGGAAATGGTGGAGACGTCGGACGAAACGCAAATGACCCATCACCAAATCACGTTCAGTAGTAAAATGGATGTAATCTGTCACATACAGAATTGCTAATAATCACAAGCACCGATAAAACAGACACCTACCAGTGCCATTCTTCTAGACTCGCAAGAGATTCCGATTATTATAGTTCAGCGGCTTGATCGTCCAACTGAAACATGACCCTGCGCACAGTTAACGGTGGAAGGCGGGGAAGAATAACGACCACACACACAACCGAATTCACGGTCAAATTATAATATAAAAAGTATCACCCCGCGGCTGTATAAATCGCAACCAGCACTGATGGCCCGACGTCGGGGCGCCTGGAATATGGAGCCTCTCGACCGACATCAACCGGTGACCATACACCGGGAGATTACCCACGGAAACGACACATAAAACACAGGAGATGAAATCGCCTGGGTATGGCAGAGGCAATGCCAGAGGTCCTCCGGCACCTGCGCGACAGCCAACAACACCCTCCGGACAAGAGCGGGTCAATAAGCCGCCAATTCAAACACAAACACACACCAGCAAACTCACCAATTCGCTGGGTCACCTAGAAACTTCCTCTACAAGTGACGTAGAATTGCGGCGGGCCAGGTCTATCGTCGCGTGGGGTGGCCGGCAGGGGCCGTCATCTGCTCTAGGCCGGAGAGTCTACTGTCGCCGTGATATAGCGAATTATTTTACGATTAACACATCCGTACCAGTATTAGTTGAGGTATAAAGGCTGCTCAAAATCGTCAGTGCTTAATGTGTTGCGGATGCCATAGAGCGGCCTTCCATCATCGAGGCTGTGCATCCCTTCACAATCGCAGAGCTATCCGCTCTTTAACAAATATAAGCCAAAAATGGGGAAGTATGTTGATAAATTTGGCCATGTGTCGGCATCTGGCGCCACCGAAACGCTACTACTGCCGTCAATCCGCCTCGACCGCGGTCTAGGCCGAAAGTAGATCACTATACAGCTATCCACACACAAAACCATGGCGCGCATGTTAGTACGAACAGCGAAATTGAAACCGCTCAGAGGGCGTGTCTAAGACCTGGGCTTCTCCTTCTTCTCCTTGTAGAGGGCGAGAAGGGAGACACCGGCGACCTTGACGACCTTGAAACGCACACCGGGAAGGTCACCAACGGAGTGTCCACTACGACCGAAACCGGCGACGAGCACCTCGTCGTTTTCGTCGATGTAGTTGAGGCAACCATCCCTCGGGACGAAAGCGGTGATCTTCTTACCGTTCTTGATGAGCTGCACGCGAACACTCTTACGATAGGCGGAGTTAGGCTGTGCGATGATGTGACACGCTTCAGAGATGTAGGGAAATCCCCCAACCGCAATCATCGACACGTACGATTTAAGACACTTGCACCCTACACCGGAAGGCAAGCGTATGCATAATACACCAACATAACACGACTATTGCATTAAAAATGATCACGATCAGCAACACATAACGATTCAAACGAAAAACTGTATCATTTCTTTTGTACAAATATGTAACAAAAGGCGGCCTGATTAGTCAGCGGAGGCGTGGGCCAACGCTGTGACCTATTTGTGCATATTATACCCAATCTTTTGACTCCCAGTGGCGGTAGCGCACCAATGGGCAACACGACTTGGGATTGACGAATAGGCAAGCCCAAAGATCATGAAACAGATATCACCACACAACAAAGGACAACACAACGGAGCGTTGGGGTATGAAATCCGGAAGGTCACCCACCTGCTTGGCCTCAATGGCGATCTTCTCCACGACAATACCCTTGGCGTGGGAACTACCCTTGAAAGGGTTGCACTTCCACCTCGTACCGAGGTGTGCCTTCTTGTAGGCCTTGTCGGCCCACCTCTCGCGCCTTCTGCGGTTCTTGAGCTTACGCGCGGCCAAAATTCCGCGGGGTACACCTGCAAATTTTGAGTACAGAAATACTGACAGAGCACGTACCGGAACCCATCTTGGAAAAGGTTCTTACGACTAGTGCGACACAGGCTGGTCTGGGTAGTGCGGCGCTGCGTCAGATATCGGCTGACGTTGGCGGTTATAAAGGGTTCTGTTTGCCGTTATTTACACAGCGGCACTGGTTGTGGTAGCAAGGCCCTCAGGCATACGGGACGTAACCTCTATGGGGAGGACGGCCGAGCGCGCGGGCCTCGGCTCCCCATAGGTAACGGTTCTCGGTGTACCTAAAACGCTTCACGGCAGCGGCTAACACTATAGTCTGGCGTCGTACGCAGGCTAACGGTGGAGTATGGACGCCGTAGAAGCCGTGCCACCCAGCTTCTGTGGCAAGACCACCTGCTGCTCGGAACACTGTGTACGTTATGGGTAAAAATTATGACCAATAGTACCCCTAATGGCTGCTCATTCCCTCCTTAAGTATCACGTTCGGGCGAATGTTCATCGCCTGGAGCTCCTGGAACAGTAGCTTGCACGCGTACGGGATGGACACCGACGCCGTCTGGCCGCGCTGTTTGCAATAGGCACACCAGCCGTCGTATCCGATGAAGCCACAGACGTGGCAGACATCCATCTGGAACACGTCACTGCTCAGCATCAGGCGCTCCACTAGGAGCCCGCTGGCGCCGTAAGCGATAAGACAGTCGCGCTCCATCTCTCCCAAACGCAGACCGCCGTCTTTGGAGCGGCCTTCCGTGGGCTGGCGCGTCAGCGACTGGCGAGGGCCGACGGCGCGGGCGTGAATCTTGTCTGATACCATATGCTTCAGCTTCTGGTAGTACATCGGTCCGGTGAATATGAGGGTCTCCAACGGTTCTCCGGTGATTCCGGAGTACAGAATCTCTTTGCCGGCCGGGTGGAAACCCTTGCGCAGCAAACTGCGTTCAATGCTTGGCAACGAATCCGCCTCAAACGGCGTGCCGTCTTCGAAAATGCCGTTCAGCACAGCTGCCTTGGCGGCGACGAGCTCGAGCATCTTGCCCACCGTCATACGGGACGGGAAACCGTGCGGGTTCATGATAAGATCGGGCACCCAGCCATGTTCGCTGAACGGCAGGTTCTCCTGGCTTTCGATCAGACCGACAACACCTTTCTGCCCGTGACGACTACTGTACTTGTCGCCGATTTCAGGCAGCCGCACTTGACGTAGCATGATTTTGTATAACACGCTGTCGGCGATGGTGCTGATGCACATAACTCGATCCACGTAGGCCGGCTGGTTGAAGTGGTATTTCACTGGAGTTACTTTGATCTCTCCGTTGGATGATTGTGTCAATTTCTTCAGCAGGGTGTCGTCCTTGTTGACCAGCTGCCCGACGCCAATCACGTTGTCGCCGGTCACGTCATCCACCGGTGCCTCTGAGGTGAGATCCACAGAATTAATACCAGCCGGGGCAGCGCCCGGCCTTGGAATCGCGTAGTTGATCTTGTCGATTTCGACGGTCATACGGCGCAGCGAGTAACAACGGCTGAAACCACGCTCACTGGACGCCTTGTTTATCACCACAGCGTCCTCAATCTCGTACCCCTGGTAACTCATAACAGCCACAATTACATTCTGCCCAGCTGGCAGTTTGTCGAAGTTCACCAACTGGATAGCCTTGGTGGTCACGAGTGGGCGTTGGGGGTAAACCATTAGATGCAGAATTGTGTCGCAGCGGTTCAGCTGGTTGTAACCGATGCTTCCAATGGACTGCTTGCCCATAGCACATTGATACGTGTTACGGGGACTCTGGTTGTGGTTTGGGAAGGGGATCAGACCCGCCACCACCCCGAGCATGCTCATCGGGCTAATCTCCAGGTGGGTGGTCTTGGGCGTGATGTCACTCTCACGCATCACAATCAAGGAATTATTCTCCTCGTTGACGTCGATCCATTCCAAAATACCGGAAGCAAACAGTTTCGACAGCGTTATCTCACCGGCAATCAAACTGTTCAGGATTCGAGACGTCAAAAGAGGCCGACCATTCTCTACCACAATAAGCGGCCTACATAGACGACCACCGTCCGAAGATATGTGCACCTGGCGCTGCTCATAGTTTTGGAACACAGATACGAATGCACTGATCTGTCCACGACGACGCAAGGCAACCACGTTGCGGATCAGCTCCTCACCGTTCTGGTGTACACCCAGAATGATACCGTTCAAAAACACCGTCATATTCCTCTCGTCGTCGAAAGCGTCCCTTGCTGGCAAGGAGTCAGCGGACTCGACACCCAACCAGTATATCAACTCGACCAGACGCTCGATATCCCCGTCAGTAGTCACGTGGTTCATCAGACTCAAGTTCTTCACAAGGCCACAACTCTCACCTTCAGGGGTGTCACAAGGGCAGATCAGACCGAACTGCGAAGGCTGCAAAGCACGGGGCTTGCTCACCTTACGGCCCTTCTCAAACTGCGAATTCGTCTTGGTCATCATCCCAAGGCATGAAATGTACGACAGACGAGATAGAATCTGCGATACGCCGCTGCGTTCGATACGGAAACGCTTGATGTTCCAGTTGCCAGTAGATATGGTGGCTTGCATACCACGGGTAATAATGTCGGTGGGCAGACTAACCAAACAGTCCGGGTACTTAATCTGTTTTCCTCCATAGCAATTAGATACAATCTCGTAGTGGCGCGTTAGAGTGGCGTCTATCTGCTTCTTCAGTTGACTCAAGAACGCTTTGAAGAGATCCTCAAAAAGGATCGAAATAAGCTGTCCTGCAAGTTCCAGACGCTTGTTGCCGTAATGGTCTTTGTCGTCCATCGGCTCCTTTCCACTGGCTACCGAGAGGACACGCCTGGCCATTAGACATAGACTCTTGATCTTTCCAGTGAAATCCCGGCAATTCCGCATGGGTATATGCGACAACAGCACGCGAGTCAAAATGTCATGGGTGTCCTCGATGAGGTTCTGGTTTGTTTTCGGGGTGCGCTCCTTCGAACTCGTGAAGAATCCCTTTGCCAGCTGGCGAGGCCTAACCTTGCGGCCCACGTAAAGCAGTGCGTCCATGCGCGAGTTAATACCCTCGTTGTACAGATCCTGCAGCGACAGGATGTAGTCTCCCCCTGTAGGTAAGAAGTCACGTGCTCCTGCGGTGCCTATCAACTGAGCAATTTCCTGGTCAGTCGTGACGCCCATGGCTCTGAGGATAATACAGAGCGAAACGTCGTCAGTGAAACTGTTGTGGCGCACGTAAAGCTTCTGGTTTTTGTAGACCACTGCAGTCCTACTCTTGGATTCGGCGGTGGCCGAGGTGACCGTGGCACAAATGTTCTTCTTTACGTCGGTCTCAACGATGACGCGACATTTGGAAAGTTGCTCCTGCATTAAAATAACCTTCTCTACGCCCTTGATAATAAAGTAACCGCCAGGATCGTACGGGCATTCACCAAGGCGTGACGACATCTCAAAGTTGTCTACGTTCCCGCCGTTACGCTCACCCCCAGTCAGTGCGCAGACGCAGCTGCGCAGCATAACGGGCAGCCTGCCGATTTCCACCCGCTTTGAGGCGACACCCTCACCGTTGTAGTACTCCACATCCGCGTACATGGGCGCGCTGTACGTGATATCACGCATGCGACACAGCTGGGGAGTCAGCAGGATGGGTTTGATGTTGTTCTCGGACATGTACGGCTCGCCGACTTTGATGTCTATAAACTCGATGTAGAACTTCTTGCACGCATCGCTCTTCAGCATCTTGTTGCTGGGCGCGTTCACGATCTCCTTGATCTCGCGTTGCACAAAGTTGTTGTACGAGTTTATGTGCTGGCGTGCGATTCCGCGCATACCCATGTAGCAAGGCAGAATGCGCCATTTGTCCTTGATATCGCCCACCGCAGCTGCGTCCTGGGCCACAGACATGTGGCGGACTTCGTCAACCTCTGCAAAGCTTACCTCGCGTTTCGTCTTCATTTTGCGCTACCCCTAATGTTCTGTGTAGCGAAGCCGGGCTGATGAAGATGCCATGCATCAGCTCTCAGCGATGCGATGGCGCCAGACACACAACATACGAATACCACTATCCACTTACTGCCACTGTGCACCCCAGACAGATGGTTAACGCGAACTACAGCAGCATAATGACGCCTCGTGGATGGCCGCGACGGCACCGCTTGGAGCTCGCCAGTTGGCCTATACGAGTGTCTGAACCGTGAATGTAATACAGGTTGGTGTTTCCAAACGTATGACACGGCTGCTGTGTAAATCTGAGCTAGTTAAACGGTGATTCCTCTGCCAAACGACCTGTGGGGGACGGCGTTTACGAAAATGCGCCTAACAGCCGCCTGAGGCTGGATTCTCACACACCATCTCCGCGAAATTGCGCGGTGGGTATCCCGGCACGAGAAACGTCAACTGACTGACGCAAGTGTGCGTCGAAGACGCTCAGAAGAACACGCGCCGTCGCCGACAACACCCAGCAACGAAGATGGCGGAGCAATACGAGCGCTTCAAGCGTTTCGAGTATCGTACGGTACGATAGTTGCGTGTTAGAAAAACAACGATGTGCAGAACTCCAACCTCGTGCTGCAACGCGATGGACACGGTCCTAAGGCGAACGAGGCTACCGGGGAGCCGGAGTCGCTCGCGACGCGGCTCAAGTACAAAATGGGCGACAAAGTCACCTATGCGGCGCCGAAGAGGACGGAGGACAACAAACGCCTCCACATGGTAGATACAGGTCGAGGACCGATGAAGCACAGGCGCACTAGACTGGTAAGTGGCTCTATTGGAGATATGCTGAACTGTTTCAGGACCTCAAAAAAGGAGAATCGGTGCTTAACGTGGACATTACAGACAGCGGCTTCTACGTGCCGTCCTCCCTCGCCACGCGCAACAAGTACGAGGAGATTCTCAACCTTCTGCAGGAGACACTGGTGGACCAGCCGCAGGAGGTGCTCAAGGGAGCCTTTGACGAAGTGATGACACATCTTAGAGCCGCAGGGCTGAAAGCGGAAGAGCGGCGCAAACTTTGCGAGGATGTGCTTGGGCCGTTGAACGACGACCTGTTCTACAGGCTCTACCACACCGCGAAGGAGCTAGTAGACTTCGGCACGGGGGACGAGCCGCGAGAATCCACGGGCGTCACAGATGATCCTGCAGGTATTGCGGTGGTGTTTGACGAGGACGACGAGGATGATGAATCGGACGTGCATAGCGTAGAGGCGGACGAAGACGAGGACGACGAACATGCAGAATCTCACATACAGACCATACGCAGGGACGGCGTAGAGTACGCAGAGACCGACAAGTATCACCTGCCAATCAGTAAAATAGACCCACACTGGCTGCAGCGTGAGCTGAATCTCATTTTCGGAGATCCCAACCTGGCCGTCGCAACCGAAAAGGAGATACTCGCTGCTCTCGGCATCGCGGATATTCAGGAGTGCGAAAATAAGCTAGTTCTGATATTGAAATACGAAAATTTCGAGTTTGCCAAACTTGTGCTCCGGAACAGGTGGAAGATCATGTACTGCACCAGGCTCGGCCAGGCGCAAACGGACGAAGAGAAGGAGGCAATATTTGACGAAATGAAACAGACCGAGGAAGGCATGGAGGTGCTACAGGAGCTTGAAGAGGTGCATCTGCGTCGCACCAAGGACCAGGAACTCACGTTAAATGTAACGAGGGAAGCGGCTAACCTGGCGCGACAAAACGCCAAACGTGAGGGCAATGAGCTGCAAGACGGTGACGAGGAAGAGCTCATTCCAGAGCCGGCTGCGATCCCCGAGGATGCCGCACTATCTGGCCACCCGACGATTGTCGACCTGGAAGCACTGGCATTCAAAGACGGAGCACAGCACATGACCAATACCCGTGTTGTGCTTCCACCGGAATCGGAGCGCGTTGAACACAAGTCATACGACGAAGTCATCATATACCCGCTAGAAAGGCCCAAGGATTTGCAGCGGAAATCGATAAAACATCTGCCCGAATGGACCCACGCTGCATTCCCGGGAGTCGACTCGCTTAACCCAGTGCAGTCTGTTATAGCGGAGATAGCATTCGAACACTTCGAGGAGAACATGCTTGTGTGCGCCCCCACTGGAGCGGGTAAAACGAATGTTGCCGTGCTGGCGATGCTCAGCGTCATGGCCCAACACAGAGATGAAAATGGCCACTTGAACTTGAATGACTTCAAGATCGTCTACGTTTCGCCTATGAAATCGCTGGTCATGGAGCAAGCGCAATCGTTCACTCAGCGTTTCGCACCATACGGGCTTAACGTCCGGGAGCTAACGGGTGACATGAGCCTGACGCGAAACCAGCTGATGGAGACTCAGCTGCTGGTCGTCACACCTGAGAAGTGGGACGTTGTCACGCGCAGAAGTGGCATGGAGAATTCGGTCCAACTGATTATTATCGATGAGATCCACTTGCTGCACGACAAGAGAGGGCCTGTGCTCGAATCGATCGTTGCACGTGCCATGCACAACGACAGGAAGAATAAGATGAAGACGAGGCTAGTTGGACTAAGCGCAACGATGCCCAACTACACAGATATCGCTGAATTCCTCAAAGTAAACCCAGATCGTGGTTTGTTCTACTTCGGAAACCATTATAGGCCGGTGGGATTGGAACAGCGCTACATCGGCATCAAGGAGAAAAAGGCCGTGAAGCGGTACAATTGCATGAATGAGATCGTATATGAACGCGTGATGGAAGACGCTGGTAAGAACCAGATACTCGTCTTCGTCCATAGCAGGAAGGAGACGGCGCGTACAGCAAAACTGATACGGGATATGGCCTTTAAAACGGATGCCCTAAACATATTCCTGCACAGCGACAGCGCGTCGCGCGAAATTCTGGCTACAGAAGCGGAAGCCATAAAAACTGCCGAGCTCAGGGAACTACTTCCGTACGGGTTTGGCATACACCACGCAGGACTCCCGAGGTCTGACAGAAAATTGGTTGAGGACCTGTTCTCCGACGGGCACATACAGCTGCTTATAAGTACCGCCACGCTTAGTTGGGGTGTGAACTTACCGGCACATACCGTCATCATCAAGGGTACGCAAGTTTATTCTCCGGAAGAAGGATGCTGGACAGAACTCTGCCCATTGTCGGTACAGCAAATGATGGGTCGCGCTGGGCGCCCACAGTTTGACAAGGAGGGAAAAGGTATCATTATTACCGCACACGAGAAACTGCAATTCTACTTGTCTCTAAACAACCAGCAGCTACCGATTGAAAGTCAACTGGTGAGCAGCCTCCCGGAGTTGCTGAACGCCGAAGTTGTTCTGGGTAACGTGACAACCCGTAAGGATGCGGTCATGTGGTTACGCGACACATACTTCGCGATTAGAATGCGTAAGGAACCACGGTTATATGGAGTAATCGAGGCTGACGACGATGGTGAAGACGAGGAAGAAAACAGGAATTCAACTACTATCGACGAAGAGCTGTTCGACGTCAGGTTGGAATCACTGGCTCACTCTGCACTTATTGAACTCGATAAGCACGCGTTGATAAGGTATGAGCGTCGCAGCGGAGCAATCAAGTCTACGCCGCTCGGACGTATAGCAAGTCTGTACTACCTAAAGCCCCCTTCTGTAAAGACATACGTCGACAACATGAAGGCCGACCTCTCTGACTCTGATATCCTAAAGGTGTTCTCAGCCAGCGCGGAATTCAAGTACATTCCGGTTCGTGATGAGGAAAAGGTAGAATTGGCTGCACTCATGGAGAAAGTACCCATACCAGTTAGAGGTCAAGGCCAGGAGGGAACCAGCAAAGTAGCTGTGCTGTTGCAGAGCTACATTTCCAGATTTGATCTCGACGGATATGCGTTAGTGTCGGAGATGACATTCATCACGCAGAATGCTGGTAGGATTATCCGTGCATTATACGAAATCGCACTTAACAACGCATGGAGCCAACTCGCGCAGAGGCTATTCGATCTGGGTAAGATGGTAGAGAGACGCATGTGGTCGGTTATGTTGCCGCTACGTCAGTTCAAATCACTACCTGAGGAATTGGTGCTGAAGCTGGAGAGAAATGATTTCGGCTGGGACAGGTATTACGACCTGAGCAGTGTGGAGCTTGGGGAACTGTGCAGGCAGCCCAAACTTGGCAAAACCATCCACAAACTTATCCACCTGGTACCGAGATTGGACCTTCAGGTTTTTGTACAGCCGTTGACCCGTGAGATGCTACGCGTGGAAGTCAACATCACGCCAGATTTCCAGTGGGATCCTAAATTGCACGGAAGCAACGAAAAGTTCTGGTTGTTCGTTGAGGACGGAAGCGGTGAAAAAATACTGCACAGCCAAACCTTTGTCTTGCTGCCGTTCACGCCAGGGCATGTAGAAGATTACTCGGTCTTCTTCACTGTGGAACTATCTCACCCGCTCTGCTCTCACTACTTCTTGAGGCTCACCTCCGAAAAGTGGATAGGAAGCGAATCTAAAATATCAATCAGTTTCAGCCGATTGATACTGCCCGAAAAGGCACAGCCATTCACTGAACTCTTCGATCAACAACCAAGACCCGTGTCTGCAATGATCAACCTACCAGGAGAAGTGGTTGCGCTCAACAAGGCGTTCTTCAGAAAAGCCTTCGGTGACACCCATTTCAACGCGATACAAACTCGTGTGTTCGATGCCATGTATTCGCAGTCTGATTCATTGCTCCTATGCGCGCCAAGCCGGAGTGGAAAGTTCACATGCGCCGAAATCGCCATCACGCGATGCCTGTGCACATGTGAAAATGCAACGGTAGTTGTGGTATCGCCTTTCAAGACGGTTGCCGATCAGCGCCTTGAACGGTTGAGATACAAGTTTGGGGACATCTGTCAAGTTAATTCGCTCGTCGGCGATGTGAAAACTGATCTCATGGTGATTGCGCAGTCGACCATAGTCGTCTGTACACCGAAACAATGGGATTTCGTATCACGGAGATGGAAAAGCAAACAGTGTCTACAATCTGTGGACCTCTTTGTGGTTGAAAATTTAGAGCTTTTGGATGATCCCTCGGTCGGGCCCGAGCTGGAGGTTGCGGTGAGCCGTATGAGGTTCATTGCTGCGCAGCTTGGATACGCCACCCGAATAATCGGACTTGGAGGGCCAATATCAAATGCTTTGGATGTGGGTGGATGGATAGGAGCAACTGCGGCATCAATTTTCAACTTCAGGCCAAATTCGCACAGGGCTGTCTTGCCGAAGTTCACTATTCAGTCTTTCGACCAGTGGGACAGTGAGACACGCCGTTTCTCCATGTTCAACAGCGCATGCAACTTCGTCTTATCGCACTTCAGGGAAAGCGACGACGATAATTGCTCAGCTCTGATGTTCACCGTTGATCGCAGGTTCTGCAGGCTGCTTGCCATGGAGGTTCTTCTATCCATGGAGTACCACGTCGGTATTACAGAAGCGGCACCTCTGGGGGATGAAGCGGGCAATGATATCCTTGCCAAGCTGACGGCGCGTGAACGCGCATTAAGCAAACTGATTGAGGGCGGAGTTGGATATTGCCACGATGGATTCAGTGAGGCGGAAATAAAGGTTATGGAAGAACTATTCCGACGCGGACAAATCAAGGTGCTTGTTGCAACGGCATCAGCCATTTGGTCGCTAACAGTTTACGCGCCATTAGTAGTGGTAGTGGATATTTCAGTGTCGGCAACGAACCGACCCATATCGCAGGGCATATATCCGCAGAGTGACCTCTTGCGGATGCTCAGCTGCGCGTACGTGCCTGAGGATCTCAGTACAGTAAAGCCGCATGCCATTATCCTATACGACACGCCCAAGCGCAGATATCTCTACAAGCTTCTAGAAGAAGCATTCCCGGTTGAAAGCTGTCTAGAGGCGAGGATTGAGGAACTTATTAATGCGGAAATAGTGCAGGGAGCTATAGAAAACGCCCAGGATGCCATTGATTGGCTCACGTGGACGCTGTACTACAGGCGTCTCCCCAAGAATCCCAATTTCTACTCGCTACAAGGTGCTACCGCTCAGCATCTCAGCGAACACCTGAGTGAACTTGTGGAGTCAGCTATATCTGGCCTAGAAAAATCGCAATGCGCTTCAGTCGCAGAGGACACCGTCTCTCCCCTCAACCTTGGCTACATCGCTGCTTTCTACTATCTCCGCTGCAGGACCATAGAGACCTTCGCTAGGTCAGTCACACCTGATTCTAACAGGGATTCGATCCTGGAACTCCTTGCTACTGCGGACGAGTTCGCCGATATCGTAGTCAGGACCGGCGAACGGATAGGCAGCCAAAAGCTAGTCGAGGGTGATACGCCGCGAAAGGTCAAAGAGTTGCTCATCGCGCACATGGAACGCACTCCACTGACGAACGACCTTCAGAGTGACCAATGCACAGTCCTGGAAAAAATGCCATCCCTGCTTTGCGCATTGGTTGACGTGCTCAGCAGTAATGGGTGGCTTGCTCCGGCGTTGCTGGTGATGCAACTCGGACAACGAATAGTTCAAGCGTTGAATCACGCTGACAGCCCACTCAAGCAATTGCCTCACGCAAGCGCCGCCTGGATCGCCGAGGCGAACAAAGCGGGAGTTAACGACCTATTCGACCTCATGGGAATGGAGGACGATGAGAGGACGCAACTACTCAGTGGATTCACCCAGCAGCAGGCTGCTGCAATCGCAATGGTATGTAACGCAGTACCGGTGCTAGACGTGCAATGTGTTCTGAGCGATGAAAAGGTAGCGCCTCAGCAACCGGTGAATGTCAACCTCAACATCGAGAGAGAGGGTGATTTGGAGCCTGTTCACGCTCCGTTCTTCCCAATAGAACGCTTTGAGCAGTGGTGGGTTGTCGTCGGAGAGCCCAAAACCAAGAGCCTTCTCGGTATCAAACGCGTAAACCTCCCCAAGAGCAACAACACCGTCAGTGTCGAGTTCGAAGCACCCGCAGTGTCTGGAAAGCACGAGATAGTGGTGTACGTCGTCAGCGACTCGTACGTAGGTACCGAACAACAGCACACATTGGTGCTCGAGGTAGTCGCATGAGACGGACCGGCAAGATAATCCTCTCTTAGAGACACATGTGCATCGCTAATTGTTCAACAGTATGATATACGCTTTTAAAATTCCCATGGCGCTGTATAACGCCAGCTGCGGTCCGTCGCCGAGGTAGACGATTGGATCGTCGCGTATGGGGAACGCGTTGCGTGCCGTACCGAGGACTGAGGGCTACAGACCGTATATATACAGCGGCAATGATATTCGCCGGACGTACATTAGCCAGAGCCAGCCTCAGAGCGGGAACTGCGCCGCACGGCTGTCGCGCTGTCGCGGCCCAGCGCCGCTACAGGCACGATGAAAGCACAGGGGTCTACGAGCACGAGCCGGCCAAAAATCCCTGGCAGGACAACAGCTACCATGCACTCAAGAAAGACATAGGACATACTGGGTGGCCCATCCTGGTCGCCACGAACAGCACGCAACCAATGTGGCAGAGTTACACTTGGGGAGAGCACAGCGTCATTCCTAGGGACGGATACGGTTGCCCGGGCACGTTCCCGCCCGAGGTGAGCACCAAGATCAGGCACACCTTCCGCCTGCCTCCGCAGTTTTACCCCTTCCTCAAAAAGCTCGCCGACGACACCCCCGAACTCAAGCCATACATGTACAGGCTGATCCAGGGCAAGTTCACCAACGACGACTACGAGGAGATGTTCTACAAGTTCGCCAAGCCCCTCAAAATATATCGCAAACTCATCCCCAAGCCCTACAGGACTGCTGAGGAGCAGGCACGCGAGCCCGAGGTGTCGTGGGAAAGCGCGTGGCTCAGCTACAGGCAGCGGGTGGCTGCGGAGTACAACATGTCCATCATGATGCGTGAGTATCTGCTGGGTATGCTCATTGCTGCGTTCGGCGCGAACCTCTGGCTGCAGATGCACAGGCAGTACCGTGCGGACATGCGTTTGTACTACCACGAGGCGCCTGAACACAAGGTGAACTGGGTGGTGCCACGCGGTGACCTTATTTAAGCTTGTTGATGATATGTCGAAACTTCCGGATCATTGTGCGGCGATATTCGTGCGATCCTTAACCGCATTATCGAATACATGTGGCCGAAATGGCATAACATAGCAAGGCAATTCAGCGGTGCTACATCACGTAATGCTGCACAATGTTTATAATTTAACAATACCAACCTTATGTCAATAATTGCACGTGTATATATCCCTTCTCCTTAAGCTCTAATTAGCATGGTCGAATTGGAGATGAGCGGCGTTGGCGCCAATCGCTCACGACGCAATTCAATTTTTTTCCGTGTTTTTTGACGTTTTACTGCCAAATTACGTGATCTCATCAGACATCGATGCGTATATGCGTGAAATGATGGCGATATACGCAATTAAGTTTTGGAGCCCCTTGGCGGAGGCACAAGGTTGGGCCGGTCGGAGCAAAAATCAGCTTTCAGGTCATGGTCATGAAATTCCGCATAAATTTGCCAGCAGCTTTAGCATGACGTAAGGACCAAACGTACCCCAGAGATCCGCCTAAAACGCCGTATTTGCGACGAAAACCACCTCAAAAATGCACGGGAAATGAGCACTTTTCATCTCATTTTAAGACGTAATTGTTAACTCACACATATACACAGCGACCTTTTATGCCTCTACAAATGATGTAAAAATGCGTTTGTCAATTGAAATGCGTCATACAAGTCGGCTTTATGGGCGCGATTTTGCCCAAAATGGGCGTCTTTTAAGCCGTTATAGGCGGTAAATCAAGTCGGCTGTAGAGCGTTTTCAGTGGCCATTTCGACAATAGGAATTATACCCACACCTGTAGGAAGGTATTGCGCGAGTTATAGGGGAAAATACGAGAAGGTCCCAAATCCGACATTTTTGCCGATCCCAGGCAGAGACCCGGGGTCGGGGGGTGCGGCCGGAAAATAAGACTCCTAGAGCAATGCTGAAAACGCTCATTTGGCTATTCATTAAGTTTATATGCGCCCTTTTGAGGCTAAAATCTTTCTAATGACTCTAAAAAACGCTACAACGTGCCGTTGGTGATTCCGCACTGGGGCTTGCCGAGCGATTAAATCAACGCCGCGTGTTGGAGGAATCGGAATATCTTCCAAGGCGCCACTTGCTCCGGAGTAATGGGGCAAACTTTAGAGTAGAGACAATGACCTCAAACCACGGGGATCTCCATTGAATTGAAGAACTCAGTCGCCTTGGAACGCAGTTCACTGCGGCGCGTACTGTCCCATGAAAGCTCCTTAGACATAATGTCACACACGGAGTCCAGCACTGCAGATGCTGCCTTGTGGTCGCGGAACGCCAAACGAGTACGACGAGCCAAAATGTCAAGCGGAGTGCACGCGTATTCCCGGCGAATGCCGTACAGAACCTCACCCTGCAGATATGGGTACTCAGGGTGGATCGGTTTCAACATGCCTGACTCAGCAGACATGCGCGCAACGTCACGAGCGTTATAGCCGTAGCTTTGAACGAGGTGATTAGCCTGGTCAGGAGTGAGGCCTGGGAACTCGGTACGCAGCTCCCCGCTTAAGGTGTTAAAGAATGGTCGGATCTCATGCGGCTGGTACTGTCCCTTGGCGTTGTGCGTGCCATATAGACGCATGTTACGGGTGCGGCAAGCAGTCTTGGGCTTCAAAGTAGGATCCAACTTCACGACGCGATCAACGCACTCCTCGGCCATCAAACGACAAATTGTCCATTTACCACCATATACATTAACCAGATTCTGGCGGTCGACGTGAATAACGTGGCCACGAGATAACGAGTCGGTCTTCTGGTTGTCAGGCTGGTCGTCAAGGCCCTTCAGAAGCGGTCGCAACCCAGACCATACAGACTTGATGTCACGACGAATCGCCTCCTCGCTGCAGTTCAAATAAATCGCAGCATCCTTGCAAATGAAATCAACGTCGCGCTTCTTCGGCATAGGGTTCCACTGCAAGTCGTCCTTGTTGTCAGTGGTACCCACAAGCGTCTCTCCACGCCACGGCAGGGTGAACAGAACACGACCATCGGTGGTCTTCGGAATTACCATACCGTACTGAGTAGGAGCGTAACTTGCGGGCAAAATAATGTGCGTGCCGCGGGAGTGCAACATGTTTTCCTTGCCATCGTTGTTGCCGATCTGACGAACTTTCTCAGCGAAAGGTCCACTGCAATTCACAACAACCTTAGCCTTAACATCAAACTTCTCACCGGTGCACTTGTCGACCACCGTTGCGCCCCTTACCTTGCCTTCACCATCTTTCAGGAGGTCGACAACTTCCGTGTGATTCACAACGGTAGCACCGACCTGGCCGGGGACATAGTTGTCAATGGTACTTGTCAGCGCCATTAGGAGGTTGGTACGAGAGTCGTCATGTTGACCATCATAGTAAACAACGGCTCCCAGCAAACCTTCAGCACGAAGGGGAGGGAAGTAGTCCAAAGTGTTGGCCTTGCCAGTGTAGAAGGACGATGGCACTCCTGCAATCATATTAGAAGGAATTCAAGGGCGATTCGGTTATTGGGATACCGACCAAATAGCGTTACACTTGGAATCATACACGACAGCTTAATGCAATTAATCGCAAAATGACGCCTGCGTAGAAAGGACAAACGAGCGCCGTCAGATTCCATGCCACGTACAAAATGCAAATGAAACCACAACAAGAGCGTGGACAGATAGGCTGCATCCCGCAAGATGGGGATTGAGTCGAGAGCGATGCAACATCTGGAATTTCGGAGACGTGGCAAACGCAGCAGTCAACGGCACACCAGAATGAGTGTCAAAAAACCAAGTCACGTCTAACGCAAAACGAATTTAAAACAACAAAATCCCACAAATGAGGTATTGGCCAAAACCCACCGGTCTCGTTGCAGCAGAAGAAACGTGCCAAGAGCTCATAAATCTTGATGTTGAACCAGAAGTAGGGAATCTGCCATAACTGGTAGATCGGAAGAACAATAGGAATTGGCGGATTTGCGAAAGGTGCGGCGAATATCAAGTGCGCACGCTCTTCCAGGGCCTTCCATACGAACTGCAGCTCCTTGAAATCCAACCGGAGCAGCGCACTCTCCAGGTAGCGAATGCCACCATGCAGTAACTTAGTGCTTTTGGAGGAAGTCCCAGACGCGAAGTCGTCAGCCTCCACCAGAGCGCATTTCAGACCACGTGTGGCGCAATCCAGCGCAACCGCGCTGCCTACGAAGGGTTTAAATTAACCATGAATCACACACCTGTGCAGCCACCGCCAATCACGAGCACGTCGAACTCATCCTGCCGAAGCGCCAGTGACATAGTAGAACGCGACTTCAACGCGGAAGGCACGCTGTACTTCGTGCCCTTGGGCATGGCGCAGCGCTCATGCTCACGACGCACAGCTACGTACGTGCCGGTAAGGCCCGCGAGGGAACCACCCAAAAGCTTGACAGCCCAGCGTCTTCCCATGGAGTCAGATTTGTTTCATAGACATGAATTAACGACCGGTTAGGGTGACGTGTGTTAGGCGGCGCTCGCGTACTACGCCACACCTCCCCATACACAGTAGCGAAATAAACAACAGAAATGAGATAAAATTACGTCGCAGAGTGACTGCTTAAAAAATCGGTGGCGTGTCGCCGCAAACTCTCACACCTTGGCGTCAGCTCCCGCAACATACACGTATTCGCTGTACATTGGACCCTGAAGCACAGGTTGAGCAGCGCCACGAGACATAATAGTCGCTGGATACACGACAGGACCACCTACAACATTCTGTGCATAAGCACAGTTTATATCACCACCAGGTGCGAGGGCCGCAGGCCCGCCAACACCAAGCCCCGCATTGCCTCCGTCGCCGTACCGACCATTGTGTCTCCCAGCCATGCGGTTGCAGCGGCCGTTGATGTTAGCCGCGTAGTAATCTACGCCGTCGCTGCCCTGGCCGTAATCATCCCTTGAATAGCCCTCAGAGCAGCACGACTCGCCGCTATAGGTCTCTGCGGAGTAGACACCCCTACTGTAGGCCACATTCCCCGTTTTGCCGCCAGCATAGCTGTCAGCACTCATAACGTTCTGGTTCCCGGCTCCACCTGCGGCAGGGTAGTAGTTGACGGGCGGCGCTGCCGATGACGAACCATTGGGCATGACCCGACCGTCGTAGACTGCCGAGTATGACGACGCCGAAGAGGTGGAAGAGTAACTATCCGACGTTCCAGACGATCGTTGGTACATATAACCGCGATTCACAGAACGGGCATGCAACTGAGCATAACTGTCGACGTGTCCACAGGCCTCCGGCTGCAGACCGTCATGAGAAGCAGATGCTTCCACGGTGGCCTGATTGTGCGCAACAAAGTAGGAATCACCATGCGCTACGAAGCCACTCGAGGTGGGGTTTTCGCGTGTGATTGGTTCTACGTAAGAGTTGCGTTCCTTGCGAGGGCTATATTCGCTGCCGTGAGAGCGGGAGGTTGAGCCCGAATTCGCACTACCCGCGTGATTGCCGTAATAACCATTTTCTGCCATCATACCGGCAATATCCGAAAACTGCACAGCGTTACGATCCTCGCAGCGAGGTGCCTTGCTCGATACACGGTCAGAGTCCCCGGACATCTCGTTAAGGGGTGGAGGGTAAAAATACGAAGCCGGATAAGGGCGCCTGCTATTTTTCTTCGCCTTTCCAGGGGAATCATAGCCGTCGCGCTGGCGCTTCAGAGAGTTATCTTCAGCAAGCGGAGCGACGGGCAAATATCTTGGACGGGGACGACCTCGCCTTCGAAATACCCTGTCTCTCTGCTCACGCCGGATGCAGATGCGCTTATACTGCCGCGGGTCTACGAAAATAACATGGTTGTTGTACGGGTCGCTGTATTGACCGGTGACGTCGTTAATCATTATATCCTACTGCAGCGGCTCCGGGAAGTGAAGTTGGCAACGTTAGCCACGACGGACCCGTAGTCTTTAAAAACGACCTGCAATTGACCTCCGGGAGAAACAACAAATAGACAGCATCACCGGGGGTAAGCGTATGACAAGCGGTCACTACCTCAAGAGATCCGACCACCGGCCATCCCCGCCGATGATACCACCGAACGAATTGCAGAACTCAGTGCCTCCCGAACGTACTAGAAACGGTGCCTAAATTTAGCACATAAAATGTAGACTACGAGCTACATTCGTTAAATATTCCCGCAAATATATGGAACTTGCCGTCAGGTTGCCTGTGGGCCGAGACGACCCGACGGTGAACGATCGCGCGACACCGACCGCACTAAACGCTCTAGGTGGGGGCTTATTAGCGCGTTTGCAGGCACATCAGAAGAGCTTAACATCCCAGGACGGTTGCCAGTGATAATGAAGATTACAGGGCCGTCGATAGCTAGCAGTGTGTGACGAGATACATGCATCCCGTATCTATACTGTGCGCTTGAAAAAGGCGATTGCGATGGTATTGTAACAATATGGGACCAGAATCTGCCGCCCTTCAACGCACATCATCAGTTACAGCGTTGCATTAGGTCGAAGTGGCAGCGGAAGTGCCGTGACGTCACCAATAGCAACATACGACGCGTGAATACAACATACACGCGCTGCGTTAGTTGAAATAGAGGCCCACTGAATTATTCATACGTTTTTGCTGAATAGTAGCGGCCATGGATATTGATAGCTCATAGCGACGGCGGACGGCATTACGTGCCCATAACCAAAAATCCGACTACCGTGTCTAGAACACGCAGAATGGAACTGCTCTGGCTACAATGAAGCTGTATGGGCAGAATCGCTTACCAGCACCCCAGTTTCTGCTCAAGGAGATGTTCCACGTGTTTACGATTTCAATGATCTAAAACGCGGCTGCCAAATGGCGCTCACGAGCCGTAAAATCCCCGCAGTGCAAGCCTTCTGGTGACCTTATACAATATTTGATGCTACAAATTATGTTCTTCAATCCACCGACGTGTCCGCTGTACGGATACCAAATAGTATGAAAGTATCGCATCATATTATGTACTGCTCGCGCCGGGACCAATTTACGCACCAAATGTCGACATGGACTATCACATTCACCCATTTTTATTCACAATTAACAGCAGCAACTTGCTTTGTGTGACACGCGGCTTGCGTCGGACATGAGCTAGGCGGGAAGGCCAAGTGACGCTACGGAGCGATGCTGAGGCTGCCGCCGCGGCATAATCCTGTGGATCCCACCCCAATTAACTCACTGTGTTGCTGTACTGGACGTTTTTGTTGTCCACCCCGTGGGGCAATATATCGGCAACGAAAGCGGAGGCACGCCACGACGGACGACCTACACTCATAGACAACATAGCCGCACTATACGTAGCTGGTATGGATGAAAAAGGAAGACAAAATCGTGCAGAATCTTACGACTTTTGGGGGTGGAGTCCACCAAATATTCCTAAACGACGCTGATCATACACATCTAACAGTTTTGCAATCATGGCGGCCAAAAAACCCATATCCGTCAATCTGCGCGACCTACAGCGCGTGCTAAATGAGGGCAAGCCGGAAATGCCGCGTTTTTCAAGCGGAGCTATCGGGGAAGAGGAAGATGAGCAGCAGGGCTCGTCCTTTGGAGTCAACAGACAAAAATCTGGCCCGGTGAGGTGGGCAAACGAGGATGACGATGATGACTACGACGAACGGGCGGCGCGTGACGATAAGCCGGAGCCGGATTTTAGCACTGTGAGAAGCACAGAGAACCAATTCTCAAGGTCCGAACAGCAGTCCTACGCGGGCGGCCGCAGCTCGTCACCAGACGGCGAAGGCGGACCGGACGACGACGTATGGAGAAGCGGCGCGCGCCAAACAGCCCCCGATCCTGTCGAAGAGGACGACGTATGGCGGCGACCGAGCACTGGAGGAGCTGAGGATGGACGGTCGGGAGACTTTAAGCGAGATGGCGGAATGGCCAATGATGAAGACGACATGTTCAACAGGTCATCCATGCAAAGGGATAGCCGTGGGAAGAAGCTGTACGTGCCGCCATCTAAAAAGTACGAAAGCACAGCTTTCAACGCCGGGGAGGGTAGTTCTGGAGGCAACTCAAGATTCAGCTGCCTAGACACGGGGTACGAACGGAGCTACACCACCTCCAATGCAGAGTCTAACAAAGCCTGGGAGGCGTTCTCAATGCAAAGACGCGACTCCGAAACCCGCGAATCTGGAGGCTACAATGGACGCGATGCCTTCAGGGATTTGAACAAAGAAAACTCCAGGTCGGCTTTCTTCGGAGATCAGCAGAAATCCGGAGTTTACGTGCCCGCATACAGGCGTGCACAGACGCAAAAGTCAACGTGGGCGCCAAAGAACTCATCCGTACAGGATATTTTCATCAAGGCTGCTGGTCTCACCGAGACTAAGGCCGCGGAGGAAAAGAAGAAACCAACAAAACCGGAACCGCAAAAGGTTCAGGAACAACAGCAACCACAGCCAGACCCGCAGGTACAGCAGATGAGAGAAGCAGTGTTGCGTCACAATCGCATGTACGAAGCAAACCACGAGACTATCAAGAACGTGGTCGATGCAGCCAAAACACTAATCAGTGGAGGTGCAAAGGATATTCAGCAGTTGGTACCAGAGGATGAGGAAGAACTCGTTCCCGCAGTGGTGGCGTGCCTAGTAGCGGCCAAGGCCTGCGAAACATGCTCCACACTAGAGGAAGTGCATGATAAGTTCGGTGCAGTAGCGCCCCTGGTCGTCGAGCTCTGCGAGAGACGCGAAGAAAACATAGAAGGCAAATTGCTGACGGAAGTCACCAAATTCATATGCGCCTGGAAGCTACCGGCGATCGGGGAGTCCCTCTACCTGCTGGAGGCAGTGTTCGACGCCCTGCTCCACTGCAAGGTTGTCACGCCGACGGCGGCGCTGCAATGGTTGGAGAACATTCCGGACGACGTCCCGGACAGAGTCAGCGTCATTATACAGGTGAGCTAGGTTTCATACATGAACGGTTGGCTGACCCTGAAAGAGAGGCCGCCTTGGCGGTCCATGGATGGGTCGACAATAAGGTCACTCTTTTAGGCCGCTGCGCGCAAGCACGGCGGTAAAGGCGTGTGAAACAGCATATTTTTGCATGGAAGTCGCCATGACGACCGCACACTCATATATTTACAGCTGTTGCCGTGGAAGAAGTGGTTACTCGGCGAAACGCTCGAGGCGGGCCCTGCCGCCTCGGCACACGAGTCAGAGGGGGACGATGAGGACGAAGAAGAGGAGGAGGACATAGACATCGAGGCGTTAGTACCGAAGCCTGTGCGAATATCCAAAACAATGCCGTTTTGACGCCCGTCTCACACGGTCAGCGCCGTACCTAGTAGTGGGGAGACGACAACAGCACATACGGTACGAGTACAGCACAAACACGATTTACTGAGCCCACTAAGTGACAACTCGTTTTCGAAATTTTCTGAATTGCAAAGCACACATCATAGTCGCGCCACTACCGGAGGAAGCACGAGATTTCGGCGGCGACCTGTTCACACCCGGAGAGCACATACATCTGCTGGAAACACAGCAGACAAAACCAAGGCGTCATGGGTTTCCTCATCCACCTCTGCCGTTTCGTCGGAGTGGTCAGCGGATTCGTTGTCCCTGTCATCGCAGGGCTATACGCGGCGTCCGTGGGAAACATCAAGCAGGCCAACTACTTCCTGCGTGCCCTTATTTTCTGGGTAATTCTGGATCGCATTTTCTCGCCCGTGCTGTTCGCGGTGCTGGGCGTCGTATCTAGGCTGCTCTGGCCGCTGGCATTCAGCATCATCTCCGTCGCGCTCGTCGTGCCGCGAACGCGTGTGCTCGAATACGGGGACAAGTGTACAGTAATGGCTATCCAAAAAGGGAAGGGACACAGCGCTACAAACGCAATCTGCGGTACACTCTCCGTGCTTAGGAAGCACGTAGAGAATGTCGTCTTACCACTCCTCGGCTGCTCAAACCGCAATGGCGAGAAAGAAGAGTGACTCATACACACCTCATGGGAGACCGGAACTCAATGCCTGGCAGCGCGAGAACGGATCGTACCATGCCATAATCAAGGATGTCACGCAGGGCTACGTGGAGCTGCCGCCGAGCAGCGTTCTGCCTTAAAGCGAGCCCTGCATCGTAACATATAAAATAACTTCTATTAACTTGAAGCTCAGACTGACGCTACGTTAATGTTTTGCCAGCATAGACAGGGTGGTCAATTTGTAAGTAGAGGTCCAGTTGGAGAGGCGGCGGCCAACAGTGACGCAGATACACGTTGGCCGTTATATTGCATTGCAGAAGGTGCGCGTCAATCTGCGAAGATCGCTAGCCTATGGGCCACACCAGGGCTCGTTTCGGCGGCCTGCACATTCCGTGCGAACGCGTGCTACATCATCGCACCGCCAACTGGGCAATCCGAAGACCAGACACACGCTGCCGCTGACTTAAGGTAATGTGTTTTGCGGGATGTGTAGGATGCAGCTAAACTGAATAGCGCGACTCAAGGATGCGACTGCCGAACTCCCACGGCCGCAGAGGCCACAGAAGGCAACACAGCGGAGACACACATGAGCAAAGACACGTGGATAACACCAGGCTTAAGGTGTACAACATCGACGACTACGCGAAGTTAGTGTCTGGAGCACAAGAAAATGCTGTCGCCTCACAACTCGAAATATCACCAGGAACGTTCCTCACCAACCTCGCTACAGGGACCAACCGGATACTAGGCGAGCTCGCTGAGTTGTCGTCGGGACCATTCCCGACCTATAACAACCAGCCGAAGATCGCGCCATACGCGGATGCACTGCAGCAGGCGACGGCGCCCGCGGTGAGCCCGATGCCCATGCAGCCAGCTATGCCGAACCCTGCAGTAGTGCCGCAGGTGATGCCACAGCCAGTTGTCGCCATGCCACCCGTCGCTGCCATGCCGCCTGTGGCGGAGGCGATGCCGGTGGTTCCGGTCATGCAGCAACCCGCGCAAGTGATGCCGGCTGCGATGCCCGTCGTGCAGGCACAGCCTCAGGAGCATGCCGATACAGAAAAGGTGAATTCGATCCTGAAAAAGGCGTTTGCAGCGAACTCGCTTCCGCAGATACGTGAGAAAAATTTCAATTTGATAACAATAGGAGTCGTCGCGGTCGTAGTTGTCATCTTCATCATAGCCGGTATCATCGTCAGAATCAAGCAGAGGAAGAAGAAGTCAAGCAAAAAATCATAACTTCAGGCTATAGGTGACGGAATGGCCCGATTATACTAGCGCCTAAGGTGGCACTGCGACGGATGCCAATCGTCACCATTGCTTTACAAGGTAGATAGTTAGTGGCAAACGCTGTAGGACAACAAAGCGGGTTGCACACTTGAGGCGTACGTTTAAAAGGCATTGCTGTGCCATTAACTTGTTGAACCGCAATGCGCCCCTGACAAAGCTCAGCCTGTGGCTGAGGTAGACAGCAACGCAACCGGCTGGCGGCGGCGCCACCTTCCATAACGTACAACATGACGCCGATACTGTGTATTCGGGAATATAAGAGCCATCTAAAGCCCCGGCCCATGTAACTAGACCGTTTAACCAGTAATTTTTTGATCGCATTTTGCAACGTCGATGACTGTCCTTGTGTGTAAACATGCTCAACGCAATCCACGCTGTAATGCGCCTTTCGCAACGAAGGATAGTCACAGAGATACCTATCAATAAAATCAAGCTAACGTCGTCGCGGTCTTCCGGACCCGGCGGGCAGAGCGTGAACAAGGTGAGCACGCGGAGCTCCTAATCCTGAATGCGCGAATGCAGTCGGAGACCAAGGTACAGGCGAGATTCAACGTCGAAAACGATTCGTGGTTACCCCCGGAAGTCAGAGACAAGTTCAGGTAATCTACGGAAAGAAGCTCAAAACACCCGACATCAGACAACTGCACAAAAACAGAATCACACGAACTGGTGACTTCGTAGTAGAGTCGGACGGTGAGTGGCAGCATATATGACTGACGCCCAAGAAATGCAACAGAGTATGCAAGCCAGGACCAGAACAGAAAGGCCTGCATCGAGAAGATAAAAGCGGCTATACGCCAGGCAGAGGTACGTCACCTAGAAGCTTGTACAAGACGTGCAGCAATACGAGCCGGAAGAAAAGCTATCTTTTCTAGAGCAGATAGAGCGTGAAAAGTCTCCAAAGGAGGTTAGGACGTTACATAATGGCGTGTCATTCCGTGGCAGATACAAGAGTACAAGCAAAAACGAAGAGAAAACAAACGCAAGCTCAAACAAATCGGGCATAAAAGCCTGCACGATTTCTGAACAATGGACGTATAGCAGCGTTGTATATGTAACAAAACCACATTAAAGATTGTTGACATCTGCCAGACACTATAGCGCCGCAACGGGACGCTCTGCGCTGAAATAAACCGCCGCTAGACAGCCTTCACACTCCCGGCTGGCGCTCGCGGGGGGCGCACTTGATTATGTCGTCGACGCGCACGATGGTCTCAGCAGCCTCCGTAGCAAGGCACACTTGCGACATCTTCGATTTCAGACTCTCGTATATACCCAGCTCCATCATGTTGCCCACGTCACCACGTTCGATGTCGATTCCGGCATGTACATTGCCTGACACGTGCGCAGCTCGCAGCTTGCTCACAACATCGGCTGCATCGTAGCCGCCGTTGGACAGGATATACTCGGGCAGCTTCAGCAGAGCCGCGCCGAACGCCTCAACGGCAAGGCTTTCCTTGCCCTCTATGGTCTTGGCGCACTCGAATACAGCGGTGGCCATCTCCAGCTCCGCACAACCGCCGCCACAGACCACCTTACCGTCCGAAATCGTCTCGGAGAGCACAGCCAGTGCGTCGTGAAGTGAGCGCTCTGCCTCATCGAGCACGTGGGATGATGCACCACGAAGTATCACAGAACACGCACCGCCGCGTGCACAACCGCTAAAACGGATCAGCTTGTCCTCGCCGACGAGGATCTCCTCTATCTTGTCACAGCGACCGAGGGTCACATCCTCGGGAGTGTCGAAGGTGCTCACGATCTCACCACCCAAACACTTGGCCAGACGCTCCATGCCGTCGAAGTCGGAGTGTTCAATTGTCATCACTCCGGCCTCCTTGAAAAGTTGGTCGGGGTAGTTGTAAATCAACTGGCGGTTGATGAACACGTTGCAGCCGTGACGCAAAATGCGGTCGACTTTGTTCTTCATCTTCTGCTTCTCGCTCTGCTCAAGCGCGCTCACAGCTTCGAAGCTGTCCACATTTACCTTCACGCCGTAAATCTTCACCTTGTCAGTGTCCATGGGGGTGTTGGCGATCATCACCTTGCAGTCGGTCAAGCTCTTTGGCTGACCGACACCTATGGTCTTCTCCAAAATGAAACCTTCCTCCAGGTAGGAGTCCTTAAGCGAACCGCCAGGCTTCTTGATGACCTGGATCAAACTCAAATTAATGTGGGACGAGGCATCCTTCAAGCCGCCACCGTGCTCCTTCAGGTCACGGTTCATGCGCAACAACGCATTCACAGCCAATCGCGCAAAATGCTCCTTCTCGTGACGAAGCAACTTCGATGAAAGAGTGGTGCAAGCTATCTTGAACAGGTCAGACTCGAACTTTTCGGGGTTGGAGAGACTGGAAAACGTAATCTCCTCCAGACGCTTACGAGCAACCTGCAGGGCACGACGATAACCCAGGCAAATGATCTGCGGATGGATGCGTTGCTCGATGAGCTTTTCGGCATTGCGCAGAAGCTCGGCTGCCAAAACCACCACGCCAGTGGTACCGTCTCCGCAGGTGGAATCCTGCTGCATCGACACATCGACCAATATGCGAGCAGCTGGGTTGTTCAGCCACACCGACTTCAGAATGGTCGCGCCGTCGTTGGTGATGACGTTCTCCCCGCGAGGACCCTCCATGTTCATCGGCTGCAGAATCTTGTCCATACCCTTCGGGCCCAGGGTCGTCTTCACCAAGTCGCCCACCGCGATCGAACCGATGAAGTATTGCATACGCGCCGTCTCACCCTTGTCCTCTTGCGCTCCACCTTTCAATACGTCGGGAGTCACCTCCCCGTAGAACTGAGACGACGCCATCGTGTGTCGCACGCTCGGATACCTGAAGCAGGCACAACGCCCGGAACACACCTCGGAACACTGTCGTCCACGAGAATCCGACGCCACAACACAACAAGACGCGGTGTGCAGCAGTGCCGATATGATATGCCGTCGCAATAACGGACGCAACGCGCTCAACTCACAGCCTTCCAACCCCAGACAACGGAGACGTGCGATGCTTACCCGTAGAGCAAACTAAAGTGCGTTAAGGCAGTAGTAACGGTTGGGTCGCAGTGCATATTATGGTACAAAAAACGCGTATCGGCAGCTCTTCCGGGGAGCGGATATTTGGCAGTTAACGGATTGCGACGCGTTTCGTCTGCCTCGCACCCGAAAACAACGCCGGTACGCGATTTACCGTGAACTTAAAAACATGGATTGCAAAGTAGAAGTCAGTGAATAGGAAACGAGTTGTACCGTCGGTTAGGAGGGAGACTCGTTCTCTACCGGTAACCGGATGCGACGCTGTAACGAACGAATTCGAAAGACGCGAAAAACGCAGCACGAAAGCTTGCCAATAGTTATCGTATTCCTAGAGTGTTGCAACACGGTGAATGTGATAACGGGGATGGCTACGTGCAAACGCAGCCTTTAGGCGCAGGTGTGTCTTACACATACACTCGAGCCGGAAGACGCCGAAACCTGAAAAACAGCATGTACACATCATCACAGCCCCTTCATGGTAGCAATGATATGACGCGAAATACGGACTACAACTTGCCAACGACCCTCCCATTTCCCTGGCGCCCAGCAACACCGTTGCAGCGGGCGGCCCGAGAGGCGCAAATATGGCGGCATCAAGGGAACGTTAGGAAAAACACTATAAGAACAACATACATTTACACACTACGTGTTGACCAAAAAGGTAAACCGCACATACGCGGCTTAACGCGCCAAGCGCCTTTGTCGAAAGCACAACCTGCAACTACGCCGGCTGGCTATGCCACGCAAAGTGTAACGCGGCCGTTGAATAAATGTGTTAGGCCGTAATTTCAATTTTAAAAGGTCAACACGACGTAGTTGCCAACTCTTCATCCGCGAGTTGGCACTAGACATCGCCAGCAGCAGCCAGCTTGGCGATTAGACTGGGAAGGTCGAACACGCCGAGCGGTGAGGAAATCAGCGCGCTGCTGAGCAAGACATGACCTAAAATAGCAGCATATCTCGTGTCTAAGACCGGAAGACATACAAGGAGTTCTTCTTCAACTGCAGCTGGATGACCCATCTGAATGCCTGTTTGATGTGACGTTTGGGGCATGTGCTGACAAAAGGGGAGTTATAACGCTCTGTAGATGTCTGAAGTTCGATATTTAGCGAGATAGTGGATATCTAGGCGTAGAAGCAGTAAGCAATATATAGACGCATTGAGGTATGTCTTCCCTTGAAAATCAAGCAGCTCTGTGATCATGCCTGCCTCATACTCAGTGTAACCAGTAGATCCACAATATCGCAAAATCTGGTGAAACATGCGCAACAATGATGGGCAACTACGAATATACCACGGACAGCCGCGGGGCGCTGTACGATGATGACAGGCGCACCGATGCAACCAAATACGGACCAGATATGCGGGACAGCGTTAGTTCCATGGCGCCACGCGGAGGACACGCTAGGACCAACGGGGTCACCTTCCAAGACAGCGTGGAGTGCGTGTGCGGCGCCAAACAGCACATGCAACGACTGCAACAAGACATTAAAAGGAGAGGAAAGCAAATCGACCAAGACCAATCTAAGGTCAGAAACAGATTTGACGAACTCAGAAAAAGAGAACGTAAACTCAACGATCTCGAGAAGGAACTGCTCCTCAGGGAGGAGGAAATGAAGAGCTACAAAATATACCTGCAAGATAAACAACATAGCATAAGCCAAATGCAACAGCAGAATGATGCCGCACAACGTGAATTGCTGCAAAGACTCGACGAATGTGCGGTACTCGAGGAAGAGTGTAGGCGCAGGCTGGCAGAATATGAAAGTGGACTGGCTGACGTCGGGAAGAGAGAGGCAGCAGTTAACGAAACCGCCAGATCGCTCAATTCACGAAAGGACGAGATTGATAGGCTGGAGCACACGCTGCTAATAGAAACTGACAGGTTGAAAGAGGTCCGTGATCAGTGCGCCGCAGCGCGCGAACAGGTTGCGCAGGAGGTGAAACAGCACAGGCGGCGCATGGAGGAAGAAATCGAAGACGTAGAAGCACAGAAAAAGAAAATCCTGGATATGGAAAATACATTCTTGGACGAAAAGGCAGCATTCGATGATTACGTGAGAGCAAAGAAAAGAGAGCTGGAACATAGAATCAAGGAAGTCACCGATTCCAACGACGCAAGTGAAGCCATTGCAAACGACCTGAAAAAACGAGAGGATGCGCTCAACCATGACGTGCAGCGATTGCAAACCGAGCGCGAGGAGATCAAACTCGCCAGGGAAAAAATAAAGGCCGAGTGGGATAAAGTTAACCAGGCGCTGGAAGAAATCAGAAACGCAAAAAGCGAGCTGAAGAGTATCAAACGTGCCTGTACAAAACAGAAGCGTTTGTTTGACGACGAAATCGAAAACCAAACGCGGCAGCTGCAAACGTCAGCGTCGGAACACTTCCACTACAACCAGTCCCCCATCCCGCATGAAGCATACATGGACATAAAGCAGGCGGAAATAGAGTTGCAAACACGCGCCAAGGAGGTAGAACTCGCTGCGGAAGAACTCAGGGCGAAGCAATTGGAGCTCTCCGAGTATGCGGCACAGCTCAAGCAGCGCGAATTCACCATCAAGGAAACCGAGCGCAAACTCGAACGGTACCAAGATGCTCTCGACGCTCGTGAAAAGGAATTGGAAGAGCTACAGGCGGAGCTCATGAACACACGGAACATCTCGCAGCAGCAAGAGGCGCAAATGCAGGAGTACAAGGAACAGATGGCCCTCCTAGCAATCGAACGGAATAGCTTAGAGGGGCAAAAGGCGCAGTTTGAGAGGCATAGATTAGCAAAAGAGGCTGAACTTAATGCCGCGAGACAGCGACTTGAGAGAAAGGAACAGGAGCTAGATGACAAAATCGCCCGCTACCGCGGAATCAAAGATTCGCAACAGCTCGAGAACAGAATAGAGGTCATTCGGGGTGCACACCCGTCCAAAAAGGGAGCGAATCGGCCATTCTCCATACCACCCAAGAATGCTGGCGCATCGCGTTCAAACTACTCGGACCACATCGCATAAAACCAATATCGTCAATTACTCAATTGCAAAATGCATCGGGTGTATAAATGCATCAGCACGGCTGTAACCCCGCCAAACAGTATGATCGTCCGCAGGGCCGATTGCTGGGACACGCCGGCACTGATGCAGAATGAGCAATGCACCCGGGGGTCTGTAGGCCGCACAGCCAAATATGGGCTACATTCCATTTAAAACTGTTATACAGCCAAACAATGATATAAAATGTGCTTAGAGTATGTTTGTTCTATGCAACAATTGGCGGACGCCGGGAACCTACAAGATGTCCAGATCCGAAACGATCGCTTCTCATTTGCGCAGTAAAGCGATTCCTTCGTTGCCCATAGAACTGGCAGATCCGGCGCTAAGCTCATCCATACGTTTCACTAGTTGTCTGGTTAGCCGCTTCTTCGCAACGGTGTTCGCGTGCAGGTTCTCCTCGCTGCTAAACAGACGCGTCTTGGACTCGTGATCCAACAGATCAAGCACCACATCGTCATACTTGAGGGCTTTCAACAAGTAGCAGTACGCAGTTTCGCGTACGTCGGAGAAAGGGAAACGCGACAGTGCGGCGACGACACATCGTGTCAGATCACGCAATACTGCAAATTTGTCACTCTCTAGCCCCGCTTCGCACATGACGTCGAGGCTTGCAACCATTGACGCGATGACGCGGTCGTCAACGGTAGAGTTCACCTTTTCCTCCAAATTGCGACAAACCTCTGCCGGTATGTAGCCCAGGAGGTAAAGCGTGCCGAAGTTCTGAAGCGCTGATAAGAAAAGCGGCGATGCTTTCTGTGCGTTACTTTCCATAATGACGCCTGATACGGATCTGCTCAGAGATTTGCAGTCTTCTGGCGTCAGGATGTTCTTATGTGGCAGCATCGACAGCATCATCCTCAACAGATACGGAGCGAGCAGGACATTGTCGGATGAATCGCCACCACCAGTAGTCACGGAAATTGCATACGCAATGAAATCGTGCGTGATTGTGTTTGACGCCAGAAGGCGGGAAACAAACACTGCATTGCGGTCCAAAAGCTCCAAAATGTTTAGCTTGACCAAACTGTCGGCATTCATGTACAAATCCAACAAGGCGCTGCACAAGCCGGCATCCAGGAGTGTCTTGAAGACAGCATCTGATGTACCGCCAATGTGCGCGCAGAATTCGGCCATTCGAACGGAGATGACGCTGTCGGAATCGGAATCACGCATAGTGGTCCGTATCATCTCCAGGCGCTTCTCGTCAAGGGAACCCGGGCGGCGCCTCAGTATCTGATGGGCTGTAAGAAGGCTCTAATTGTTAGTTACCGCGGATATAGCCCGTGAGCAGTGTTCAAAAATGCGATACTCGGGGTCCAGCAAGAGCTCCCAAAGCACGTTCTCCAGAGACTCGCTGCTACTGTCTGTGGGAGAGTGTTACGGCCACATAGACTAACGCACCGCTTCCACAAAAGTAAAGTTCGCATTTGGACGCAAACAACCGGCGCACGGGATACGAGCTGGACGGAACACGTTGCGATAGCAAGTCGGCGACCTAAATATGGGTCATGCGAAAAGAGCTATAATAAACCTGTTGGTTCTGCAAAAGCGCTCTGGTTCTGTCCTTGGTCAGCAGCTTATCCAACACGCGCACGAGCAGGATTCCCAGGTAATGGTCGCTCGCAGCGGAGGCGCCATCACTCTCATAATCGTAGCTACTGGGGAAGCACTCGTCACCCAGCTGAGACAGGCTGAGGACTATCTCCTCAACAGAGACCTATACCGCAATAGTTACTACACTACAGGTGGTGTACGTACGTTGCGCAAAAGCTCCTCGGCAGCAGTGCCGTCGCCGCCCTGCGGTCACTGTCACGACACACAGCATACAACTACCGCCAACAGAAAACGGCGCAATAGCGACGTGTCGAAATTTATACTCATTGCGAACGTTTTAACTCGGACTTCTTCCGCAGGAGATTCTTGTTGAAATCCGTGTTCTGACACAGCGTCATTACAAAACGCGCAGGCACGTACGCGATACTTCGGGTGGCGAGTGTCTATTGCGAAATCGGGATCCTTCAGCACGCGGTTGAAGCGACGATCCTCGAAGTCACCCTGCAGCGGTTTGATTGACCGAAAGAGTACCTTACCTGGAAACCGGGCTGCTGCTCCTGCGGTTTACGGGCGTCGAAGTCACGCACCTGCAAATATCAGACACATCAACAACTGAACCCACGTCATCAGCTTCCAAGTCGGCGCTGTCACGGTCGCGCTTGGACTTCGACTTCGCCTTGCGGGTCTTTTTGCTGGCTAAATCGATCTCAGCCAAATCGGGAATGCCTTCCGGCGCGCCGAACGATATCGTGTACTTCCCAACCTTGGTTTTCACCCTGCCGTCATCGGTCTTAACGGGTTTAGGGGGCTCCGGCTTCTCAGTCAGAAGTGACTTGTATTTAGAGACGTCTACCTCCTCATCGTCGGATGCCAGGTACTCCTGCAGCTCGAGGGACTCGATGTCTTGCTCCTTAAACCTGATGCATTGTTATTAGTTATCCTGACGGGTACGTACTTCTTAGTCAGCGTCTTGAAGCGCTTCATCGAAGGCATGTCCCACTTGCACTCAACGCGGGAGTGGCGAAATGCAGAAGTGCTTGCCAGGGGAGGCTCGTAGTTACTCGGGATTTCGAAGCATTCGGATGTCGGCTCGCGCTCAAACGTAATGTCAGATGGCACGAAACGTAAATCCAAACCGGAAAACGCGAAATCGGCCTCAATACCGTCCATCTCGTCGTACAACAGCTTGGCTGGCTCCTCGCCTTCGAATTCGACGATGCCGTAGTAGTAACGAGCGCGCTCTGCCTGGTACTTTCGCAGCGCTTCCTGGCGAGCTGTTTCATCGAGCTCTTCGTCACGCAAGTCCTCGCCAGATTGCTGAGACAGATAGAGTCAGCATGCACCCGAACTTACCAGCGATGGACCGTGCAGGTTCTCGTGTTCCAATCGTTCCTTACCGAAGTCGGAGAGGTATACTGCTGCGCGACGCACACATCCGGTGTGATTTGATGTCAGAGTGCGGTACATAGTCTCGAATAAGACAAACAAGTCAGACGCGTTGATGTTGTCCCAGTCACAGCCGACAACCGCAAGACGGTTACTTGCTTCACCCTAAACGCGTCGTTGCAATTACTGAGAACGGTACCCACGTATTCTATGTCATCTTTCTTCTCATCTGCCTCGGTAGTGGAATCGGCGGCGAGCTCCTCAGCGGACTCCTCCGACTCGTCGTCACTAGAGGACGAATCCTCGTCATACACATCCCCTACGCATAATGCAAATAATTTTAAAACGCCATACCTAGAGGTCGGCCGAAAGGGTCGATCTTAGGGCCGCCCTTTCGAGGACCCTCGTCCGACTCAAACAGACGAGCGAACCGAGCGTCTGAACGTGGCTTAACCTCCTTAGGGGCGCGCTTAAAGCGAACTGTGGGAACAAAACGCTCGTCCTGTTCCATTGTGTAAAATAAATTTAATGTCTAGGTGCCGTTCGACTGTTGACGCTCAGGGTTGGGTTCGAGTGCCTCTCCCATTATTTCCCGACTTAGGCTGCGGCTCTGCGAAAACTGTCTCTGCTGCTTCTTCCAACGCTTCAGGGTGAAGAAGCAGTGGTCTTCGTGATGGCAAAAGACACAGGAACTGCCGTTGCGGCAGCCCTTGTTCTTATTGTAATAAAACGCACATGGCTTGCAAGTGCCCTGCACATGCAACATCGACTGTACGTCCCCCGCTGAGTATATGTCAACGTGGAAGAACAACAACTCACTGGCAGTGGCCGGACCATGGCCCTCGGGGAGGGTTGTGCAACGACGCGCAATTGGAGCACGCCCGTTGTCGGGCTCTTCAACAGCCGTGAATTGCACTCTACGCATAAAATCATCGCTCTCATCGGAAGAGCTCTTGCGCCGGTTCATAGAGTTGACGATCTCGGAAATGTCTGCCTGAAACAAGTATATGCAGCGCCAATGTGCGACCAACCCCTGCAGTCTGAGATCTAAAATATTTGAAACGGTCGTCCCCATCACCCTCAACCGCCGAGGCTGCCTCCAAGGAACCTATCAGCTCTTTACTGCAATCCGTAGATACATCGGACATCAGGTCATTCACTGACAACACAACCCCCTCGCCCATGTGCAGCAGCTGGCGCTTAACCTTCAACGCAACCAGCTGCTTCTCTAATTTATTGCATTGCAACTGAATTAACTGGTCCTGCATGCAGAATTAAGAGGTGTCAATATGTGAAGTCGATCAACCAGTAAATGGCATAATAAACTGGCAGCACAGCGGTACCGCATCCGACATTCAACACCCAAATAAGACCCATCAAAAATACATCGTTACCACTGCGTAATAGACGTTAGGGCGTATACATGGTCCAAGCATTTTCATTCTCGGCGGATTTTTCGCGAAGACAGTAAACAATTGATCAAGCATGCATCTAATAACCACACACCAATAGTATAAAACCCAAACCTACCAACGCCATAATGTGAGATTGGGGCATCTCACTCGTGTTGATGCAAATTGTGTTCGTCGCAGGCTCGGTAGGCGCCGTAGTGGGAGGCAAATCGCCCACATCTTGTGGCGGTTGTGGAGGTGCTCCCTCAATGCAATCCGACATTTCAACACGCGATCACGTAATCGGAGACGTAATATCACGACCGCCTTGTAACGAGTAATAACTAGAGAATCTAGTTTTATGCGATCACCATACGTCTTGATGTGAATCTCGGCTATCGGGAACAGACTTGTCTCCCGATTTATACGCAACGAATGCTTGGACTAAACAAAACTTCCACGAAATTCAATTTACAATGGAAGCTACAACGCATCACATGGCTACCACAATGCTATATGTGATAGTTACCAAATCAAAAATAATAATACGGGCGTGTAAAAAATACAAACGGGGTCATGCATCTCAAGTGCTCCTCTCCGTTGCGTCTGCAACAATCCAGTTGAGCCCGAACTGAAACGCACCGACAATACGACCTAATTGACGACGCTGAAGAAAGTCAAACGTTAATTGGCGGCAATTTACCTGTCTCTGTAAAAGTCGCGAATAACGGTTCTTCAAACCCAGTGCCTACAATGCCTTAGACATTAAACGCCAGAATCCCACCTCAGACCTATAAGCAATTTGCTCCAAATCACGAACGATGCGATTGCTATATCTGCGACACATTAGGAGGGAGAACGGGGCTCTTACACAGCAGAAGATGGGTTGAAGGATCCACAAGGGGTGTACGCGAACACACGCACATCCGGGTACGGCTCGACACGCTACACCGGATATGTGGCCATGGAATACCAAGCGTACCTCGTCAATGCCTATACCACCGACGCCCATAAAGCGAACTGCGGGCGACGTCGTAGACAACGGCACACCTGTTGCTACACAGGATGGTATTAAAACAGATGCACTATATAAATGGAATGTTAAAGTGCCTAATAATGTGACAAAGAGCTTCCGATAGCAGACGGCCATCATTCAAGAATGACTGAACGACGTCGCTCGACAACGACGACGCGCTCCATGGGGGATGACAAGATGTCGTAAATCAAGCACACATTACACGATCACTGTAGCGACAGTGCTCATATGCGCCTGTCAGTCACGATAACTGCAGGCTCATTCGTTAAACTCCCGAGCGGTTACACATCGATTCGTCACCATTTTCCTGTTGCAGCATCGGAGCGCAGCGTGTGGCATCAACAGGCAATCCTACTAAACTTACATGTAAGTTGAAGGGGTATTTTAGATGCGCAAGTGTTACTTGGCGACTACCTGCACGCTCGCGGAACAGTAACATGCCTACGCAACATACCACTCATATTTTCTAAACACCGCTGACCGAAAATGTCGACGCAAAATAATAACGGACCGGTTACCCGTGTAATTAGGCTCCCGCAAGGGCACTACCGCCGTGTTGGAAACGATGACGCACCCGAGTTTCTCAAGGACGTCAACTTCGACGTCCCGAGTTTCGAGGACATGAAAAACTTCTGCGAAAATGCATGTTTCATAACGGACGAGGAATATTCGAAACTCAGGCCAAACTCGGAGCTGTACACCGGCGACGCTTCGCTTAAGGTCGAGGACGCAGCTGCCGTTGACGACGCGCAACTGTTTTACGATGTTTACAGCAAGAACCAGCCAGCGAGCGTTAATGAAACCGGAGTGCAGACCTCCTTCCAGCAGGATAACAGTGTTGATGTAGCAGTCGGAACTCCGCGGGACAGCGCAGAGCAAATGGCCGCAACCGAGGTTGAGAAACAGGATGGTGAAGGAGAAGGCGAAATGCAAATGACAGGAGAGCAATCGGCGCCTATTGTGGCAGAAGAAACGGGTGAGGTGACAGAAGAAATGAAAGCTAAGCAAGTGGCGGCGACGGAAAGGCTTAACATGATAGGCGGACCCATGAAAATTGATTCCAACAACCCGGACATATTCAAGATTGGAGGTGTACCCACTCTGTTCTACACCAAAACCAGGGACACGCCGACTCTAGTCATGTTGACCATCGATTACGAAATGCAAGTCATATACTTGAGCAGGAACGACATCAACAGGTTCTTCCCGGTCAAACTCATCAGCAGGCTCGTGACCAATACGGCGATCATAGCGGAGGAGTTCGAAAAGCAAATAGAAGCCGACAAAGGCATCAAACTAGACAACACTATCGTCCTAAATGCAGCAAACTTCACAGACTCAGTCGCCATCCAGTTCCCAGACCCTATATTGAAGGACAGGTTCATAGAAGACCTCAAGCAACTCAAAAACGAAATTCGCGCACAAAACCAGTAAAATTTAATGGCACACGACACACATACTGCGTGCCCAGATTTAGGGGCTTTCATAGTCTCGAAATATGATCCGTTGCTCACGATTGTAAAGGAACTCAATGAGAACCTACAACACCTCGAGAGAGGTAACACACCTGAATAGGATTAATTATTTATAGAAAACCTGAGGCTAGAGCGCAGGATTGTGAACCTTGAGCAGTACATTGCGGGAGCTCAGGCCTCCGGTTCCAAGCAGGACGCGACTGCCGACGAATTCAAGCCGCCAGGTTAGTTGACGGTGGCAAAGTCTATTCTAAACGGCATACAGATGTTGTCTATACACTGGAGGAAGAATCGGCGCTTTCGCCGCCGTGGCTGTTCAGCTGCCAGGTGAGAATGGACACACCGTACACACATCGGACAGATTGGCACTGCAATATCGACGTTACAAGTGCTGCTGGAGTTCAACCCATCAAATACGATGGAATTGGACGTGTCTGTGTGGAGCAGGGAGGTAGGTAAAGTTCAATGGAGTCACATGCCGGCTTCTAGGAAAACATGTGGATAGCCTTCATGGAAGAGATTCCAGGTACCCTGAGACGCGTGCAGTCCCGTACACTTATCACAGCTATGTGTAACATCAAAGTGGACCTCAAGGAAATGGTTGACCTCCAATCGATGCGCCGAATAGGTAACTATAACGTCAGATGAATACCACGTAGCAGCGCGCCGCGTATTAATGGAGCTGTCCCAAAACGAAGCCATGGTGGTGCTAAGGAATGTGCCGGGAAAAGATGAAGCCACTACAAACGCGACAACTATAACACTGGTGGCGATACTCGCCTCCGCTATCGCAGAGGCGTGGAAGGTAGGACCAACATGCAGCCTCCTTTCACCTGCCGCAGAGGGTGGAATACACAACGCCACAAAATATGGGCAGAGTTTGTCTGATCCTAGAAGGTAGGCAGCAACGCGGGCAGACACAGAAAGCAGGCGAAAACATCGGAAGCAGGCTCCGAGCGGGCACTAAAAAGTTCAAGATAGAACCGTTGAACTAAACGACGCATATAAGCGCCCGTAGATCAAAACATCGGATGTATAAATTATTTATCGCAACAAATCTCTGCACTCAGATATCGTAGCACACCATACCATATTGAGGCAAAGCGCCTGACCATAGCACATGCACGTTGTTGTGCAATGCAATCGCCGCACGCTTCCAGTGAAATACAACCACTCACAATGTGATCGATCGGGTCGTCTATTTACACACGAAGTAGACGCTTCTAAAGGGTGTCGTGTCACAATACAATGAAGACAATCATCAGATTGCAATACAAAAATGTAGTGTTTTGCCAAGTTGTTGATAGTAATAAAAGTACATCATGCAATTGTCTATACATGTTTATCGCACGTAGATCTCCAGGCCTGAAACGCCCCAAGACTGCTGAACGGCGTCACCTTCCAACGTGCTGCCAAACTCTGTTACAAGTTGAACTGTGAACACTTGTCGAAGGACTAACCTATTGTAAAACGTTCGGAGCTGTGAGGTATCGTTACCTCAATAGGCACGGAAAATTTTGAGTCAGGCGTCTCACCTAAAAACAAATGAGGCACAAAAGAGCATTGCCGAACCTCCGCAAATATTTATGCCCGTGGTGGAATGTTCAGCGTGAATGTCTGTCCAGACATAGTCCATAGGTGCAGATGATGAAGTATTCAACTTCATATAGCCACTTTCTCCTGCCTGCAACGACATCTGAATTGCATGCCGCGGTGGCACCATACCCATTGGTCAAGGAAGTGAAATGATGCCTTTATCCGCAATTCACGGTGCACCGGTAACTCAATGAATGTCTTCTGCACCCACCCCTGAATGCAATAAACGAAAAGCGTTCAATTAACTCACCCTTCCGAACAGCTTGAAACCACCGAGCATAGGAATCCCAGCGCAAGATGAAACTCCAACCTGGTCAACTACGAACAGTCACTTCGGAGAATATATAGTACATACCTGTACCGTTCCAGCCCCGCGCATCGACAAACGATTCGCGCCAAATCATCTTAAATTGCGATACACCTTCCACGACCAGGTCACCACCGAAGTCGACGGAACTGTTACACATCTCACAAAAACGCATATCGAACGAACCGTACTGACAGATTGTTCATGTGAAACGATATGTTCTGCTCATTGTCTATGACGAGCATGGGCTGATCACCGGAACTTATAGCAAAGTTGCCCAGGGAATCCACACCGAGGGTGTAGGCTGAAGTCCCCTCAAACTGAATCACCGAACGCTCCCCTTCATCTCGCGCAATGGTAAGCAGCGGTATTGTCACGCCGCCGCGGACTACGGCGGACTTGCTGCGACCTTCACCTTCCTCTACCTTAACATCACGTACACCCGAACACAGAACAAGGCAAGACAGAAGGAAGAAATATATGTACAATGCAGTAATCATTGCATTTTTATACTAAATATACAGGGGTTACAGTCATACCAAATGGTACAACATGTGCTGCAACACATCCCAGACAGTCAGCACGCGTTGACCGCCGGTAGGGCAGTCGATGCTCAAAACGGCGCCGTTCCTAGACGAAAGCAGCTCTGGCAGTGCTTCCAGTAGTGAGGAGCTATCCTTCACCTAAAAGGCTCAATGTAAGCGGCCGAACACGCAAAGTACCTTCGGGAGCACGTGCCGAGGGTTTGGCAGAGCACTGAAGTGACTCAAAATAACAGTCATGGGCGTCGATAGTTTGACTTGTTCCTGAGAGAAGCTGCCGATTACAAAACACAAACTGTTACCTTCTTGCGCAACAACGCCAAAACGTATCGTACTATCATTCCGCGGTTCAAAATACCGATAACGCAACCTGTCACACATGAAGATGTGACAAAACAGGAACACACCGTCGGAACCCAATACAGTAGCTTCGTCTTGACACAGCAGGATCTCGCTGGCCTGCAATCTATGACACAAACGAATAAATGGCACCTACTTCGCGAAGCGAGCTATCCTCAGTAACCGGTGTGCTTTCTTCCGATGAGAGCACATCCTCAAGCTTCCTGCCCCCGCGCCCGCGACAGCCTCGGAGGTGTTTAGTGATGTAGCTCAAATAGCACCTCGCAGTCACGAAGCCCATAGGAGCAGACCTTTTGCGCGACCAAACACACAGGCGCTTGGAGCTGCGGATAACTTGTTACCAATTTTGCCAAATTCAAACATCAACCCTCAACGACACTGCACAGCAAGAGTATGCCCCAAAACGCACGGCACAGGTTAACGATGACTACCCGTGCATGGCAGCAGGACATGCCGCAGTCCCGCGAGGGCAAAGAAAGGCATACATGATAAAACGAAAGATGCTACGAACTGACTACACTTTTGCATAACATAGCCGATACATGATACATTTGATAGTGTAAACAGGTGCCTACCTTTGATTTAGCATACATGGCAATGCATCTTTGGCAGAACAATTCTCCTCCACCTTGCAGAACGAAGGGTTACCACGATTCCGTAGGTACTCCCCGCCCGAACAACTGATGCACGCGAAATCCCCCGATAACAACAGACGCAGGAACATCAACTCGTCGAAACACCCCAAGAATTCCCTAGAGCAGGGGTCATACACAAGTGCAAACTCCTGCTCTGAGCAGCGTTGAAAAGCGATCTAACACACATACCATATTCTGACATAGCCCTCAGACACGCATACAACGGCAGCGCGGATTCTACAACCAGAACCTGAGGCGAAGTGAAAAACGAAGCTATGTAACAATGAACCACCTTGGAGTGCGAATGGAGGAGAGCGCTGACCGGAGTCAATTCCAACAAATATTCAATGTCGCGGCACGAAAACCGCTGCTGGTGTAGAGATGGATCGCATATCGCGCCTGCACATGTTGACGACGACCTCGATCCGCTGCCCCGACCCGCGAGGACCTGGAGAATATGAGATGCCGATTTCATACCCCGGAGGCGCGCTTCAGGCACCGTAATTTTACCATTGCTCACAGCAATCGTCAAATGCCTCCTAGCGGCCGACGTCAGCTCGTGATACTGACACAACAGTGAGGTGCCCTTCCCGACAACTCAAAGCGCCTTAATGTCACAAAAAATTGTGCTTTGTCAAAAATGAAGGAGTACGATCATTTGTTCAAAATTATCATCATTGGTGATAGCGGCGCTGGGAAATCCTCCCTGCTCCTTCGCTTCGCCGTAAGTCAATGTACACATCGGCATATCGCTATGCAGGACGACACATACAGCGAATCGTACATGAGTACTATCGGCGTTGATTTTAAAATCAAAACTGTCAAAATTGACAACGCCACCATCAAACTGCAAATCGTAAGAAACCCTATTATAAACGCTAACGAGTACAGTGGGACACAGCAGGGCAGGAACGATTCAGGACCATTACTTCAACATACTACCGGGGAGCTCACGGCATCATCACCGTATACGATGTCACAAGCCGCGTCTCCTTCGAGAGTGTCAAGAAGACCTGGCTCACTGATATTGAAAAGTACGTACGATGCATTCAAACGTGTACAGCCGTGTCGGGTGAAATTATGGCATAAAGAATGTTTTAGTGGTCATATGATCGGTAGATGGTGTTGTGATAGTTACGTAACCCCTAAATTGCGGCACTATATGACCTGCGCAGGTACTCCAACGCCAACATCACTAAAATCCTCATTGGAAACAAGATAGATTTAGAGGACCAGCGCGCAGTCACAACCGACGAGGCCCGTGAATTTGCCACTCAGCACAATATGGACTACATTGAGGCGTCAGCCAAGACGGCCCAAAATGTTGAAAAGGTACGAATACGGTCGCGGTCATGCAACATCGAGCAGGCATTCGAGTCAATCGCCAGGACGCTGAAAGATAAGGCAACAAGATGTACCACAACCAATACTACTCCTAATACATTCAACCTAGGCAGCACCACCCGTGTCGCCGCAAACAGAAACATTGTTTCTGACAAGTGCCAGGAAGTACCTGTTCTGGGATCCATAGCTGCACCCTTCAACAAGTGCGCATGAGTGTCTTCCTAGGCGAACTGCCCCTTTATTTACTAGTAATATGACATGGGTTTTAATTATGGATAGGGAGTAGCTACAGTATACACACAAACCACGTGACGTGAGCTAACCGCGGCGCTTACAGAAGTCGAGATGATACGGGTCACGCGATTATTTGCCAACGCGATTAGCCAAAACAAGAAGATTTTGTCTATTGATGAGGTTAGCCAAAGCGTCTAACTCGAAACCGCCAAAACACACAGGCGTTGTACCTGGCGAAGGATGCTGGAATCGCAACAAAAGCTGAGATACAGAAACTCATAGTTGCGTCCCCGCCATTCTCACCGGTAAGGCCGCAATTCAATCTGATAAGCTGCGATAGGACAAATCTCCTTTTCTCATCTCTAATTTTTTCAACGAAAAACGTGGATATCAAACATTTGATGAGGACATCGAAGAGGCAAAGGATCAATCCACGCAAATAGATCGCATTATATCATCGCAACAGTTATCCGATGTGTCAGAAATTGACCGTATTCTAGCAGAAAAAACCAATCCCGGGTCCAATGATGTAAGTGTATGCAGACATTTCTAACATTGCATTAGTTCTTCTGGAACCAAGGAGAAAGGTGGAAAGTACGCGCGGAGGGGTTTGGAACGTGTATGCGTTCTACAACCCATCTGATAATACGACGCGGTAGAGGAATCGTCAAAGTCAATGGCGAAGAGGACCTGCATAGACGCTGGCCCATTTTCTATAACAGGTGGGAATAAACGCCGCCTCATGATAATGCTCACAGAATGGACGTGTTGGAGCCACTGTATCTAGCAGGATGCTGTGGCGTTTATGACGTTTTTATAGAAACGAGGGGAGGGGGCGTTACGGGCCAGTCCCGATCAGCGAGGATTGCCCTTGCACGGGCACTGGTCAGTGCAAACCCCTCTGTCAAATACGCGCTTGAAGGTGGGTTAAAATGGTAGTGTGTACACAATTTGCAGCGGCACTGTACGAAGACACCAGGCAAAAAATGCCAAAAATGCCCGGACGAACCGGGGCCAGGTCTTTGAGGAAATGGAGAAAGAGGTGACTCCGTCCGGATGCTGTCGGTTTACACAACCTGCTGCGCGCTAAACTGGCGCCATTATAACGTGTACGGAAACGCCTCAGAAACAAAATGTAAACTTTAATTTTCATTCAACACATAGAAACCCGTGTTGGAAGTTTGCCGCCTTTATGCGTAATGTGACACCTCTACATTGATAGAAACAATGCCTTATGGCACCCTACGGCCTTTGTTCTACATTTGCATCGTGGTGAAGCTGTGCGCAGCGGTCCTTAATCCCCAATGCTAGAGATTCGGCATAGCCTATATATGTAGATGGGGTTAGTGATTCCAAACGTGCATCGCCTTTGGCGAAATCAGCGAGGATCTGCTTCATCTCATCCTTGGACACGCACCCAGTGCGGGTCCGATTAAGCACCTCTTCATAACCAGAAGACACACCGGACAACCTGAGGTGTATCTGCAGCGGTTCCGATAAAACAACCCAGTGGTCGTCCAGCTCTTTCAGAGCGTGAGCTTCATTCGTGTCTATCCTAGAAAGCGCCTTTAAAATGCTATGGTAGGCCAAATACGAATGAGAAAATGCCACGCCTATGTTGCGCAAAACCGTTGAATCTGATAAGTCACGTTGCATGCGGCTAGTCGGCAACTTGGAGCTGAAGAAATGAAAAAGCGAATTAGCGATGCCGAGGTTGCCCTCAGCGTTCTCCCAGTCGATTGGGTTTATCTTGTGTGGCATAGTGCTGCTCCCAACCTCACCCTTAACTCCTTTGAGTTTAATGAGATCACTGCAACTCATATATTGGAGAGGAAATAGTGCTCACTTTGATGTGTACAACCACATGTCTACACATAGGTCCTTCAGAATGGTGTTTATTCGTGACAAGTTGTCGGACAGCTCGGAAATGAAGTCGTGGCACTCAATCTGTGTGGAATACTCTTGGTATACCAGGTTTAGCTCCTTCTATAGCGATAAATGACGCATCACTGCATGATCCTACCTCTACGAAACGCTTGGCCATTTCCGGCCAATTCAATTGCGGAAAAGCAAACTTGTGAGCATTCAAATTACCAACTGCTCCACCAAACTTTGCCATGTAATCCACCTGAGAACATGTAAGCAAATGCGAGTCAAACTTACCTCTGTCAGGTACTTCTTGTACTGGCGCGATAAGCGATGCACGTACACCGCAATCTCCTTGCCTATCGTGGTAGGCGATGCGGGCTGGCCGTGAGTTCGTGACAACATCGCTTTACCGGCATTCTGTTAGCAGTGAATTGGGCAAATATCATCCGTGTACCTCGACGGAGAAGGAGCATAAGGCATCGATTATGCGCAACAAGGTCGGCTTAATCACCTGCTCCATGCAGTCGCGAATACCAATGGAATAAGCGGGGCTGTTTATATCTTCGCTGGTGCAAAACATGTGTACCCAGTGCTCCAACGACTCTAGCTGTGGAATCCCGCTAGTCTTCATCTTTTCCTGCAGCAGTGAGATAAATAAGAGGATGGGACCTACTCTAATGTAATATTCAGTGGCTTTTACATCATGGTTGACCTTCCTATCTATTTGACGAATAGATTCCATATCACTAGGCTCAAAGCGGCAAATGTCGGATAGGAAGGCTGAAAATTCTTTAGTACGAAGATGCAGTAAACATACATTCCGAGGATTTGTCCAAACTGGACACCGGTGTAACCCCCTCATTTACCAAAAATCGCAACCACGACACTTCGACGATGATGCGATTGCGGGACAACGCATATTCAGACAAATGGGCGGCAATTTCGGAGGAGGTTCGAAGGTAACGCGTGTCCAGTGGACTTACGAACATATGATCACCCTTTACACCTGCCTCCATTTGGGATTCCATGTGGTGTGTATATCGTTAATGATTACTAATGGCCATGTGTATCGTTAGTGCCGTCCATAGTCACAGGGACGGGCAAGAACTTGGGCCGAACGCTCAATCATCGTTGCATTACACTAAAATGTGCAGCTACAGTGACCCACTTTTGGTGCCTAGCGCGCTTTGGGGTGATCTAATCTTCATGAATTCTGATAATAAAACCGATCTGTTTAGTATAAAAAGGGCGACAGCAACTTGACTCATTGCCGCTTTGACTAATATATATAGCACTGATGCCATTGGCCACATTTTGAGTTAAAAGGCAGTCACACGTTGGTTAAAATCGGTATTTCCGCATACACGACACATAGAAAGGGGAAAGGCGGCACTAACTTTTTCTCACTGTATTGCCTTGCACCCAAGACACAGCACACCACGACGCGCAAATGAGCGACATAGCTTCCAAACTATATTACATGTTTTATCATTCTTCTACACTCCAAAGTCACTGCAGTACTCCAAGAATAACCTGCAACGGGAGGCACACAAGCCCATAATGAAACCAAATCGGCTTATCCAAACGCATCCAGATTTATTGTATTGCGCTTCCGATTGAAAATTTGACGCCGATTGCCCCCTCTAGAACCCCTGCCACGATGAGGCGCAGCATCGCGAGACCTGTTTCCGGGCTGCCTACTTTTAGGCTCGGACGCCGGGGCGGTATTGTTCCCAGATGTATTCTCGCTCATGTTACTGGGCTCTTGGTCGGACTCTGCACTTTCAGAAGAATCGTCGGACGAGTCTATAATTTCGTCGTATATGACCTTGGCTTTTATTGGAATGAGATCCTCAAAATCCGGTTCGTCGTCGTAATCATCGTCATAAACTGCCGGACGGTTCACAAAGTCCCTTCACATATATCAAAGGCACAAAATAACACAAACCAATAGTTCAGAACCGCTTGTCTTGTTTCCTTGGGCACAAAATACGTCGACATGTTTGCGTTCACAACGGGCTTCTTCGGGGGATGATTCACCGGGCGGCTGGGTACTTCCGTCACTGGCAACGCTAATAATGCCACAAGTATCAACGCACCTGGCCTATTAACCAATTCCATTATCGTGTTAGGTACGTCGAAATCGTGCTTTGTTAAACATTCGCGAATAATTGCAACGTCGGAAACGCCAGTAACCTCCCTGATTTGGCTGCGAAGTTGTGTACAAAAGACATCACAACAAACTCAATAACTTCCGCATTCTCGTCCGGCTGAAGAGCGTGTAACAAAACAGAATTGTGCTTACTGTTTCGGTGGAATCAAGGGGAACCATTGATTTCAGTTGATTTAGTTCAGCAGGGAGCCTTCGAAATATTATGCAGTCTAATATGGAAAATATACCAAGTTCCGCTGATGGAATTCCATTCATCGACGTAATCGTGAAAATGTATATCACGCAGGTCATCCATAATCGTTTTGCGATCGAAGTTGTATTCATCTCCACCAATCTGCCAACCAGTTTTTTAAATCACTTAAATGATTCACCTGTGTAAACACTAACAACCAGTGGTAACAGTAATCGGCGGACTCCAAAGGACGAACCACAACGTTGTATTTGACGGCTTCGAGGATGCAACGTAGCGCCTGCACCTTGCAGCGGTAGAAAAGGCACGTCTGAAACTGAGTCGCATAGCCGTCGGGGATGGACTGCAACCATAGGATAAATGCTGAAATCAACCCACCTCCTGCTTGTAAAATGGAGTCCGTTGCGATAGCATGTGATCGTAAATGGCAGAGAACAAATAATACGAATTGGTGAGGGCCGTCAATAGGCAAGAGTCCTCTTCGGCTGTGGCAACGCTGGTAGACAGCACGTAATCGTACTCCTCCTTATCTACAAAGTGTAAAACCGTCTCTAAATATGACAAAATGTCCGAAATAAGTGTGTACTTGTCAACAAACAACACATTCCGATTGAACGGAGATGCTTCACTGCGGACTAGAAACATGCCGTCGCTCTCTACGCTTCGAGAAGACTCGAACTTCATCCCCTGTTTTACACTAGATAAAATGAAGTTTAAATGGTCGCATTCTTTCTGTAAACGCTGGAACGATATATATTTTACAACTTGGAAAAATACCTCCAGCAATGACTTAACCAACTCTGCCAGATCATGTTTAAAGCTGGGATTAACCAGCTTGCACGAAGAAGCTATATCACAAGCAATATCTTCATTGTTGCGCCAATAAAGATTAAGAACATCCACCATGAACCTAGAGTCGCAAAGCCTACGTCCTTGTGACTGACAGAACAAAAAACAAACCCGAGTGATGAAGCGACGGAAGAATCCCTTAATTTGTATATAACATTAAGCAGTGTCCTGAAACATCATAACTCCGATTAGTCAACACAAATACCTCGCAAGCTCGTGCGTAAGTATGCGCAGTCTAGACCCCTCCTGCTCTTCATCGTAGATTACAAAGGGGCTGTGAGGGGGGAAGATTAGACAAACGAATGTTGAAAAGATCTTGCTGAGCTTCGCTGTTGCATCTTCACTTCCGGATGTGAGGATCTTATCTGCATCCAACACGTCCCGTAGCTCCCTTAGGGAGCATTCTGCGTGTCTTGAAAGAACAGTCCACTACGCAACCTACCCAGAAATGTTGTAGCTTCACGCGCAGAATCGGCAGCGTTGGTATGGCAAGCTGGGTTGAATATAGAGTAGTTGTATACATATTTGAACTCATGTGTATCGGTCATCGTGATAGTAATGACTGCGATAGAATCAACTACCTACACATCACTTGAATTTTATGTCACACAATGACGAAGGTACAAGAGCAGATACCCCTATAGTTCACATTTCGAAGAATTATAAAAGGGCGTAATGCGCAAAAAAGGCGATTGCTCACTCTGTAACAGCTATTCGATACAGAAGGCTCTGAGACAGTTAACGCGCAATCCAAAAATGTTGCAGGAATGACGGCTACAAAGATTCTCTACGGAAATTACGGTCATATGTGCACGATATCACGGGCAATCCACCATGTGACCGTGTAAAATAATGTCGATTTCAAGATGGAGACACTTAGGCGTCTGTCTATTCCTCATATGGCACTTTGCTGCTCTCTGTGACGGCGTCACTACAACTCGCACGCCAAAATGTGTGTTCAGCGGAGCTCGAAGTATCGAGAGGCTGGTCTCCGGATACCAGCCAGCATTTCTCAACACGGCGCTGGTGCCGTTGGAATCCAGAAGGAACGGAAGGACGCATGGAAGCAACGTGGTTCAAAAAACCGTTCACATCACACCTCGTAAATGCGAATTACACAGATTCGCCGTTAGTAATGATCTGGGTATGTATAATGCAGTGTCGGAAAGGAGCAAGGCTGTATCACAAATTATTTGCCACCATGTTGATCGAGCACTTCGAAAGCTCAAGGAGAATGCACTGTGTAAAAAGCTTAAGCATCTGGCTGATTCAGTGATTAATCGTATGAGCACATTGTCAACAACGGAGCAGATAGGTCTGACCATTCTGGGGAAGGCCATATACGCGTTTTACCTGCCCGCTTTCCATATACTCCTCCCGTACCAGATCATACCTGTGAATTCAGGCCTTGGGGTGGATGTCGGCCTGGATACGATTCTATCTATCGTCTCTGGCTACTTTCTCTGGACATGGATGCAAAAGCCCGTTCCGCATGTAACATTAAACTCACGTCAGAAATTCGCCATACCGCTCGTCGCGGCCGGGCTACTAGGGAGCTTCTACCTGTCGGGCTATACAGCACACGCAGTGGACAATGGCATGCTACTATTCTCTGCAATGGATTTCCCGATTAGCGTAGCACTTCAGCGGTCTGCGAGGATACTAATAAGCCACCTAAGCTGGGTGCTCGTGGGAGCCAAAATGCTTAGCCATATCGTGCCTCTGAAAGGCATCAGTACGGAGTGGTTCGTGATGAATGCTAAGGAACTCTGGGTTCACAAGGCCTTGGCGGGGTACTTTCTGTCCTGTACGCTCTACAACATCACCGACATACTATTCAATGCAGCGCAGGCACTCAAAAAGAAACTCTCACCCAATGAGACAGACGGAGAAGACGATATGTTGGATGGTGTCTTAATAGAACCTTCAGAATTAATACCCGCCATTATCGCAGCGTTGGGGCCCTGCTTGACGGCACCCTGGTGGGAAGAGATGCTCTATCGCATATTCACCTTCAAAGCACTTAACGTTAAGTTGCCGAGGAAAATAGCCACGGTAGTCTCAGCTTTCATCTTCGCAGCTCATCACATGAATCCCCGAAGCCTTCTGCAACTGTTCGGCCTGGGCATCCTCTGGTCGCTCATCGAGCAAGGTACCAACAACGTGTTCATCAACATCGCGATACATTCAATGTGGAACACAAGAATCATGTTGGGAACACTGTTGGGAAGATAGTCAATCGCGCTCGGTGCATTCGGCGACAGGGACACCGAGTTGCACTGAAGCCGCGTAACAACCCCAATCATTAGGCGCTTGAAATATCGCAACATATAAATGGCAGTTGAATAATAACAAACATAAAATGTTTTGTATGCAGCTTTGTATACGTTCTATGACGTAAATTCGTCACGATTGCATATTACCAGGTAGCGGTAGCAATGCTTCTCGAACATATAAGCCCAAAGCAGTGGTAGACATCTACGCGCACGAGTGATGCATTTTACATTAACATAGGTCACTCGCTTTTGGTCCATTTGGTTTAGAGCCTAACAATAGGCCTTGCAATATTGTGCGATAAGTTACAAATTGCGATCCAGCAGATTGGCTTAAAAGAGGTCATCACGGTCACTGAAACCATATGGGTCATGAACACGGCTACTCACAGCGGTGAATTAGGCCTGCGAATGGCAACGGGGTCATACTCTTGGGCAAGGCTGGCGACGAAATGGGCATTCATCTTTTGGCTTAATTCCCGTTGGAAAAGCTGCTGCTTCTCGAAGTGACGCCACCGGCTTTGCCTTGCGAGGTAGTCGGTGTTACAGTTGTCCAGCTTGACTGCTCGCATCAAGATGTATCCACCGTACGTTATTAATCCTGGATTTCAGTCGAATTTTACACCCGTACGACCTACCGGCGACCGTGCCATATATGGCGCTGTGAATTATCGATGGATTGCCTCCGAACCGTAAGCGTCTCACCGCTGTCACACATGTTTAATGGGTGGTCGAAAAGTGAGTCTCACCTTTTGGTGCGCCTTGACGTTGCGTGGAATCAGAGGACAAGCCTGGCGAAGACGCGGAGTCCAAGTGACCTTCACTACCCACCTTCGCCATATCAATGTAACTGTGTATACAATTGTATTGCGTACAATTATTATGTTGTTTTACCCTGTCCTCTAGCGTTCCGGAAAATTCGACACACTTCAAATGGGGGATGATGCAACGCTCGAACGACCGTTAACGCTTGCACAGTACGTGTTGCGATTATGAAAGAGGCAACATGGACAACTTTAAAGAGTTGCACACCTTGGTGATGGGTAGGGACGTGCCGCAACTCCAGACTGATGCCGAATTTCGACACATTTCGTCCTACATCTGGGAGCTATTTTTCAAAGACCACGATGCAATATCAACGGATTTGGTGAGCTTGTGAGGCTAACGTGATATGCCTTATCAGAGAGCGCTCCAAGCGGAAGATCAGAATGCGCGAGCACGCCTGCACAGACTTGTAGACCAGTCTACACGGCCATCTCTAAACAAGATTCGCGCAGTATATGGAAGTGGAGCAGAGGTAATCGATGTTTCTGTCATGTTCATTAATATCAGCTGGCGTGTATAGCCAAGCCGGTGGAAGAAGTGCAACGATTGTCCTCTATGACGGATTCGTACACTGCGGTGGGTACTGATACTTTATTTACATATTAATTAGGACGTATCAAACCGCTGCGACGAAGCTTCAGCACAACTGGAGGAATGTGGTATTTCAAATGGCAATAGCGAATTGTTGAACTCGATGGAAGACCTCTACAACGAAATATTGCAGGAAGACGAGGAACAAAGAGTGCCGTTATTAATCGCATACGAGGAACTTTTGCACGACGTCGCCAACGTGCGAGATAGTAAAATGCTTCAAATTCTAAAGTCTCGCGTGGTACGCATGAAACAAAAAATACAGGATGAGCTCTATAAAGCATTCAACAACAATATCAATACGACTCTAAAGATAGTGTCGGAAATTAGGATGTTGGGTATTTCGACCGACCACGAAATAGCCGCAGGGTTCATTAAAAATCGCAGCGAATACATCTCGGAATGTTTAAAAACGGTCCAAAGCTTGGCTAAGGAAAACGTTCACAGGTGGGTACAATACGCACTATACCAAAATCGTGTTAGGGCAATTCACGAGGTTACTCTCACGTTAAAAACTAAAATACTGTCTATCATAGTCTGCTATACAGCAATATTTGGTTCTATGGATGCAAATGTAACGTCTCTCATGAGGACCACCATTTTCCAATTTCTCCACCTGCTGAAACAGGAGTTGCACGATGCGCAAACGTCACAACTGATGCCGAAACATGTCGCCGATGTTCAGCAAGAAATGGGGGAAATATCGCACTCTTTCGAGAGTTTCGGACTCTCATTCACACCTCTGTTACATGAGATATTCGCAACGTACACGGCATAATTATATCTGATAGCTAAATTATTCGTCATAACACTTGCGTTTTGGCACGCTTCACGTGCATTGATACCACATTAGTGTCACACCGTGGAATGTGTACTAGAGCACATTGTGAACCGGGGCGCTGAGCGGTTAGTGTAGCGCAGGTTTGGAGCAGCTACCCCGCAATAGATCACTATTATTGAACTGCAACCAATCATATGCTAACAAATACTAACGTGAATGCGATAATTACTGCTACACGCCAAGTTGACCCATTGGGTCGTCGTCGAAGTAGTCGACGTCCCTGTACAGTGAGAGCATCTTCCGGCCTTTAGTGAGTAAGGCCTTGACGTCGATGAAGTGAGAGGCCTTGGAGCGCATGAGGTGGGAGCGGATGCGCAACACGTCCATGCGGTAGAGGAGTGAGTGGAGAATGTAGAGCGTGGCGATGAGCCACAGTGTGAACACAGTGTAGATGAAGGGAGCACGGATGCCGTAGAAGAAGGTATCCATACAGGTCATGAGATTTGCGATTGGTCCCCCTGTAACTACTTCTTTCAGTTTGTCAATGAGCTTCGAACATCCGCGTGGCGACTGAAATCCACCCTCCGGCGGCGTGAAACCGTGAGAGTAGAGTAGGGGCAGGGCCTTCTCACACTGATGAAAGGATTTATCGTCGGAACATTGAAGTCCCGCGAAATCCATGTGCAGCTTAAGCAGCGACTCCCACAGTCTGTCTGCCAGGTAGGCCGCCCAGCTGAGGTAGTGGTGTACGAAGCTGGAAGAGTACAGGGCGTAAGCCCGGTAGGTGATAGGCGAGAGATGTTGTGGGCACTTGGCATTATCGATGCCGCAGCCAAGCAACGTGGACAGGGTCTTAGGATGGTCCTTGTCGTGGTCGTGGTTGGAGCTTGGAGGGGCGGAGCCTCGGATGTCCTGGAGGGCATTGAGGTCGGCGTCACCAAGGATGTCGCAGTCGGGGCAGTCGTCATGTCGAGTGGAAACGGCGGAGCCCAGTGGAGACAACGCTGAAGGATGACTGTGCAGTGATTTTCCGAAATTGTGGAAGAACGATACGAGCTCCCCGGTGGTGCGCGGCGTCCGCCTGGTTAGGCAATTGAGGTAAGAGGCCAATGTCAGCAGGGGGTCATTACCGCCACAGATGGGAGAGAGGATGGTGGAAATATGTTTGCCGGTTTGCTGAGATGCAGGCAAATCCTTCTCCCTGAATCCCATGTTGATACGACTCTTGAGACAGATATCGCGCGGGTCGAAGGGATCTGTCTTGAACTTGGAGTCGTGGGCGTCAGTCAGGAAGGCTTGGAGGGGGGAGTTGGGAGACGATACATTACTGCCGTACTCACAATCCTGCCATCCTCCCTGAGAATTATCCCGAGAACACTGCGACTTTAAGAACGCCAACTGGTGGCAGCAGGCGTAGACGTAGTCCCGCAGCTGGCAGAGGAGGGCGCAGCAATCAGGGTCCTTGGATTGGTCGGAGTCCTTACGCGTTGAAGCTACAGACGACACTGCCACTCTCCAGTTAGGTTCAATGGAAATGATCACCGAGGCTGCGAACACGGCGGCAAGGTGGATGGTGTCGATGACATGTTGAGGGCGGATGGCAGCACCGTTGACTGCGAGTGGGAGGATGGCAGAGACATCATCGCCGCGCTTGAAAGCGTTATTAATACACTGTTTCAGAGTCTCTTGGTGCTTCGGGTTCTGCAATCCGGCGATCCAAAGCAGCATATCCTTGACTGTGCTTGGCGCATCGGAGGGGAACAGCTCCGTCTCGGGGATATCGGCAGAGTCATGCGTGGGTTTCTGAGTAGACCAATCTGGTATACACATATCTACATCCGGGCGATTTATTTTACTTTTGTCGAAGTCTGTGGGTAGCAGCGGCAACTGCTTGGCCTCTGGAGGTGTGAGGTTAAATGAAATTTCAGGTATGTACGGATCCGCAGGCAGGGGCACTGTGTCATTGCTAATATGCTTCGAGTCGTCGTCAATGTCCAAGGCGAAGTCAAGATCGTTGTCTGGCAGTCTGAGTTTGGGGACGTCGATGCGGAGATCAAATCGGTCTTCTTTGGTATCAGTTGGCGTAGGCATATTGTAGGTCTGAATGTCGGTGATTGGATGAGACGGCTTCACAGGGTCCAAATCTACTTTCACAAGTGTTGACTCTGGAGACTTTGGGCGCGAAATGGCAGAGAATATTCTGTTGGATTCTGCCATAGATGGCATGGGAGGCTCGATGGCCTCCGTTGGTAACATAGGAGCGTCCGATGAAACTGGCTGTCCTAAAAGCGTGATGGGAATTTGTGAATATTTTACGTTGTCCTTGTACTTCTGGTGCTCTGCATCCCATTCAGTCCTATGTTTGTCCAGGTCATTAAACAATTTCTCCTGCTTCTCTTGCCAGTCCCAAGATCGCAGCGTCTCCTTGTCCCGAAACTCTTTCTCCAATTTCGCCTGCTTCACTTCATACTTGACGTCCGGAACTTCATCGCCGCCTAGCGACGACATAGGAAGATCAACAGACTCCACACCTCCAGCTCCCTGTGGTTCATAGTACGGGCGCTGATTAATAGGACGCAAGCCATGAAGCCCGCCGGTGGGCTGACGTGAAGCTCCGGTATCGGGACGGCTGGGCTGACTTGGAAGGGTGGAGGGAGGAGACGTTGGGGGCTCCTGAATTTCTTGCAGCTCCAATTTTTTTTGTTGCGCTGCTATTTTGTGTTGTAACCTTTCCTTGGCATCTTTGTCTTTTACATCATTTAATATATGTTGCACATTCTGCTGCAGCTGCGTCTCCCACATTCCTTCTGTGGTATTTTTAATGTCCGCATTAAGTTTCTGGGCGGCCTGCTTTTTTCTCTCATTCCGTTCTTTAATGCGTTCGATGATTTCTTGAGTTCTGATCTCCGATTGCAATTTGTTTTCCGCATATTTCTTGTCCTCTTCGATGAGCTTTTTCTCTTCAGCTTGCATTTTTAGCATATCCATCCTATTTTTTACGCCCGCCGTGTTTTTTTCCTCTATATTTTTATGATACAAATCTTCCATCATTTTATCATCAGGGTTCGGAGGCTCATCCACTGGAACGCCAACGAATGGAATATGCGCCAAATCGTGATACAACCATGGCCACTGTTGCCCTAGGCGATAGTCTGTCGGTGGTTGACCATCTATAATGGGAGGTCCCTGAGGAGTCTGAAGCCCTGCGCCAGGAACGTGACCGGCAGGTTGATGGGAATGGCTGGGAGGATGAGCAGGCTGAGTTGGAAGTGAAGACGTCTGTTGGGGCCCAAGTTTATTAAGTAAATGCGTTTGTACATTTTCTTCATCTTGTAATGTTGTATACCTTTTCTCCTGCATTTCATCCCATATTTTTTGCCACTTCTCCGCATCCTGATCGTGTTTTTTCTTTTTTTGGTCATACTCGCTTTTAAGCTTATCTATGACAGTCTTATATTGAGCATCCAACTGTCTATTGCATTCTGCTTTCGCAGCCTTCCCGGCAGGGTCTCCACCAGCCACATCACTCCCACTGCTTGGTCCTACACCCCCTCCAGCTCCACTACCACATTTACCAGCCCCCTGGACACCAGTTGACCCAGAGACTGAACCTGAAGCACTCGGAGTCTGAGTACGTGCAGCATCTTGAGAGGTGCCAGACTGTTGACCAGAAACATCACTGCCACTTGAAGTTGGACCCGGGGCACCGGGCTGACTAGTGGAGCTAGGGGCACTGGGGGCAGGAGGAAGAGGTTGTTGGGAATGAGGCTGGGGATAATTCTGAGGTTGTAGGGGTTGGGGCTTAGTATACATCGTATGCCCTGTATTTCTACTCCTCTGTACGACCTTGACAGCTCGAGTCCCTGGGCCTTGTGCTCTGCCTCTTAGAGCCCCCCGTACCCCGCCTCTACCGTGGAACCCGCCTCTATAGGTATGCCCTCCCCCTCCTCTAGCACCAGAAGCCTGACGACCAACAGACGACGAACCACCGCCTCTTGTATTGGTTGTCCTTACAGCCGAAGTTCTGGCAGGCCCTGATGGTCTGGCAGTCCTGGGAGCGGGCGGCGGCCTGAGTCGGGGATTTGTGGGCGGAGCCGGCGGAGGGCACCGCCCACCATCAAGAATTCTTTTTAACATGTCCAAGCCGTCACCATCTCTGCCAAGCATATCTATGACACCGGGCCAATGATCTGACAACGTCTTCCACGCGTCTCCCAGCGTTCCATATCGTCCTTTACCAAATATAAAACCGTAGGGGAATATGTATTTGGTTGCGAATTGCTGAAGAACATTCAAATATCGAGTGTCGTCGACTGGGAAACTTTTATTTATTTGTTGCACATTCTTTTGAACTTTGCGCAAATTATTTCTAAACCATATTGCCGTCTCCTCCGCAAATGTCTCAGTGTTAAGCTCGTAAACAGTCCGCGCCTGGCCGGTGTAGGAAAAGCCTTCGTTCTTGAACAACTTTTCCAATTCCGAGTTCAATCTAGAACAATGAGATTTTAATTGCTCCCAATTTATGCATTTGTTTTGCCCCTTCAAGGTTGTATCCAATTTGGCTTTCAACCTTTTACCCTCATCTCTCTTTGCCTCAGCGTCCACAATCTCGCAAAACGTTCTCACCAATGCAAGCACGTTCGCAGTGTTCACTTTATGAGTGCCGGCACCAGTTTTAGAAATCACCGATGTGACGAATACGTCCCGGAAATCGTTGTACTTATGAATATGTTTGTTCAAAATCTTCTGTAGGTCATTTACCATGCTCTCACCGTACCAGTAACCATAGAGAGGATCATAGTCATAACCATACGTCACCTCTTCTGGGCCGAAACCACCAGGTATGAGGCCACCGTACTTATCGCTCAGTGACACCCTGAGATAATCCTGCAGCCGACCTCCATACTCTTGTTGCCAAAAGTGTCTCACCCAAGTCGACTCCCACCCAGGATAATTATACCTCCACTTCCCTCCTCCCACTGCTTCGAACCATCTATCCACATTGTAGAGCAAAAAATACAAAGCGGCGAGGAACTTGGGAACGCACTCGAGGAAGGCTTCGGTGACATCGTTTGCTTTTGCATTGACATAACTTCCCGGCGTTGGGGTTTTGCTTAATTTCCTATAAAACGTGGACACGTGCCAGAGGAATTCGGAGACAGCAGGTGGCAGTCGGCCCGTAAACAAAATACGATTATAAGAATTTCCATAACGCTTAACCAGTTCACTAATCACCCGGTGTTGCATATTTGTATTACCATGCAACCACAGCAAGAACCGGAGACAGTCCTTGAGGGTACCAAGCGGAATACCGTGCGGCTCCATCTTAGTTACGAAGTCAAAGAGCACAGAGACTAATAAATGAGTACTAGGTTAACGGTACAACGGCACACGTGAAAGCGTTTTAATGGGTGAACTAGGAGACACTAAAGTGATATAATCTCTGAGGTGACGCCGCTTACAAAGACAGCGTAATCATTCCACTAGGTGCGATACGTGAACAGGCTACAAAGGGAGAAGCTGAATGACAACTAAGTGCGGCATGGTAATAAAACGAGGTACGAGAAACTCAGAACCGCCGACAATTACTTGCCCACACCACCCCGCAAAAGCGAAGAGTAGGCAATCTTATAACCATCCCACTCACCTGGGGGGAGGCGACGGGCCCAGGAATACGGGATAGCCGAAACCTGACTGGCATGAAAGGCTGGCTCACAGTGGGAAGGCGGCAAACTTCACAGATATCACTGGTGGAAGACAGGATGCCTATCTTCACCCCGCATCGCGACGCCGCCATGCCGTCTCCCCCTCAGCGTTACGCGACCAACATGGCAGCCGCCATCATACGCACCGCCAGTGACACTACAGACACGCGTTTCTAACGACGACAAAGCCCCAGCATGACCCATCTAGGTTCCGAAACATACCCCACGCTTCGCTGACCGAACGAGTCGCAACTTCTGGATCCTTGTATTAATTTAATTACGGCGTTATTACTTTGCAACTCTACATATCTGCATAATGTTACCATGGCGACAGCCTCTCTTGCCCTTCCCTCGTCACTCACCTCATAGCAGCGTGGTGCCATGATATCCATGACATCCCTCCTTCGTTGACTGACGGCTTCTCTTAATGGATACATACAATTCAATATTTGAGACTCATTTCTCGTATATTAGAGATGTTCACGGGGCACGACGCATTCTTACATTGTGCCTCAGATCCCATCCCTAATGACTTTGGACTCATTATTAACCTGAGCTTTGTCAAACGTTTTTCAGTTACTTGTGGCATTTACACCATTTCCTGCATATTACTCCACTTTCTTATAACTAACATCGTATTGAAACATTCGCTTCTTTCTCCTCACCGACATCGCCAAGCTGTGAGGTGTGACTGACTCCGGTGACGCCTCGAGACCCGCATTCCACAACTTCCAATATGGTTCGCTTTAGCTTGGCCGAACAACCGGTCTCATGGGTTTTTTAGATATGATCAGACCATTAAGGTATTCATGTACCTATTCGCAACGGTGGGCTAAGGCGGCCAGGCACGGACGCCATAGTCTTATCTTGATTGGTGGAGTGAGTGATATCCAGTGCTATGTACCAGATATTGTCGGTTGTTGCGCTATAAGTACATTAACGATCGTTTAACTTGGAAACCCATGTTCAAACGGCTACGCGGGACTTATCTAATTCTTGCACCACCGACGTTGCAACAATGTTATTATTAGGCCTCTTATCTTATCTTTGTTTTGGTTTTATTTAGTGCGCTATGTGGCTACGTGGCTTAGGGCCGATTTTCGTGTTTACCAGGCAAGCGCCTTAGGCTGCTGGTGTCGGTTGCGGGATCCATGTCGAATTATCGTACACTACAGGTACCATCCATTGTGGCATCCATCCTGTTTGGGCGAGAGGGTCATTCACAGAGTCATAATCTTCTCTGGGTCACGTCACTCATTGCATACGGCATTACCCTGATACTCGTTTGCTGGTTGAATTGTCGCGCCTTCAGGTCCTCGATTAGGTAGGAGTGCTTCCTCCTCTTTAAGGTCACATTCTCTACCAGGTTATCTGGGTTGGCAATTCCTATTTTTGGCGATTATGATCCTATTCCTCCGTCGGTGCGCCAGGATGATGTCTGGTAGGTTGTATATGGTGGGCTGATACAATGGTTGCAAGGTCAGCTTATTGATTGCAGTGCATATGAAGTATTTAGAGGAATTTTAAATGTTAAGTCTCTCATCACATCTGTTCGATTCGTTTCTATGTCTCCTGTTTACACGTGTCGAGGAAAATTCCTGGGTGACCATCTAGACAGCTGCTGCGATCCTTGTAGAGTTATTGCCGTTCACAAAAAATTAACAGTAATCCTATTGATGTTTGCATATGTTGTCATGTCATTAGGTCTTATGAGTTTTGTGTTGTTTCTGTGATAGTTGCAAATATAGGGGGCTGTGAGGGTAATACGCAATGCCGTTTATCACAATGGGCATATATCGAGGGGTAAAATACGTATTGGCCTTTGGCGCACTGTATCTACATCTTATTGACGACCTCGATGCGCTTGTTTGCGATTTTGATCATCCACATGGATTACTTAGGAACAATGCTCTAGCCACGTGTGACATGGATAGCGATATTTTTTCATCTGCAACTGTGATATGCCCACACCGAGTCAATGACACCAATTACGTCTTGCACCCTCAACCAACGCCTGACGATACCACTCATATCAACGTGTACAGTAGTGATGAAGGTAAGTTGCGTTCTGTAGCTCTTTCTCATGTCGTGCGCACTGAATCCGAGGACAAACTGTTCTGGATAGATTCCAACCAGTCGCAAACGGAAGTGCATATAGATTTTTCAGTTCAAGAATTGTTCACCATTACTGAAAAGCGTCTGATCTTCATTTGCGGTCCACGAGATTTGGTTCTGAGTGATGCATTGCAACGTCACCTTGACCTGCTCAATGGCGTTGATCAAATGCAACCACTTCCTTGGACTACAGCCACGCCATTGGTTCAGGAGATATCGAAGATAGGGAAGGGGCTGGGAGTGTTTTACCTGAACAGGGGAAGCCTGCATCTACCGCTGCAAGGTTGTGGAAGCCGACCGTCACCACTGTTCGCTACTGACGAGGTGACTGTAGACCCTGTAACCGGAACACGTTCGTGTGTGGCGGATCCCATGTCAAAATCGCCTATTGGTTTTCTTTGCGAAGGTCGCCTTGAACCTGAGGATTGTATGAAATCGTTATTGGAAAAGGACGGTGACGTTATCACCGCTCCTCGACCGTATTCATATCTGAACTTCAGCAGCCATAGACCTTGGGTGGTGGCGCGGTATTTTCACGAATTAGCAGTACCTCCCATTAATGGTGACTGCAGGTGTATATATCCTGAAACGGGAGCTGTGAATGCCAGGATGGAGATCCGTACGAAAACCGAATACGTTTGTGACATCTCCAGCATGATATTCCGCAACCGCGTGCACCCTATACGTGGTCCTTGGTGTTCGGTTGTTCTCCATCCGGGAAGCACCTTGACCATACGGTTGCCGAAACAGGCCGTCGACCCAGAATTCACCGGTGAGGATTTTTCTGGTGTCCCCTTCTCACAACTGCCGTCTGCATATGAATACGAAACAGAGTTTCTGCCGAAGGACTTGACTACGCTACTACAAATGAAAACAGTTGGTGACATCAACGCTTACGACGAAGTGTTGTACCAAGAAGCTATTGTTGGTGACGCCCTTGAGTTGGATGTTTATCGAATGTCACAGGGAGAGGTTAAACTGAGGTACCATTTGGACAAACCCTTGGCATTACGGCATGGAACAAATTCGTTCAATTATCATTGGACATTGATATCGAGGAACGAGAATGTCATTGATAGGATACGTGCCATCGTCAACGTGTCCTTTGCGTATAATTATCAGTACACATTGCTTGGTTGTGACCGAGAGCAAAGAAGTGTTTTTGATCAAAATATGAGCAAGGACTATTGTTCGGTCAAATCGATGAAAAATGGGATCGGAAGCACCTACGAATGCACTTACAATATTAAGAGGGACGCTTGCCAGATTGGCATCTACTGCGGTTCAGACGAAACTCTTCTGCCAAATAATTGCGAATCCACAGGATATGACCTCTATTCTAACCGCATTATTCCTATGCGTCCATCTGTTATAAATGTGACGCCATATCCCATTCGTGGGTTTCAGGTTCTCAACTTTAAATTTCAGTACAACACCCCTGTCAGTTATGCTTGCATATGTATCAATCAAAATGGTTACGAATCTTCGAGACTTATTCTAGAGTCCAACCGCCAAGGTAGATATGCCTATACAGTGCGTCGAGAAGAGGCGGTTCACACATTGGTTCCCTTCATATTACTACCTTGGCATGAGACAGGGTTACCAACTGAAGAACAGACACAACCCAGATCCATTGTACTATATAACATACAGCAAAAATTGGTCATACTAAACGTGGGTACAACGTTGTTCATGAACTGCGAAAGTGACGTCACTCCGTTATTAAAGGTTGGACGGTCTTCAGACTTCGGTGTGAGCTCTAGCACAATACCGATAAAATGGCTGCCGGATCATCCCGATTTGTACTATTATACTATCACCCAAATGCCCAATGGACCTGAGGTTGTAAAGGCAGTATATGGCGATAAAATATCTACTACTCAGGGCGGTTTCCAGGTTGCTTACAACGAGAACATACACACAGTAGGATACCAACGTTTGACGATTACATCTCGTAGAGGCGCCGTTATTATATCTAAAGATCCACTACACAAGCAATTCGTGCCGATGACGTTCGTCTGCGGCAAGGTGCCCGAAACATCGGATTTGTCCATAGTCAATGACGGTGCATCAACTTCGGCAACGTCTTCACCAAGTAATCTTCAGACCATAGGATCCTCGGCGCGATACACGTGGAATGTAGTGGAAGTTAAAGTTGAGACGACGGACCCGTACATGCAAGGATGCGGAGTTACGTACTCTTCAGATGCGTTATTCAAGCAAGAGACGCCCCAACTCTACGACTCTGACGGGCAACCTCAGTTTGGCTGCCGGATCGACATTCAGGCTGCAGGCGAGGCGGCGTTCTACTGCCCAGCACCGTACGTTCTCGACCCACCCAACTGCTTCAGCCAGGCCTCCGTGGAAGGTGAAGTTAACAACACAGGTGACCTAAGCCAGTCGTTGGTAGCATCTCAATCCAACCACTTCGTAATTCTGAGTTTTGATGGTTCTCTGGTAGGACCTGGGGAGACCCTGCGCCAAACACCTCCGTTGGAGTGCCGCTGTATCACCATCAAGGGCGCCATACTCTCAACCATCCAGATCGAGAACTACTACTCGAAGTGATGAGTTACTGATACTTGGTAACTTGTCGGTGAACTGCGGAAACTAATTTAAGTACCTCATTGTTTATGTTGCTGATAACATGTTGACTCGGGTATTTCAGTGATAGCATGGCTTTCGGGCAGGTCGTCGTACTTGCGGTTACCAGCTCATCAGCTTTATCCAGTGCTATAATAGTTGTGTACAGCTTGTGTAGGTAGCAATGACCCAAATTGAAGGTGTGGCGTAGAATTCCGTCTCAGAACACCTTTGGTGGGTACTTCGTACTAGTGGAATGGGGCATGTGTAATGTTGCCTTTTCCATCCACGCTCAGAAGTCAACCATTCGGTTATGCCTTAAACACAACCACGGATAATACCTGGTGTTTTAATGGCAAACTTTGCGTACTCCACTAATCGTGATATGCAAGTCTACCGTGTCACTGTATAGTCGCCTTAGCCCACCGTCGGGGGCGTACGAGGATGGCTTCATCTGCTCCGTATATGTTACAGATCACATAATAAGATGGTCCGTGAAGCTGCAGCCTATCATATTGGCAATTGCAAAGTGATGGCTCAGAGGTTTAACTGGGCTCCGCCACATGGCTTACGGCACAGCTTGGTGGGATGGGTGAGGGAAAGCGGGGGAGTGTTTTAAATCGTGTATTCATAGTTTGAAAAGTGACCGAAATGTTAAAACGGAGAAAATACCAGCAGTGAGTAAACCACGCTCGACAACCATAATATCAGTAAGGAGACCGGCATCGTTAGTTTGGGGATGTAAGGCCCAACATCAGAGAGACTATTTCCGTGTTCACATGATAGCGACATAGGAAATGTGCCTTGTAGGTGGAATTATATCTGTTAATTGGGCGACTTCGGTGGTCAACTAAAATGAGAAGTGTTGTCGGGTGTATGGCATAATGTTAGTACCGAGTATGGTGGCTAACAGAAACTAAGAAAACAGCATTGTCAGATTTTCCATTCACGAGGGACGTAACATTTATAATCATTAACAAAACGCATCAATTAATGCATAACTTCAAAACATTTTCCCAGCTGAACGTGGGGTGAGCTTCGCAGTCTGTATATGACCGGCTGGGCGTGGTATCTGTGCGGTGAGCAACGCGCGGCGGTGCTATTTCTGGTGGCAATACGCGCAGTGGTCGCCCGGCTGTCCCCGAAACTACAGTAGGAGACGGCCTGGTAGCTGTACTGTCGGCGGCTTAAGATGCGTGTTTCATGCCTGTGCAGGGTTATGACAGGGGAGTTGCGGGAAGATGTCGGGCAAATGTGGATCTACCTTTTCAGACAAAACATGTGGTATGGAAGATTGTAAGTGCTGTTCATGGTGTTGTGGAACGTGTATAGACTGCCTTATCTGTAATGTGACATTCATATTCCGCAAGCGAGGCGATGAATGCTATCGTTCCACCTGTGATGCATGTATAAAAAAGGTCACTTGTAGTTGTACATGTTGTCAAAAGAGAGGTGCACGCCATGCTCCCAGTGCCGCCGCTTACGCCAGTGATAACGATTCCACTGCCGGTGTCGCTACTCCCATTATCCTCATCTTCATAGCAATGACGCTCACTGTCGTATGCGTCATGAGCGCCTTTCGCATTCGGCCGTTCCACAAGGTCCGCGATTTTTTCTGCCGCAAGTGAACGTTTTGTATCACATTCTTTAATCGCTTTCGGCATTTTAATAATCGCACTTATCGCACAGTTATAGACACCGACGGCACAACGCCAATCTAACGTCTAATTTAATGTTTCGAAATCGCACATCTGCAGGTACCCGGTGAACGCGTTCATGAATTATATCGTGGCAGAGTATTAGCTACAAGAAAAGGATTAACAATGCTCCATGTAGGGCCCGCATCTGCTCACACCTTCTCACCACCAGGGCCTCCCACATCATCGATGTCAAGGCCTTACTCACGAAAGGCCGGAAGCTGCTGTCACTATACAGCGACGTCGACTACTTCGACGAAGACCCAGTGGGTCAACTTGGCGTGTAACAGTAATCATCGCATTAACGTAACCTTCTTCGAACCATACCAACGTGCTGCTAATGTGCTGCAATTATGTACGAGGGGGTCACAGGTGACAATGTGGCGTGCCGCCGAGCTCGGAAAGCCGGCTCCATCACGAGCGCAACTCACATAACTCCTCCCAACCAAACGACACCAAACGACATTACTTGGAGCATTTAATCACAGCCATGCTGGCCGATATGTGAGAATTGGCGACTTCTTTCCACGGTAGCAGTGAACTGGAGCTGAGTGGTCATCCATCTCGACAGCTGGAAAGTACCATACTCATTAAGGTAGTGACATATTAATTAGGCGTGTAGATGGCATGTTGATATTGAGATCGATGACAATACGATTTTTGAAGGAGGGCCCACGGGCGAGATTCTGGATGATGCAGGGAGATCGTTCGGTGTGAGAACCGTGGGACGACGTAAAAGGTAATATAGTAATCTTAACGCGTGGTAACTTTTCAAATCCTGAAGCATCGCCGCATAAATAATTATATCGCAAGAGTTGGTATGTGTCACTCGTGTCTGGAATTTGACGGCGATGATGACATGCGTTGTGGATACTACATGCCAGGTTAATCGTGTGGATCCGGCTGCTATGGGGCAGCTTGGTCGTCATTGCGCCTCTGAGGTCCGACTGTTGTGTCTTATCTACAGCGTTGTAGATCTCAATCAAACGCTTACTTATTAGGTGTCAAAAAGCGCTGTTACTTGTAAAGACTAGGACAAAAGCCTCTTAAGGGCTCGGCCCGTAACAGTACAAAATTAAGACCTTTGTCAGTCCCTTAACCCAACCTCTTTTCCAAAATGGTGTACAAGTCGTTGACTGACGTTCCTCACAACCTCAAGGAGGGTATTGACTGGTTGGTCGCCCTGAGGGGAGCTGATGCTGAAAAGAACTTGGCGGCTATGGGTGCTGCAGTTTACAAATTTCTCGCAGACAAACCTGTTGGCAAGATGGAACATCAAGCTCTCGAGAAAATAAAACTTATTTCTAAGGAGTTCCTGGAAAAACCGGAGCTTAAGGAGATGTGGCCCGCCAATGAGCTGTTGAGGAGATTCAAGGGGCCTATGAGTAAAAAAAGACCCGGTTGTCTCGCTAGCTGCTTTGGAAGTACACTTGAAAGTGATTACAAGAACGTCGTGCAGACCAAGGGTCTCACTGCTGAAACTATCGCAAAGAAATTAGGTAAAGTCGTGAATGGTTGTGAGAAGTTCTTAGAAAAGATAAAAAGTCCTGATGAGTACAAGTCTTCTTACAGTTCAGAGGCCACGTGGGAGGCATCATGCGCAAAGGACCCGGAGGCCTGCGCAGTGGTACTGGTGGGGATTGCGCCGATGCTGTACACGGGTTTACGTTGTTTGCGCAAGGCAAGTTATGATGCAACGTTGGCAGGGGTACCGTATGTGAGGTGTACTATGCTAGGATGTGTATTGAAAGCTGTGGGTTACGAGAGGTCGGAATGCTGCGCTAAAATTAGTGGTTCTTATGTCTTCAAGGCGTTGGGCAATGTGAAATTCCAAATGTTGGTGACGCTATACGACCTCGCTGGATTCTGGGCGTTCTATTGATTATGATTTGCAGGTGATCTGTACAAGCAATTCGAAAAACGCGATGCTTACGCTACTTCACCAGTCAGTAGCCGTCAATGAGCTCTCACGAGACGCTCCCAATTTGTTAAACGTAGTTCACTTCAATATACAAAACATTCATCCACTACACTGTGCCCGTCAAACTAGGACCAACACGGTCATCGGTGTCTCTTTGATTGACATCACGACCCTATTTGGCGTGTCGTGTCATCTTCACACCCATTCATATTCGTGTGACGATCAGGCGCAGTATACACATCCGCGGTTTATTAATCACGTTATAAACTGTCTTATGCCTTGGCAGGTCTGAGTTGCCCTTGCCGCATCGGTGTAGCTCAGTAGCATGGCGGTTGACGGAATTCGGGCGCCGTTGAGTGGAAGGGGTTTAAACACCGGTGGATTGTGTCTCTTAACATCGCGTTCTTTAATTAGTTATCCCTCTGAATGTACGTGCTATTGTTTCGCCCAGAAGATAGAGCATGGAGCTGTTGTTTTTTGCGCGTGTTGCACAATAATGGAGGTTATGAATGGTTGACTTTTTCTGTCTCGAGAAGCGGCGCTAGACGGCAGTTATCAGCGCCTAAGGTGTGATGCACAACGTTCCCGTTAACAATAAGGCGTGTGGTCTACAGGGAATGTTACTGCTCGTTGATGTCAGCAGAGCTCTTCTAATTGCCGATTTCGTCTATGAAGTTATCATACATTTCGTCGCTACTGCCCTCGCAATCGTCCCCGTGGCTATCTTCTGCGAAGCTTTCATGCGTATATATGGTATCGAAGATGATGATGATTCAGACGCTTACGATGGTAGAGACCAGTTTCCGCCTCAAGACGTAAATGGCTCCAAGGATGAATGACCGTCTTATTGGCCCTTCGTACCGCGGGAACTGTCACATCGGAGTGGCGGCATAGGGTTTTTGTGGCCGGCTCTGGCTATAAGAAGTACCGTGGTACAACGCTCATGAATATTCTCAACAGCTGTGTATGCTTAACCCATACTCTCTACCCTTCCTACCAGTAACTGCCCACGTCATCCAACCAAAATGGGATCGGAAAGTGATGTATCAAGATCTTACTGCTTGATTTATTTTGGGGCACAATGTGGATGGTAATCTGTCAGTATCTGACTAGTGCCATTCTTGCTAAGATACTGAAACATCTATTGGGCTGGTGGATGACATGTTAGTTGTTGCTAGAGAGTCTTTAGGAAATGGAGTCGGATATATGTAGACGGCATCTTAATCCAGCGCCGTTGCCCACATATACAGTTACTATTACATCATTAGCGTGGCAGCTGTATGCGGTGTGAAGGTGGTGGCCTGATCTGGCGGAATCATCTTCCGTTGAAACTCAAATTAGCTTGCGTTGGAATAAAGAAGTGTTGTATGGGCGTGCGGGCGATTGCAGTTCGGAAATCCCGACGCTCATGCTAACATCCATAATTCAGGATTCCCTTAGGCTGTCTAACTTGCAGCCTAGAGCTGCATAGTTTGCAACGAAGCATCTGGAGGTTAAAGCTGTGCCATTAATGCACAATCTGGCAAAAGACCCAAAGGCCTACGTATCTATGCGACGCATACACACAACATCGTATGCGCATCGAATCTAATCCCAAACACCGTAACGCGCTGGAGTCTTTGACAAGCGACGATGGCAGATAACACATGAATTATGCAAGGAAGGTGAATATATGTCATAGTGCGCAGTAGTTATGGGCCGAGAAGCGTTCGAAGCAGAAGCTGCTACAACCACTTAAAACAAAAAAACATTGTTAATTGCCGAAAACGGCAGAATGAGCATTTGTATTCTTTACCGTGTGACTGCAGTGTCTATAATGAGCAGGTTACGCGGGATCCCTCAGGCTTTGAGACATCCTACTCGCATCCCATCGTAGAATTTTAAACTCTTATGCGTCACTTAAAATTGTGCTAACGCTTCAAGGCCCAGTTGGTGACATTGCTGCCAGAAATATGCATAGACATTGACTCGCGTACTGCATGCCATGTTAATTGTCTAGAACAGGCTGCGATACGACATCTTGGTTGTCTTCAAGGCTCTGAAGTCCGCCTTTTTGGTGTGCATACAAGTTTGTATATTTCAATAAAGTGCCTGTGTATTGGAAGGAAGCAGCGCTACGTTGCTGATCCGCCATTAAGACACAGCTGTTCAAATACGCGTGCTGCTTGTTAAATCGACCATCAAACAGACGGGAAAAAAATACATTCGTGTGTAGATATAGTCTAATTTAACGAACCTTGACAAAATGGTGTACACTTCGTTGACTGAGGCACCTCGCAACCTCAAGGAGGGCATTGACTGGCTGATCGCCCTGAAGGAAACTTGTCCCGAGAACAATTTGTTGCCGATGGGCGTTGCACTTTACGATTTGTTTGTAGACAAGCCGGTTGGCAAGAGGGAGCAGCTACCATCCCTCGAGAAGGTAAAAAATATTTCTAAAGAGTTCCTGGAACAAGAGGTGCTAGAGTACCAGCCATTCGTCCAAGGGCTGCTGGATAGGTTTAGTAATCCTACGACTATGGCCGGATTATCCGCTGAGAGTGGAAAAAACTTCAAAAGCGAATACGAGAAGGTCATAAAGGCCAGGGGTGCCAAGCCTGAAACTATCGCAGAGAAATTGGGTAAAGTCGTGGCTAGTTGTGAGAGGTTCCTGAAAAGTGTCAAAATCCCTGACCAGTATGAGTCCGCTTACAGTTCAGAAGCGACGTGGGAGGCATCATGTGCGAAGGACCCGGAAGCCTGTGCAGTGCTCCTTGTGGGAATTGCGCCAATGCTATACGCGGGCCTGCGTTCTTTGCAGGTTACGAGCCATGCTGCGTTTAGGCAAGGACGGGATTCTTGGGAGGAGGAGCATCTGGAAGATGTGTTGAGAGTTGTGGGTTACAAGGAGCCTGAATGCCGCGTTGAAATGAGTGGTCCACGTGTAAACACAGTATTGAGACGTGTAGATTTGGGAATATTTACCGTAATCCACGACCTTGCGGGAGTATTAGGTTTCTATTGAGTGCGGATCGCATGTGAACTTCACAAGCAGATTAGCAAGAACAGATTCTGTGTCCGGCTCTCCGGCGAGTAGCCATCTTACGAATTCTCACTACACGCTTCCAATTCATGAAATGTAGTGATAGCCTGTTTAATGTATAGTATCTTCATCCACAATACTGTTGCCATCGAATGAGGGCACATACGGTTATGAACGTCTCTTTAATCTCGTTCATGACGCAATTTGGGGGCTGCTGTTCCAGCGTCGCACCTTTCAATGCCAGTATGCACGATGGACGTTTCGTGTTTAATTGCAGCCTATAAATCACGCTGTGTATTACTTTACGCCTTGTCAGTTGGATTGGTGATCATCTAGACAACGCATGCCCAGACAGCGCGTTAGACAACCATTTGCAGAACAGACGTCCAATAGGTGACGTAGTTTTGCGGCGACCTCTACTCATAAAGCTGCCATTATACCAACTGCTATTATTGTCTGAATGACGCTGATGCCCATTGTCACAAGCCCCGATGACTTGTTACCATCCTTCGTGTAGCGTACATTGCTGTAAGCGCTCACGCCATCAGGCGTGTTCCCTTCGGCCGTATCTACCGCTGTTCGCGTGGTAGTTTCCGAACGCTTTGTTGGGGGCAGCGTAAGTGCGCTGTCAGCACGTCTCTGTGACGTGAAACGGTTCAATATTTGCTCAATAGACTGCAGGGTGTGGAGCATTTTCGGGTTGTGCTGTTCAGCTGTCCTCGAAACGTCTCTACTCACGGGAGGCGCGTATTGTTCTAGTTCCGACTGGAGGCTCTGTTGTCCTACTTTTCCTGATTGGGGCCACGGGAGATCTAGTTTGCCCATTACATCGGTGGTATCGTTGTAACTTTTGTAAACATCCCACGCATTTGTGACCTCTACCAAATCCCCACCGTACTTGTCGTACCAACGCCGGACAGCATCGGCTAGGGTTTTATTTGTAGAGGCACTGCTCCCCGCGTAAGATGAACGCTCGATATCCGTTGACAGGTCGCGCAGCATAATTGCCATATTTTCTGCCATCTCGTGGACTTCGTGCAACATGATCGACAAAAAGCGATAGTCTTTAACCTTTGATCTTTCTACAGTATCGTCGAGCAGCGTGCCATAATCTGGCACGTCCATGTTGTCTGCAACCGCATTTACATCATACGCTTCGTATGCTTCCGCATTTCCGCCGGGACCTGCAGCTGACGCCTGACCAGAGGGCGTAGGCGGTAGTAGTTCCTGAAACCTGGGTTGATTTATGAACTCCTCCGCGTATGCAACCTCAAAATCATATTCCAAATCGCCGAACGCCGGAAGGCCACAGGATAGGCGCTCCTTACCCTTAAATTTGTCTTCCAGGTACGCCATAGTTTTATGCAGCTTCGCTACCAGTTTAGGCGTCAGATACTTCTTTTGAAGGTCTCTAGCTACCACCCGATACAGATTGATCATTTGTCTGACTTCAGGGTACTGTCTGGTCTCCGTGCTTATACGTTGAACTTCAGTCATTAATTTCAGGCACTTCTTTTTGTCTGCTTCTTTTGTTTTTGCTGTGGCGTTTGATCGTGGAATCTCTAGGAATATCCTCGTTAGGTCATGATAAGCTTTCGTGGAGCGCAGATAGATATCTTCCGAACGTTCGAGTTTACTGTAACAAACCACACTGTTGGCGTAGAATGCAAGGCCCTTCGTCGGTCTCCCTCCACCACCCGAATTAGCGTGCGTAGTTCGATATCCCGTTGCCATGGCATTAAATATCGTTATGTAGAGGCACAGCAGTAATGCGACTGGTCGCCATCCGTAATTGGTGATGGACGTCATTTTTGGTGGCAACCGCAGCACCGTAATATAGCATCGCAGCAATTGAGGTGATCGAGTTCAGTGTCACGCTCTGTAGTGTGGAAGCACCGAGTGTTATCTCCCTTAATTACGGCAAGGAGCGTAGGACATCAAACCACTCTGCTGAGATGGAAGTAGGTGTGGTCATGATAATCGGTGACTAAGCATTATTGGCAGTGATGAGAACATTTATGCTGCCCCAAGTGTACATTTGTCTGTGCCAAATGCTGCGCGTTGTTTGGAGTGCCTAGAGGAATTATAGCGCTTGCAATTGCGCTGCGGCTCAGTGGTGATATTCCCCGCCGCTCGACTTTTCCGTGCTGCTGCATGTAGACAGTAATTAACACGCGACGTATCCGTTACTCGGCGCCATGACGGGTTCTTCCTGCTGTCCGATCTGTTCCGGTTCTGCCACTGGTAGGCAATTGGCTAGCCAGGGCACGGGTGGAGATTTCTGTGTCCACAAGGGCAACACCGCCGCACGTTATAGGCTCAGACTGGGGAAAATAGGCGGTCTGGGTACTGCGCAGGGTAAATGTCCGCCTCAGGTCAGGCTCCTCGTGCCACCTTACGAGGCAGTGGTTGAACGGATTACAGCGTCCACATTTCCACGTTGCCATTATCGGCGTTCGTGTTTGATATGATGGTGATTGTTATATATTCAGTGTAATCCGATTGTCGGTTGGGTTGTAGTCGTTAGACTAGTGAGATGGTCCGTACGTGAGGGTGTTGCGCCTGCTTAGCTCCAGTAATGTCGGGTGTGTTGTGGCTATGATCGACAGGTAGCGTAACGTGCCTAATGGGAAGTATGGGTTTCCTTCACGCTTTGACATTTCCACTAGCTGCAGTTGATGCAATAGCTTTATTATACCTATTACGGCACGTTTCTGGGAGGGTGGAGCAGTTGTGGCGCGTGACGCTGTAGCGATGTGCCAATGGCGTTGGTCCATGCGGCGGGTAAGATGTTTTTTTTGGTAGAATGCCTGATTTGCAAATTAAAGCGATTTTATGCACATCGATTGCTGTAACGCATATAGAAATGGACACATAATGTATAGAATTGTCGTTCAGCGTATCACCCCAAGAGTGCAGCCTTTCAGAGGGGAGGGCATCACGTGCCACAAAGATATTCACACAGGATGTTGAAGTGACACCCACAAGCGTGGTTGTATGATTCCACGTAATTGTTGCCGATAAAAGTGGCGATTTGGGTGCGCTCATACTTGACAAGCATAGATGAGCTGGGCAGTGGCAGGCCAGCGATTGAAAGGGGTTTCGGCATTGGCCTAGGTGCCATCAAGGGTAACGTTACCTTTTAAAAAGGATGTTTGATGTGGATGCTCATGGCACTGCGACCGATAAACACTCAGCGCAACGTGGTCCGTAGTTAGCTGCGCCTTAGCTTGGGTGTTTGGCATTTATGGTGGAGGCGGCGGTTTGGGCTCACTTGGTGCTCAGATGTTGCTGAGTCGATGTGTTTCTGATAATAGGCGTGTTGGAGGTGGAATGACGGGCATACAAAGTAGCGGTGTCGAGTGTTGGGAGTGTTGTCCATTTTGTGGAGTAGGCAGAGGGTGGGGACAGTGGCAGGCAGCTAATAGTTGGTTATCGTAGGCAAAATATATCATTACTTAGACGTGTGCGTGG